CCTACACTCATATTTGGGTTAAAATACGTACATACTGGCGTCCCCATCTTAAATAATTGATAATTGATCATGTTATTTTTTTTATTTCAAATTTGTTGTGCTTATTTTTTAGCCTATTTTAATTTATAAAGGGATTCTGCACATCTGCAGGAAAATATTTTTCTAACAGTGTGCGTGGATTTTCCGACCCTGCGATGCACACAAACTGAAAAAAAGGTTTTAAAGAAACATGCTTGCCTATTAACCCTTTCAGTGCTATGCAACGATATATTGTTGTGCGTCTTTTCCCCAAAAAGTTCTCTGGAACGATAAATCGTTGTTCGTGATTCTTCCGAATAGAGTTAGGTAAGTGACGATAAGGTATATCGTGCCGGCGTGACTTTCGATCGTGTGAGTTTAAATGGGCATATCGGTTAACTCTGTTGTTATTTAGAAATAGTGATGGTTTCTTTGGATTCCTCATACTATCGAGGCCCGATAATTCGTTCCAAAGCAGTTTTAAGATGAAACATTTTATTTTTACTGATTTTTTTTCTCACACACTGACTAGATTTTGCCCACAAGCAAGCCTAGCACTTTTCAGACGAAATAAGTAAATAGCTCTATCATTTTTTGGTAAGTTACAAAAATAATTGTAGCATCAAAAGGGTTAACATATAGATGACTTTTTATTAGAAATTATTAGGATTATTAGACAGGAAAAAATTTGAATCTTTAAAGGAGGCTACATAAATAGGCAATTTAGGCATCATAGATTCAGACAACTCAGACAGAAATTTATTTAAGACCAGTTTCAGCCCTCTTAACGAAAAAGGCCCTCTTCGGGACCTCATCCAATTGAAAAAGTAAATCAGTCATGGGGCTAGGTCTTACCACGACTTATGGTTATATCTTATTCCCTAAATGGAAGATTCTTTTAATATTCCCTATATAGGAAATTTGCTAATAATCCCTATACAAATTTAGTTAACTGTTTAAATGTTATGAAAAAGATGAAGACAATTTTAAGATATGATTGGTCCTTTTGAACTGACCTAATTGTTTCTTGTTATCAACTTCAATAGTATTACAGAGCAGGAAGAGAACTTCACATTCAAATTGCAGTTATTATTAGAATGATTTATTAAAAACTGATGCCCGGGCCTAGAGCTCACTGTGCCACCTACGGTAGCTACTTCCCTATTGCCTCGTTCACACGGTGCGAGTTTACAAGCTACTTGCCAGCATGTAAGAAGCCAGCAAGTTGGCGAGTGTGCTTGTATTCGTTCACACGGAGATTGTCCACTCGCCAACATGTAGAAAGACGCCGGCGAGTACGCTTGTAGTTGTTCACACGATGCTTTTTCCACTCGCTCAGTAGCTAGCTTGAACCATATCCTCCAACATCTTCGAATAACATGCGCACAAGCACAAGCAACTGTGTTCACACTGGGCTACTTTACACGCCTACTCGCTCAAAAGCTGGCGAGTTGGCGTGTAAAGTAGCGGCAGCGTCAAATTTTTCCAGAGCTTTTTTACAAGCAGCTTTTGAGCGAGTACTTCGTACACACTGAGCTATTTTACTAGCTGCGTGTAAAAAAGCCGGCGTGTAGCTTGTAAACTCGCCCCGTGTGAACGAGGCTTATAGGAAAATTCGCTAAATAAGGCCATTGTTATACTTATTTTGCAACAAGATAAAGGGTTGGGGTTGGATCATTCCCTTTCATACAATTTTGTTAATCCCATTGAAAACTCAAAATATAAATAGTGGTTATTTAATAACCCGGAAGCTCCAATGCACTTCAATTTAAACTCTAAATACCAAATGAGTTAACTTATTTCAGACAAAGGCAACGGGACAAAAATAACAAATTACTGGGGATGAAAACAACATTTTACTACACAAACTTTTACATCACATAACTTTACAAAAGGATAATTGAGCAATATTTCCTCTCCAAAGATCAGTCCAAATCACGCAACACAAATCTGAGCAACATAATGCGGTTACAGATTTATAGAATGACCAGAACCAATGATTGAGGCATATTTAACAGTCAGGTATCAACTATGCTCCCTGCATTACGACTACGATCCTTTGTATAAAAATACACAATAATCATCGTTATATAAATAATTTAGATATTCGTACGATACAATGGATTATCAGTGTGTTTAAGGAACTATAATGTAAAATATCTACACGCTTGTGCTAAATTACATTTTCACTTAAAATCTCGACTTATCAACATCAAGCATAATAATGAAACAATTCGACTATAACTAAATAAAGAGAAAGCTACACAAAAATGAACCGTCTCTAATATTAGGCTAACGGAAGGAAAATTTAAATAGTGAGTGATATTACTAAACACAATGAAGAAATAACAATTGGTTATTGCACCTACAGTATGTTACAATACTTAAATAAAACAAGTACAGCGAAACAATTAAATAGGTATCGATAATACAAAACTTTACAACAAATATATACATACAGCTTCAAAACAAAATAAACGCTATATAAGTTCAGTATACCAGGTTTCATTTTATGAAAAAATTAATATAATATTACACGAAAGAATCTACTGCTTTATATCACCTTCAAAATATAGTCTTAGACCAGTTGTAAACAAAATCTAGAGCGAACAAGAATACATTTATTTAGCCTATGCAGTTTGAAATAATAGTTTTAACTGCTACGAGTAATTTGTGTATTGAGTAGAAAATACCAACACAACTTCAAGCTTAGTACATAATTTTGTAATCAATTACTTTTTTTTTAACACAGCTAAAGAAGTGTATTGATTATTTTCAGAGATACAGTATTACATAAGACTTTTAAACATTATAATAGAGATATATTTACTGTTTGGTAATTATGGAGGTTGTTTATAGGACAAGTTTCAAATGTTTTAAGCATTTTATGCAAATAAATCAGTAAATTTATAATATCTTTTGCATCAATGCCCGAAGTAAGGTATTATTTACCACCTACGGTAATAACTTCCTCCCTATAGGTAAAATTCACTAAAAAACAAATAAAGTTATGTAAACATAGGTTCTTCACCTTCTAAAGACAGTTAACCACAAACAAACATAAGAAAGCAAACGTCAATATTATATGGATTGTTGAACTGTGGTTGCTTAGCAATGACAACAATGAATATAATAAAGTTAACAATATTAATTACTAGTTTTCCTAAATAAAATTAATAGCTGACCAGCAGGAATGAAGTGTTTCTTGATCTCACCCTTTAAACCCCTATTTTAGTTTATCAAGTAATTTTAACGATCAAACTATAATACACATGGTGAAAATATTTAATTTAAAATGAATGGTAGATTTGAAGAACAAGTGGCGCTAAATAGGTTATAAAAGGAGGTATTTAATTTCACAGAAAATTTGTTTTATCTGTTTACGAGAGTTATCACTGGATTGAAGAAACACCTGTAGAAATCAATTCCAAGTTTAAGATAACAACTTAAAACCAAAGAATAGCTGTCAAAGCAGTGCTACTTAATTTAATTCATCCATGGTTAAGCAAAATATAAACCAGGCCAAATTCTTGACCCTTTTAATGATAGGAAAACTCGATTTTAAGTCTAATATCATAAACAAATATGTTCAAATTGTGATTTTCACACCCTTACTCTTCAATCCGTTTAAGCTGTCAGTGTACTTTGTAAGCTATAAACTGACAGATAATTTTTGGAAAATATAATGCTTTAAAATAAACTATCATCAACAAAGGGTGTAAAGAAAAAATAAATAGTGATCTTAAACGGAAACAGTTTTCAAGCTATAGACAAAGTTTTGAGCCCTAATTAAAAACTAACTAAAACATTTTTCAGCAATCAAGTAATAGTTTTACAACACTAGCCTGTTATTGTAAACTATTTATGTTTTTATAGTGTGCTTTATACAACTAAACAGAATAGGATTCATACAACATGGCAAGGTACAAAATATTATTAACTGTTACTTCATCTTAGACCATTATAAGTTCTGACCATTATTTTGGAGTTCTGGCATAAATAAATTTATATTGAACATGTAAACAACACCAAAATCGTGTCAGGTGGAAAAATATAAGTAGAGTTTGTAACAAAAAAGCCTTGGCATATTAAATAAGCATAGACTTAAGAATATTTCATCAGGATTCCAACTCACATATTATATCAAAGGCCCAAAAACTCAAGTGAGCATATACAAAATTTAAGAAGTAAATAGTGACTTTGGACAACTACCTTAGAAAAAGCGAATAGTTTGCATACATTTTACAATTAGACTTAGACCCACTAAAATCAAATAAGTTCCTTGATAATTTTCCGATCAAGTTGTAAGCAGTTTTTGTCAATTGAAGGTGGGGTCAAGCATCAGATTCATTATTGCATTATTCACACACATATTTTTCCTACAGTCACCCGAGAAAGTAGGCTTCCTTGCACAGATTTTAGTACAGAAAGCCTTACTTTGGCGCACACCAGTATTCCAACCAAACAACACAAAACAGCGTACTTTTATTATGCGCGTGATCCATGTGCGCTTGAAAATAAGTTGGCAACACTTAAAGATATTACGACTACGATCAGCTGGTGCAGCGTTTCCCATTTCGTTCAATGTTTGGAATGGATTTAACCTAACCTAAAAACGTGTTGTAAAGTGTTTGAAACATTAATTTATAGTTTATAGTTTTTTAAAGGGAAAAAACAACTTGGCTTTGAAATAATTATTGTATAATAATTATAATACAAAATGGCGGATATCTGGTTAACAAAGCGATTTTGGAAAAAGTTTTATTTGTGATTTTCTCTTTATTATGACCCAAGGAATCGCTACCAAAATTATGCCCCCAATTTTTTTGAACACCCTGCATAAAACAGTGCTGTCTAGTTAGAAGAAACATTCATAGCATTAAAAGTCTTATTCAAGAAGCCACTAGAATCACTAAAATTTAGGAACCTCTGATATAAGATATGAGTTGAATGAAAGCTAGAGCATGTTATTATATCTTCAAAAGACATAAGGTTTAACCTAAGCTTATAGCATACATACTGAAAACCATACATCCCAGGGTAGATTGAAAAGACAAGATTCCATAAAAATATTGAGTACAAGTGTATAATTTACGCTAATCTGCAAAAACCATATACTTTTTACAGCGTTTATATAAAATAAATATCACAACACTACAAAAGTACTACCACATAGTGTTACAGAAACTCGTAAGTCGCTGAACACAAACGCAACAACAGGTTCCGACTTGCAAAGTTTGAGGTATGATAAATACTGGCACTCTCCTTTTTGAGGTAATTTGGCTTTGTTTCATTTCACCTCTACATCGAAATCTAAAACTAACAGTTTGGTCTCCTCGGTGCCGTTCCTGCTGCCGACGGCACAGACAAGTTTAGTCTCGTTGGCTCGGATACGCCATACGACACCTCCGCTGCCACCACTGCCGAGCGCCACTAGGTTGCGGATAAACTCACCTGCAAACAATCATAATGACGACTGGGGGAATTGTACAATATGTGATGGTTTGTACAGGTCTATTACGTAATGACTAAATAGAATGTCTAAAAGCATCAACTAAAGAGAAAATGTTTAAGATTGGAACAGTAGAATTTTGATTACATAATCCTTGGTTATCTATGCTATCCGTGACATATTTCTGTGTGGTATGTCTGAACTAGTTGTTCTCAATATTTTTCCTGGTGCGCCACTTCACAAGGACAAAAACATTTTGTGAACCACTTAAGTCAGGGTATTATGGATGGAATATGTTTTTTATTTATTATTTTTTCCAACCTCTCAGACAAATTTGTTAATCATAAGTATGAACCTTTTACCGAGAAAGTTTTATCTGTGTAATTTATGAATAACTAAGTGAAATACTGAGCACTGTGCATATTATTTTTTTTTGCTCATATTATTGAGTACAGTTATATTAACACGTTAAGTGTGCAGGGCAAGAATTCCCGCCCTGCGGTACCGGCACCACTGGAACGATCCAGATTGGATTTATTGGTTTAGCTTCAGTTGGGAAATGTCGACCTCCGCTCCTCCCATGCCAACAACCTTGCTTCAGTGTGAGCTCAGTCTTGCAAAGGGATCGCCACTCATTGTGCCAGTTTTATACTTCAATCCAGTTCAATTTGTTTTCAAAGCTGACGTGTAGAGTAGGGTTTGGGTTAGATTTAGTGAAATGGAACAGAATATTGATAATAATTAATGTAGTTAAGCATTGAGGAAGGAACCTAACCCCAAAATTGTGCTTGACGCCTTTTTTGCGGTATTTTTTTATGGTGTGACCAGGTTTTTTGCCCTTACTTTTTCCTCCATTTGGCAATATTGAGGGCCTGCTAGTAGTTTTGTTTAATTGTGCTATCTATTAGGTTCTTTAAAAACTATGTCCATGACTGGAATGCAGTAGATGCTAAATATGCCTCTCACTTGGATGAAACTAAATTTACTCATTGTTATGGCTCAGTGTTCTCCAGCCGCCTCCCTTGACGGTAAAATTAAATAAATACTGTTCATCACAGGCCTGGTTATAGTACAAATCGCAACCTGGCTGATTGAACGAGAATCACTTTATCTTATATTTCCCAATAACATAGTTGTTTTAGCGAATTTCCCATAACTAAGTTATCACTGAGGCATGCTGAGGCCTAGCCCTAGGACCAATATTTACTTTTTCATTTTGAGGTCCCCAGAGGCCAAAAACACCCTCTGTTCAATTCATATATAGGCCTACATTTATATATGTGACTGTTAGCACAATAATGAGTAAAAATTATTTGATTTTGTTGAAATTTGGTACAAATCCTTGTTTATTTGAATAAGTTCGCGAACCAGCATGATCAGACAATGGGAACAGGTTTTTATGCAGGTTTTTAGGGGATAAACAGTTGTATCCATTTTTGACACACAAAATATTAAGTTTTGCATTTTCTTTCTAAGCCATTTTGTAGAGCTTAAGAAACAAATTTAGTACATTGGAATGTTTTTGTATGCGTAATGGTGCCAGAGAAAATCCCAAGAAACTACATTTAAAATCCCCATATTATTCTTATGAAGAATAAGTAAACTGTTGTGGTTTGCTAGTTTATCAATTTATTGTGATCAAATTTGGAAAATTTATTTACTTTATACTAAGCATTTCACTAAAATACAAACTTTATTACTTCCCTGTAGCAGCAAACCTAAAATCAAATGTATTTGGGTAGGAAATAAGTGTTGCATTTTAAAGGAAATCAGGCAAATGGAAATTCACTTAGACTCTAGGTTTGCTGCGGCGAGGGTATTTATTATTCTCTGTGTAATCTGACCTTTTTGTTTATCTTCCACAGCCGGTTTCGGTTTTCTGTCATCTGTATTCAATCAAAAAAACAACTTTATTGGTTTAGATTCAGTTGGTAAACTGTTGTCCATGAAAATATTTAGTTTAGGTGAGTCAGTGGCTCAGTTGGTAGCATTAAGGACTTCCGGCCTAGCAGTGATGTCATGGCTTTGGATCCAGCTACCAGTCACGTCTTTTTTTAGTTGAATTTGCCCTTGTTTTTAATGTACTGGCTCACCTCTTGCTTTGCTGTATGTTCAATACACATGCCTCGGTGGCCCATGTGGACGGGCAAATGCAAGGTAAAAGAGGCCACCAACCTCTTAAAAAAATAGGTAAACAGATATGAAAATGTCTTAGAATATAAGTGTTAACTGCACTTATGTTTTATATGAGCTGTAAGAGCACAAGCTGAATTGAATAACTGAGAAGAAAAAAGTTTTACCTGTTCAGGAACAAGAACTTATTCATGGACTGAAGGACTCAATAGTTAGCTTAGCAACTTACAAACAAAACAAAAGACCATAAGCAATTTAGTATATTTCACAATTTTACCTGTTCGCACATCCCACAGTTTGACAGTCCCATCATCTGAAGACGTGATCACAAAACGATTGTTGAACTGGAGACAAGTAACAGCTGACTGGTGTTTCATCGGTCCTAAAATACGGAAATGGAAATTTAAAAATGACAAAACTTTCCTTTTAGTCCTTAAAAATAATTCAGATACCGGGTATGCTATAATTTGACCAATATGCTGCCGGTGTGTCAAAATGCACCAAAAGCTTAAAAGTACAATGTGTCATATAAATGATGTAGACTTCCAAAACAATTTCTTCAATCAATTTTGCTGATTTTTAATTGATCATGATAACTTAAAAATAAGATGTTCAACAGAGAAAGAATGCTACAGTTATTAACTTATCAACTATAGTCCGCTCACAATATTTAGGCAGTTTGAGGGGAAGTTCCCATATCACTTTTTTTTACTTTATGTATGTTGCAGCTGATTAGACGTTTTAACAAATCTCAGCTGTTGAGCTATGTTTTAATGGTAGGATAAATACATGACGGTTTTTTTTACAGAGGGCCAGGCTTAAGTTACCATGGAATTGCATCGCAGCTGGAACAGCTAATTGTACACCCTCATTCACACAGGTCCTCATTCTCCGTCAAATCCCAGGTCCTTGGTGAACCATGAGATCCTTTTGACTATGTTAACCTTTTCTTCCCTTTGATCTCCAGCCGATAGGCCAAGGGATCTCATACGCAGACCTTGCAGGGCTGGGCACATAAATAGAAAAGACATGGAGGCAATAGATTTCTTCCCATAAAACCGCCTAAATATTGTGAATGGATTATACCTTCAACTAAAAGTGAATATGAACTGTTCACTCCGTAAGCCTAGTTAAAAATATTATAGCCTACTCAAAGTATAAAAAATGAAAACACTATTTGTTAAACTATTTTTAGCACAGATATTCGTTCTTTATAATAAAATTCATTAGGCACTCAGATCGCTGTGGGATAAGGTTGTAATCAGCCTATTCAGAAAAATAACTCTATCATCATTGTGCCAGTCTTATTTTTTTTTTTTTTTAAAAACAACTTCTTGGATCTGATTTGTGTATAATCTATCATTCAGAATCTATGTTCACAACATATTTTTTAGTAAAGTTTCAATCTTACATCATTAAATAATGAGAAGGAAATTGTGTTATTGTTACAAATCTATGCCAATATATTTCTGAAACACTTCATCCTACAAATTATTATATTTTGTTTGGATTATCAGCAGGTCTATTTTTACCTGACAAAGTCTGCAGACACTGCCCAGTGAGGATGTCCCACACCTTGACAGTGGAGTCTGCGTTGCCCGACACCAGAATGTTGTTCCGCAGCTCCATCCCCGACGTCAGCGACTGGTGACCCATCAGAGTGTGCTTACAAGCTCCCGTCTCCACCTCCCACACTCTGATACTGGTGTCCAGAGAGCCACTCACCACGTGCACTCCGTCAAACTATGTCAACAATTACACCAATCAAAGCACCTAGGCCTATAGAGTCTTTATTATTATTATTATTTTATGGCCAGCATTGGACCTCTTAAGTCAATATAATGGTCAGGTTCTTTTTAAATTCTGTCTCTTCTTGTCTGCCCAATACTTCTTCTTTCTTTCCGACCGTTGTTTTCTTTCTTCTTCCTAAACCACTCTTCCTTGTCTCTGATTGTTTGCTCCTATTGGCAGGATGATATTTTAGTCTTTGTGTACTGCAGTGCAAGCGCCTTCGACTTATTTTCCAAATCTTCTAATGATATTTTCAACCTTCTCATGTCCTCCTTAATCTCTGTAATCCACCTAAAGTCACTCTTGCTATTCCACAACTTGTTCATTATTTTCTTGCTTATTCTATTTTCAGGTGTCCTTAAAAGATGTCCAATGAATAAAATTCTTTTCTTTTTAATTATACTTGTCAATGGCTCTATCTCCTTATATAGGCTACAGTTTTATTTGAGGCCAGTCTCCAAACTCCATCTTTTTGATATTTTTTGTTTATACACGTTCTGATGATTCTTCTTTCTATTTTCAGTATTTTATCTATTGCTACAGTGTTGGTTGTTTTAAATATAGTTTCACTTGCATATGTTATTTGTGGAAGTATGACTGCTTTGTAGTGTTTCAATTTTGTTGCTATTGATAGGCATTTTTTGTTATGTGTTTTTTTTTAGTAATATGTTGCATTCTGATCAATTTATTAATTCTATTTTGCCATGATGGATTTTCTTTAAGATTGTATGTTATAGCTTCACCTAAGTATTTGAAATTGTCTACAATTTTGATGCAATGTTCTCCAATTTTGATTTTGTTAGCCAATGGTGGTTTTGTTAACATTATTTCAGTTTTCTCAAAAGAAATTTTTAGACCTATGCTCTGGGCTATTTCCTGAAGTGATTTTATTTGTTGCTTGGTTTCTTGGATGTTATTAGCTAGAAGAGCCAGATATAATCTTTATAATACGAATAAAAAGTTGAAAATCCTGTAGCAGGCCTACTGTCAAGAATTCCAGGATTTTCTTGTCAAGCCACAATAGGTTTTTAGAATGGAATGATCCTCTTTATCCCTAGGGTTGAAAAGAGTATTTATAAACGCAAAAACAAATACCTAGACACAACATTTAAGCTAACAACAATTTTACAAAAGGTTGAAAACATTTGGAAGACATCAATCACTATCACGTTATGCCAGCTACCTAAATAGTTGACAGTTGTTCAATATCGTTGTGTCCATTCATTAATGTTTACGTTTATGATGACTATTCACAACCTCGGGTATGAAAAGGATTATGTTAAATGACTCAGGGTTCAAGATTACCCTAGTGTAACCTAGATTGGGAAAAGTGGTAGCTTAACAGAAAAAAATATCACTTAGAATTACAGGTACTTTAAAACTAAACAAATTAATATGGCCCTTAGAACAAGCATGGTTGGTCTGTGGGCCTGACTCGTATTACTTTGTGTCAGGTTTTAACCCTCAGGTCTGTAAACCAAAGCGGTCAGGGTCCAATCCGGTTGCTTTGCAGAGTATTGATTCTGTATTCTGTATTTGATTCTTGAATACTATCATTAACAGCTACAACCGGTTTATACATAATATTGTACATTATCTTCTCATTTCACGGTAAAATTGTGAACTTTTCTACGGTCAGAATGAAATCGTGAACCTATTCCACGGTCACGGCGATAATCGTGAACATTTTCTGCAGGAAGTTTTGAACGTCTCCTGCAGTTACAGAGAAAACAAGAACATCTTCTGCAGTCATGTCAAAATCTTGAACATCTTCTACAGTCATGGTGAAATCGAGAACATCTGCCTTGGACACAGTAAAATCGTGAAGGGCTTGAACGGTTAGCAGTGAAACCGTGATTGTTTTATGCCAAAAAGCAATGTTTATCAAAGTTATTCCAAAAAAGAAAAAATTTTCTGCAGTAATAGCAAAATCATGATCGTCCCCACTGTTACACCAAAATTGTGATCTAGTTCCACAATCACAGCATTTTGTTGGCCTTATTTCACTATCACAACAAATTCGTGAATGTCATGGGCAGTAACAGTAAAATAATGAATTTCTTCTCCAGTCACGACAATCTCTTCTAGACCCAAAAAGCTTTGGGGACACGAACACCCCTACGTGACCAGTAATCAATATTATATTTGTAAGTATAAGCACTACGTTACCTGGAGAGAATACACCCTGTTGGTGTGCCCTTGTAGCGTATGCAGGCATTCTTCTCTCTCCGGGTTCCACACTTTGACCATGTAGTCGTACGCACCAGACACTACCAGTCTACCGTCGTACTGCACACATCGTACAGCTGCTAGGTGGCCTACCAGTACATGTAGACACTCCCCACTCTCTATGTGCCACACCCTCAGTGTAGCGTCTCTTGAACCACTCACCACTCTGTAAACCATAGTTACACTGTTACTGATCAGACACTATCAGTCTACTGTCATACTGCACACTTCGTACAGCTGCTCTAGGTGGTTTACCAGTACATGTAGATACTCCCCACTCTCTATGTGCCACACCCTCAGTGTAGCGTCTCTTGAACCCCTCACCACTTTGTAAACCATAGTTACACTGTTACTGATCAGACACTACCAGTCTACCGTTGTACTGCACACATCGTACAGCTGCTAGGTGGTCTACCAGTACATGTAGATACTCCCCACTCTCTATGTGCCACACCCTCAGTGTAGCGTCTCTTGAACCACTCACCACTCTGTAAACCATAGTCACACTGTTACTGATCAGACACTACCAGTCTACCGTTGTACTGCACACATCGTACAGCTGCTAGGTGGCCTACCAGTACATGTAGACACTCCCCACTCTCTATGTGCCACACCCTCAGTGTAGCATCTCTTGAACCACTCACCACTCTGTAAACCATAGTCACACTGTTACTGATCAGACACTACCAGTCTACCGTCGTACTGCACACATCGTACAGCTGCTAGGTGGCCTACCAGTACATGTAGACACTCCCCACTCTCTATGTGCCACACCCTCAGTGTAGCATCTCTTGAACCACTCACCACTCTGTAAACCATAGTCACACTGTTACTGATCAGACACTACCAGTCTACCGTTGTACTGCACACATCGTACAGCTGCTAGGTGGTCTACCAGTACATGTAGACACTCCCCACTCTCTATGTGCCACACCCTCAGTGTAGCATCTCTTGAACCACTCACCACTCTGTAAACCATAGTCACACTGTTACTGATCAGACACTACCAGTCTACCGTTGTACTGCACACATCGTACAGCTGCTAGGTGGCCTACCAGTACATGTAGACATTCCCCACTCTCTATGTGCCACACCCTCAGTGTAGCATCTCTTGAACCACTCACCACTCTGTAAACCATAGTCACACTGTTACTGATCAGACACTACCAGTCTACCGTTGTACTGCACACATCGTACAGCTGCTAGGTGGCCTACCAGTACATGTAGACACTCCCCACTCTCTATGTGCCACACCCTCAGTGTAGCATCTCTTGAACCACTCACCACTCTGTAAACCATAGTCACACTGTTACTGATCAGACACTACCAGTCTACCGTCGTACTGCACACATCGTACAGCTGCTAGGTGGCCTACCAGTACATGTAGACACTCCCCACTCTCTATGTGCCACACCCTCAGTGTAGCATCTCTTGAACCACTCACCACTCTGTAAACCATAGTCACACTGTTACTGATCAGACACTACCAGTCTACCGTCGTACTGCACACATCGTACAGCTGCTAGGTGGCCTACCAGTACATGTAGACACTCCCCACTCTCTATGTGCCACACCCTCAGTGTAGCATCTCTTGAACCACTCACCACTCTGTAAACCATAGTCACACTGTTACTGATCAGACACTACCAGTCTACCGTTGTACTGCACACATCGTACAGCTGCTAGGTGGTCTACCAGTACATGTAGACACTCCCCACTCTCTATGTGCCACACCCTCAGTGTAGCATCTCTTGAACCACTCACCACTCTGTAAACCATAGTCACACTGTTACTGATCAGACACTACCAGTCTACCGTTGTACTGCACACATCGTACAGCTGCTAGGTGGCCACCAGTACATGTAGACATTCCCCACTCTCTATGTGCCACACCCTCAGTGTAGCATCTCTTGAACCACTCACCACTCTGTAAACCATAGTCACACTGTTACTGATCAGACACTACCAGTCTACCGTTGTACTGCACACATCGTACAGCTGCTAGGTGGCCTACCAGTACATGTAGACATTCCCCACTCTCTATGTGCCACACCCTCAGTGTAGCATCTCTTGAACCACTCACCACTCTGTAAACCATAGTCACACTGTTACTGATCAGACACTACCAGTCTACCGTTGTACTGCACACATCGTACAGCTGCTAGGTGGCCTACCAGTACATGTAGACACTCCCCACTCTCTATGTGCCACACCCTCAGTGTAGCATCTCTTGAACCACTCACCACTCTGTAAACCATAGTCACACTGTTACTGATCAGACACTACCAGTCTACCGTCGTACTGCACACATCGTACAGCTGCTAGGTGGTCTACCAGAACATGTAGACACTCCCCACTCTCTATGTGCCACACCCTCAGTGTAGCGTCTCTTGAACCACTCACCTCTCTGTAAACCATAGTCACACTGTTACTAATCAGACAATACCAGTCTACCGTCGTACTGCACACATCGTACAGCTGCTAGGTGGCCTACCAGTACATGTAGACACTCCCCACTCTCCATGTGCCAAACCCTCAGTGTAGCATCTCTTGAACCACTCCAAAAAGTAATTAAGTAGGCCTAAGTACTAAGTCAGGCCTCTTATAACCAACATACTCACTTTTTGCCATGCAGATGCATACAGCGTACAGTGGACGTGTGGCCGTAAAGCGTGTGAAGGCACACTCCAGTCTCAGCGTTCCACACCTTGAGCGTTCTGTCGGTGCTGCCGCTGATGATGATGCTTCCAGACATCTGAGAAGACCATACTCCACCGGTGTGTCCCACCAGTGTCCGCAAACACTGCAACCAAACAGCTGATACAATCTACATGTTAATAGATAGGAATAAGCAATACACAAATAACGTAAGTTTTCTCCTACTTCATTTTGAGTCCTCTGTAGTGGTGAAATATTAACCCATTGGCATACCGAAATTGCCCTAAATGATTACACACAGGATTTCCAATTTATTTTTCTCTTTTAGTGACATACCTACAGAAATGGAACAAACCCTAAGAACTGGCTTAGGCCTTTTTAGACAAGTAAACCACAATTGAGTGTCTGATTTAAAAATCAACTATCTTTTGACTCATTGTTGTTGAAAGTTACGATTTCTACAACTACCTTGGCAAAATAAGGAGGCAAGTGGGGTGTTTTCTCTACATTACGGTACTGAAAAATTGGAGTTCAATATTGGCACTTGTTTGGAGTTCAATAAGGAGGAATTGTGATTTTAGAAATTCCTAAAAAAAACTGTCCTTACCTTACCCGTTGTTGCAGACCAAACTTTAAGCGTATTATCATCGGACCCTGAGACAATCCTATTGCCGGAGAACTGAAGACATGTAATGACGTGATCATCGTGACCTTTCAGGATCTTAGGTGGTCTAATCGGCTTTACCCTCCAGTTCATCTCTATCCGATGATGTCTCATGAAGGCAGCCTGAAATGTATATTGTTGCATAAACTACTGCTACAAATCCCAATTAACCATTAATTTCCAAGTACTTTGAGTGAACAACTTGATTCTGGTTTTCCCAGAGATAAAAACACTAGACCTCTATAAAGATATTTGCAACCAACGTCCCATGAAATTCAAAAACATCAAAGTCAATTGCAGCATAGCAATGCAATACACCGCATAGCAATTACTAGTGTAATTAAATTGCCAGTAATCAAACTGCCGTAATTGCCGGTATAATCAAAGCAATTTAGTACTTTAAGTAAATTTTGTTTCAGGACAGGCTTTACACCAGAATTGTGAATTTTAGGAAAACACGTAGCTTACCTTAAAAAAAGTACAGCTAGGTCAGGACACACATAGAGGACATAGAAAACACATTTTTTATCCCCTTTGGGACTTTATTCAATTCGAGAAAAAGAGAGTTGTAGAAAAACGTGTACATGGTACCACTCATACTTGGATTTTTATCATCTATCTATTTCTACATTTGACATAGTCCTCCAGGAAAAATATATAGTGTTCTGTATCTTCTATATGGGTACTATGGCCTAGGCCTACCTAGACTTTTTCTAAGGTAAACAAGCGGCTATCTGTTCCCTTTTTTTTTTTAAGTACCGGTACCTAAATGTTTTAATTTTGTGAAACCAGCTGCAGTTGAACCTCGGTAAAACAAATTACTCGATAAGACGAGTTTTAAAAACAAACAGAAGCTTGTCTCAACATGAAACCCCACCCATTCCTTCCTTATTCATTGTTTGGCACGTGCCTGTGCAGAGGAGAAACCTCTATAAGACTAATAACGGCGGTATTAAACCTCGATAAAATGAACCTCTTTATTAAGAATACCTCGATAGTACGAATTTCCACCCACTCCTTGAAATTCATCTTATAGAGGTTCGACTGTACTGTAGAAAATAAGTTACAGCAAGTTGTAACAAACCGGAGCCCTAACCGTACCTTCCAAGGTGATGCAGGGTTGTTAGCGTTGGGTTGACGGTGGCGCATTCTCTTGCTTGTCTGACTGTCCATGGCTACACCGGCCTCTCTGCACTTGACTCTCCACAGCAGGTTGTCCTCGGAGAGGAATCTCCAGCTGGTACAAGTCTGTGCTGCTCTCAGCAGATCACGCGGCTCCAGGAACGACAACACGTATAGAGCCAGCTGTGGATAGTTACAAAAAATATAATAGCCTACACTCATAAAAAAGAATACGGTAATCACTGACTTTCATGTCTTCAAGATGTAGGCCTAACCAACTTACATTAAAATGAGAATACTATTGATATTAAGTTAGTGAAAAACTTAGCCGCATATGCCAATACTTCATTGCAATGTTTTGTGATAACTTTTATTCTTCTTGAGTGAAAATAAGTATGAAAGGTACTTACATACCTGTACTTATAAACTGAAACGTACGGGTCCGCGGAATTGGCTAACTCTGGAACTCGCTAACCCCATGTTAAATGCCCTATCTTCAAATTTGGTCGATGAGAGGAACTCGCTAACTTGTTCGGTTTCGGAATTGGCTAACTCCGGAACTCGCTAACCCGCTCTAGAGCCGGGTTAGCGAATTCCGTCCTCGTACGGAAGTCGCTAACTCGGTCCCTCGGCGGAACTCGCTAACTCCCAATCAGAAGCCTCGCGGGCCGTCCAATGGGAGCCAAGCACGAATATTTTTGGCCAGTGTTGCCGAAAGTGTAGTACATATATCGTATCGGCACCATAATGTCGTATCCTACGATTAATTAGGAGTAAGAGCAACGTAGTCGATAAAATAAATATATTTAGAAGTATGTTTAACCACAGAGAAGTTCTTATGATTATTAGGGTGGAAAATGCATTATAGTTTTACCATAGACTAACCAACACAAGTAAACTTTACATCCCATTGTACACTTTGAAGCTCGTTTTTCGTGTCTAGTTCATGTCCGGTGACACTGATCGCTAGTGTCGACAAAATTGTGTTTCTATTATTTTATAGTTAACTTCATGATTTGTTCCTTACTGTTTGGTTATATAACTAGGGGACGTGTTATTAGTTGTGATTAGAACGTTTTATTTGGTTAAACGAGGTTTTAAATTACTAAAAACTAGAAACAATTGTAAACAAAACACGACCTTTAAAGGCAGTGCACCGGACAGAACTAACAATAAAACTGTCTTCAGCTGATCCGTAGGATGAGAAATGTACTAATATAAGGGAGTATGTTTTATATGTGGGTTTCTTACTTAAATAGTAGCTTATTGGTATGAAAAAGATAAAAATGCACATTTAATTTGGATCTATTACATGTTATGAAATATCTATTTTCGTAGTCCGCCATTTGTTTCTTTTATTCGAATAAATACCATTTTGTGAACTTCTGCAAATAAAATTTTTGAGTTCGTATTTTATATACTGGGCTTGTAGTAACCTTAAATCATAAATCATAATAAAATTTACACGTTAAACGTCATTACAGAATTACATTGTAGTGGTTATGTATTTTTAAATAGAGCTATTGAATTTAAATAAATATTTATCAATACATTATAAAGTGGTAGGCCTAATGTATTCATGGATTGCATTAAAAGTTAGTCTATGCATAAATACAACTTGTAAATTTCTTTTATCGTAGGCTATTAGTGTAGAACCCGGGTCATCCTCTTAATTTTGTTGAATTAATATTAATTTTACGTCTTTCAGTAGGCTTACTTTTTAAAAGTCTGGAGTTTTTTTCCAGGCTGGTTCTATCTTATCCAAAAACAAAGCTATTGTCTATTGTGTAGCTCAGTACTGGGGAACGGTGAACCGAGCAATGGCTTGGTATAATTTATATCGTTTGTGAAAGCAATATAAAGGAAACCCAACACTCAAATCAGGAAAATCCGTCAATTAGTTTATTAAAAATCGTGAATTAAAATAACCCTGTCACGTTTTATTATATGAATATTATATCTTCTCCTATTTTTTACTAGTGGTGCTTAGGTGTACAATCTAAAAACTGTTTTAAAAAATGTAACATTATTGCTAAAAAATTCAACACATTTTAGAATTAGGCAACTATTTACTAGTAGGCCTACAATGATTTGGTTCAAACTATTAGGCCTAGATAAAAACTTAGTCTATGTCATCATATTTGTACACGTAAGTTGGACGGTTCAACGACGAACATTTAATTTAAAATCTATGAATTAATTATGAAAGTTACGATAGTTGATGACTGTATTAATTAATGGTTTTGGTTTATTACGACATTACAATTAAATCTGTTTTCCGTGTTTAAGAACTTGCGTGTATTTTAGCTTAATTTCGTAGAGGTTTAATTATTTATTACCAATTAAACTAAATTTTGAATATTTTTCTTATTCTATTATTTTCTTTTATACTGATGGCATTTATATTTAAGATCGAAATCATAAACATTTAACTGGCCATTGTACAGTTTAATAAAAAACACTTTTTCATGATTTTTTTATTGTCTTTTAATTACTTTGGGCTAGTTATCTGTTAAAAGTAAACTGATAACAAAAAACAATAACATTTACTGTATCTTTATAGACACTGACATTTTGAAATACGGCAGTGTACGATTATTTTGTCGTACAAGGTTGGCAAAAGGTCCGAGCAGTGGGCGCGGCCGGGTTAGCGACTTCCAGAGTTAGCGAATTCCGCCGCGAGACAAAATCGAGTTAGCGGGTTCCGGAGTTAGCCAATTCCTGACTGAGACGGTTAGCCAGTTCCAGAGTTAGCCAGTTCCGCCACACGACCGAGTTAGCGAGTTCCTGAGTTAGCCAATTCCTACGTCTCAAACGTACTTGCTGGATTTATTACATAGCCTACAGTTACATTCTAAAATTTACTTAGCAAATTCAATGATTTTTTTCTAATTTATATTTTTCCAAATGAAATTCTGTCGTGTTTCATAGTAAAAAAACAATACCTCTATAGTATTACATTATAACGATGGGAACGGAAGTCTCTGGATTCGTTCTAAAGATTATATCAACCAGTTTCAAAATTCAGGTAAAATATGCCCTACTGTTTTACCCAGGAAGGGGTGGTTTACCTGAGCGGTGGTTGTCCTAGGGTTAGTTAAGAAATGATGAAAGAAACTTTACGTTTCTTTGCCATCATGGTGTTTAATCCAAAAGTTGTATAAGAGCTAAAAATGTCCCATTAATTAATTTTAATTTCCAATTCAATAGCGATTACATTTTTCTGTGGGAAGCAGAACTTCAATAGTTCAATGAGAAAAGAAATGTATTCACGACACTGCAATTTTACTAACATTAAAAAAACTCAATAGTGGAATTTTGCTATCTAAAACAATTAACAATAAGGCTTGTCACAGACTGCGTCCGGTCCGGTAATATCGGATCAGGTAAATTCGAAAACCATTAATTCAAATGAAAGTCCCCACACTGAATCCGGTCCGGTGCGTCAGGTGCGGTCTGGGTAAAATTATTTCGGATAAGAAGTGATAGGTTACCGAAAAGCTTCCGGCGCCGGAGAGCTCGCGCATGCGCAGACCAATCTCTCTTGTGTCAGGGTCACAACCTGGCCAACCAGAAAAAATTCATGAGTAATTCATGAGTAAAAATAAATCCCGGTAGGCAGTTAAGTTCCTACTTTTCCATACTAAAATGTCCAACGTTTTTGCGCGCTAACTCCCGAAATGCTGTTTTAGCGCTTACACAGCTTGCCAGACTCGAGATTATATCCCGGTCATAGAAACGTCATCGTCGTCACCCGCGGTCACGAAAACGTCATCGTCGTCTCCCACGGTCACGGGAACGTCATCTCCCACGGTCACGGAAACGTCATCTCCCGCGGTCACGGAAACATCATCGTCGTCTCCCGCAGTAACGCAAACGTCATCGTCGTCACCCGCGGTCACGGAAACGTCATCGTCGTCTCCCGCGGTCACGGAAACATCATCGTCGTCTCCCGCGGTCACGAAAACGTCATCGTCGTCTCCTGCGGTCACAGAAATGTCATCAACATCACCCGCGGTCATGGAAACGTCATTGTCTTCACCCACGATCACGGAAACTTCATCATCGTCTCCCGCGGTCACAGAAATGTCATTGTCATCACCTGCAGTCATGGAAACGTCATCAGTGAAAACACCGGATCAGAATTAACCAGACCGCACGCAGTGTGTGACGAGCCTAAAATTTATTCTCTAATCCCGTACATGATTATGGTAAGATTTCGCTAACTCAACAAAATCAACTTCCATTCCAAACATGTTTTAATCTTACGACTTGTACCTGATTTGTTCTTACCTCTTTAGGAAGGAGTGAGATGAAATCCCTTTGGAACTGAGGCTCGATGAGCTGCATCATATGCCTGACTTGCGTTGGCTCACATAGTTCAATGAGACCATCAATGGCTAGAAGCCTCTCCGCATTAGACCACGTCTATAAACATACAAAATATATCAAGTTTGCCTCAAGTAGCACAGGAAAAGTGGTATTTTATTAATGTTAACAGAACTAAACAATGTGTAAACACTAAAACAGTGTGTCCACCAGTTGATCAAACTAAATTTCATTATTAAGAGTTGTTAGCCTCCGGATTACGTTTGAATATTTATAATGGTTTAAATACATGCATTCAGTAATCCAATATGCTGCTTGTGGCAACTATAGTTTCGGTTCACAGGGAACCATCTTCAGGCCGTACAAGGCGTCGTTATTCACTTCCATATATGAAGGTCGTCATTTAATAAATAAGTACATAGAACACGAACACACGAAAACGCACATTGACACGAACATTTAACATTAAAAATACCGAGTACTCGGGAACACGAGACAGGTGACGCTTAATACAATTCTTGTGAGGTTAATGAGTTCATCTTCTGCGTTTTTAGAAAGTTTTGAGTTTTTTTGTAGGTTTTTATGTAAGATGGCTATTGTTTCTTGAACTGGTACGTTGGTGTAAAGGTTAACTATGTTAAATGAAACTAATTTTTGGTTTCCTTTTATTACATGATTTTTTAACTGTTCGACTAATTCAATGCTGTTTTTTATACTATGGCTGTTTTCTAATACTCTTTCCAAGTCTGGGGTTTACAAATTAAACTGTAGCGATTGCCCAAAATATTACATCGGACAGACTTCACGCTCTTTCAAGAAGAGGTTCAGAGAACATATCCCCAAGAAAACTACAGGCCCACAAACTTCAAATTTTGCAGAGCATTTAATTTCACTCAACCACAACTATGTAAACATAAATAGTAATATGGACGTTTTACATCTTTCCCAAGACCGATCAACCATTAACACTTATGAAGAATTTGAAGTAAGGCAGTCAAAACAGATGGTCAAAATGTTTTAAATGACAAACTCTCATTCCAACAAACTCAATCGAATTCCATTTATAACACCGCAATCAAAATACTGGATGGGGGAGGAGGAGAGAAGGAATGAATGCGAGCTGGCAGTGATAAGGAGACAATGGCTGACGTCATACCACTGACCACCAGTTCGAGCTACAACTTCCACCCGGTCGCGTCACCTGTCTCATGTTCCCGAGTACTCGGTATTTTTAATGTTAAATGTTCGTGTCAATGTGCGTTTTCGTGTGTTCGTGTTCTATGTACTTATTTATTAAATGACGACCTTCATATATGGAAGTGAATAACGACGCCTTGTACGGCCTGAAGATGGTTCCCTGTGAACCGAAACTATAGTTGCCACAAGCAGCATATTGGATTACTGAATGCAGGTATTTAAACCATTATAAACTAAATTTATTGACTTTGATGGGGGGGGGGGGGGGGGGGGCTTAAACTACGAAAATGTACAACCTTTGGATAAGACAGTAATTTCCAGTGACTTGAACATAGTCAGGGAGACAATATTTTGTGCCGTGACAATTTGAGTTGGTTGCCTGCTCCCCAAAGTATATTCGCTCTCACTGATTCTGCATTATGAATCAGTGAATTTTTATTATTGTCTGCAGCAAGGTGCAAAACATAAGAATTTAGTTAGGCCCTATTTTTTGTGATTTTTGTGACCCTGAAATTTTGATACTTTTCAGTGATACTTTTTTCTAGCAAAGTCAATGACTTTTCCATGAATTCTGTGATTTTTCTGATCAGTAGACACCCTGTAAAATGAAAATAATGCTCTGTTGGTTTAGTTTATTTGATTTTTGAAAATATGACTGCAAAATCGCCAAAAATGCCTTGCTACTATAGAGTTTGTCCAGTGTCAGTTGGAGGGTTAAAAACAGGCCGACCGCACAATTAGAAAGGGACAGACTGATGTAGACAGTCTGTCCCTTGCTACCTATGTGGTCAGTCAACCCTTACTTAAATTTGGGAGAACATTGTAATTAGACGCTTGATCACGGGTCTAAATCTTTTCCACGAGAAAAATAGTTTCCGTGCCGCCTAATTCCTGTGAATCTTGTCTTCATGAAAATTTGCTGATAAAAATTGTCCAGAGATATCACTTCTGCCTAGTGTAGCATGGTTAAACCAATGTCCGGTTAAAAGGTTTCCGGACGAGAGGAAGTCTACTGTATAGGCCTATACATATTCTTATCCATCCACTATTCAGTTCCGTATCATCACTCCGAAGAACGGGTAAAGAAAAAACCATGATACAGATAGTATGCCATTACAAATATCCAAGAATATTACACGATGGGTGAACTCACCTTGAATTTATTAAGCCAATCGGTTATTTCTACTGGTGGATTATCTTTGGATGGAATTACACTTCGTTGATGTCTTGTTTTTTCTCCTGAAGGGTTTTCATTTGGTTTCTTTTTTACACTGTAACATACCAAGAACAAATATTTACCGTAATATAAAGGCTTTAACAATTTGTTTGCACAATAGAAATTATTATTGTTACATAATCCTCCACATTTTGTCTTAAGGCAGTGCTAGATGTAGTGTGTTCAATTCACCTCTTGTGCTTGAAGGGTCCGCTATAAATTGAATATAAAAACTTTAAACATTTTTTTGGTACACAAAATACTATGGGAAAAACTAATGTAGGCCTACTTTAAACTCTGCTGGAGGCACTTCTTTTGGTAAAAAAAGCCTTTGAGTTTCTCTCAAAGTACTAGTTGGCGACATCTAGGCTAGGCTACTGAACATTTTTAGAAAGGCGTAAAGACCTAAAAAGTAAGATAACATATCTATATATAATACCTACTGTTATATAGGCTATCTACCTGTATAATAGTCTAGTGGTTAGTAGATTATTGAAAACATTACTAAGTTGAGATTTATCTATGTAAACCAAGCTATTTATTTTATTATTCACTTTGAAAGTGAACCAGCCTACATTAATATAAACACAGTTGTAACCATTTGTAAAATATCAAGCAATAGTGTGATCAGGTTTGCTGATATTTTTGGTTGGCAAATATTATGTTCTAGCTAATAGATTTTACTTACCTAGATACAGCAGTCTTGTCTTCTGGAAATAATTTTTTACATGGTAATCCATTTGGAGCTTCTGCTAGGTGTTCAAGTTTTCTTTTACGCTGAAATTCAAAATATTGGTTATTCATCCTCATTTACGATCTTTACAAAGATCATAATAGGGTATTTTACAGATCATTGAAACAACAGTCCAGGGGCTAAAAATACACTCACAGCACATATACACTAATGATTTGTAATTGATTGTAGGCCTACATCAATTTTGTTTGAAACTGTTAAATGGGGCAAATAAAAATAAGTAAAACCCTATAGACCCTACTTAAGATTATAAAGTTAGGCTACCTATTGATTTTGCTAAGCTTGATGAAATTAAATGTTTGTTTGCAAATTGTAAAAAAGTCCAATGAAATTTAACAGCTGGACACAAAATTACAGCTACCGGTAGTGAAAAATTAAAATTAAAGCAAAAAATTAGTTTCTTGAACTGATTGTTTTATGATTGAATATATTTCAACAGATTAATTGCCACTACTCTGTCTCTAAGTGAGGGAAAAAATTTTCTTGTAAACCTTTAAAAAAAATTAATTCACTTAGGCCTAATAAAAATTTGACAATTATAAGGCTAGTGTTTATTTAGCTAAGGGTAGCCTAACTTATGAAAGAAAATTGTTTCTAATCCTAAAATAGTTAACCCTCTGTGGGCTATTTATCGCCACAAAAAATATAATGGGTTTAACAAAAAATTTGCTAGTTTAATGACATTGCTTGCCACAACACAAAACATTCATACAGTAGGTTAAGTGCTGAAATGCTTACACTTTTTAGGCAGTTTCAGTGTTTACAACAGAAATTTTGTTTTCGAAAGAAGTCTGAAACATTTGTTTAAAACTGTTTACACCTGAGTTTACAACAGAATGCTTAAAACTTGCATTTACTACACCCCCTAAATAGGTACTGTATTAATGCCCACTAATAATAAATTAGTGCCAACAATATGTATGTATGTGTAACAAAATTACACAAAGATTTGTGTGTTTCGCAAAACAAAAACGGTTGCGGAGGAAACAACAAATCTAGGAAGAAAAAAATAGGCCTACTGATTTAAAAAGTGGTCAAGCAAACAATTAATTGGTCTATTTTATTTCTGGATTACTTTATATGGATACGTAGGTAAAACATTGGAACTAATTCTAAACAGTTTTCACAGCTACAAAATCAACTAAGGTACTTACAGCAAGGCCCGCTCTTAGCTCCTCGATTTCACCTACTCTATTTGAAGGGGGATTCTGTGAGGACACAACAAACGTTGCCTGTTCAGAAACGTCATCATCACTCACTCCAGTTCCACTCCATAGCCAATCATCATCCACTTCTTCTTCACTGTCCTCCTCCCCACCCTCTTCTTCCACTTCCCCCTCACTGTTCTTAGATGGACTTGCCGTCGCCTTCACTTCCACCACTACCTCCTCCTCACTCGAGGTCCCAGGCACTTGAGTTTCACTCTCCAGACATTCTGTTGGGCTAAGTTTGGTTGTATCAGTCTTCTCTCCCTCCGATGCCGATTGTTCCGACATCGAGCTGGATGGTGTTGCCAAGTCCATGTTGTGAGGTGAAGACATCTGGAACCATTGAGATACTTATTATGGTGATTAAATGTTTTAGATCAAAGTTTAGTTAACTAGAATTTGTGACCCTAAGTGGGTTGTGTGCCCATGTTTTACCATAATATGTGACTATGTCTATTGCAAGATTGTTTTGCTTAATGACAATAAAGGATTTCTGATTTCTGTGAGGAGTTTAAACATTGAAAATGTTTTTCCCCTATGAGCATAGACAAAAAGAATCAAATATAGACTGTCAGCCGTGTGTTGGTTACTATGGTTACCATAGGTTCTGGCGCACACCACTGGGAGCACCGTGTAGTTACGTAACGCGTAGGCCGCAACTACATGACGCTCCCAGCGATGTACCCCAGAACCTATGGTAACCGCAGCACAGCTGACGGTCTATATTTAATTCTTTTTGTCTATGCTATGAGTCACCTGTCCAACACTTAGAACAGAGATAAATGTGACTTTAAGCTTTATATTTGTGATATTGTTAACCCTGTTTTTTTCAGGAGTGATGTGTGAAGTTTGCATGCAACATTCTTACACTAATACTGCGATCACCGAAGACGTCTGCAAAGTTTGCATGATTTAAAATTAATGATTCTCTAACAAAATGACGGTTGACGTTAGATAGAAACGAATTGTTTCCTTTAAAAACGGTAAAAATGTGTTTTTCATTTGGCCGTTGGCGTAGAAAACAGAAAAAAATTAAATTACAGTAAAATTTCTAAAATTCAGCTGTGCGTTAGTCAAGGCCGTAATAGTAATCCTTTCCAGCCATCTGAAATGTTGATATTTTAGTCCATCCTATATAGGCTACCGATTTCCTGCCACTGCTAGTCCACATTGTCCAATAAAGTTGTGATTTGCAATGTTTTTTTAAATCATTCTCTTTTTTAAAAAATATCTCTTTAAATGACAAATAAGAACCGGTAGCCTACTCTTACTTAACTGCATGTTATAAACGCCACTAGCATTGACAACATGAACAAGAACAAGACTAAACTTTTATTGTAGGCCTAACCTTAAAACAAAATACTAACCAAAATACTTTCCATTTTTGGCATTACCATCTGGGCCAACTAATAAGGCAAACAGAACATTACACAAATTATTTTTGAAACAATGTGAAAGTTTATTTACTTTTAGTAATTTCCCAAATAGGGAATAAGCTTTGAGTTATCGTTAACCTGCACCCAGGGCCCATTTACTATACAATGCAATGTAGCCTATACTATACTAAAACCAGGGAGAATGTTATAATTGAGACTTTTTGAAATCCAAAAACCAAACCAAAGATTTTTGTGTCAACTGTCAATATTGGCTTTAAAAACTTGGAAATGGAACCCTAAAATCATAAAATATTACTCAATGTGGCTAATAAAACTGTTCATTTTTTATCTAGGCATAATACCTACTAATTTACTTCCCTAAAGTTTCATCACGATCGGATGGTCGTTTAGTAACGCATTTAAAAGACTTCTAAACATTGGATTTAATATATTTAGATAACAACATACAAAGAAAACAGAGACTTTTTTAGACAAAGATATGGTGTACAGGCATATCCATCTTGACAAATAAATAATTTGATTCTTAGTTTGTTTAGATATTAAAATAGATTGTTTTACATTTCGAGTTTTTAGGGACTTATGTCCCTACCTAGTATTCTTTTAATTTATGTTGTCGAATTAAGGGAAAAGACCGTGTGAAAACTTAATAAATTAAGTTAGCGCAAGAATTATTGAAGAAAAGTTATTTTCAAAATTACAAATGTGTAAGTGTGTACTATTTACCCACTTGCCCAATACTAACTTAACTTAAGTTTTTAACCCTCCAAGTGTCCATAGTTTAGGCCTTAATGTCCACCTATTTTTGGCGCATTTGCAAGGTTTTATTAAAACGGATCTGAGAAGCTTAAAACAATGTTAATTCTAATGTTCTATATACCATTTTGTTTGGAAAATCATGGGCTTCAATATCTTACATAAAACATAAGGAATATTTGTTTCAAAAAAATTTTTTAGGTAAAAAAAAATTATTTTGGAAAAATTGAAAAAAAAAATAAGTTCGCACTCAATGAAATTGTATAAATTATAGGCCTATAAATATTTGAAAATAGCCACTTTGTTCTAAATTTAATGAGGATTACAAATATATAATCATATGGTGAGGTAAGTTATCAAATAAATAAGTTATGAGTGAAAAACGGATTTCAGTACATAGCGTTTAGCTAAGAATGCATAGCCTAACCATAGCTAGGAATCTTGCTGATAATTTACATAAATATCACTACCTAGTACTTCTTCAGGATCATCAACCAGCCCTTCAAAATCACTTAAATCTTCTTATAATGCACCACGTATATCACTACTTTTGATTTTTAACACTAAAACAATGATAAACGTAATAAAACACATCAGCCATCGGTCCGAGGATAACCAAGCTGTTTACGAATACGCACGTCAGCTGTCTGCTACAATTACGATCAGCTCGGAGAACATACAGCGCTGAGACAGACCTCTGGAGAAAGCTTAGAATATAACGGAAAGAACGATACCTAACTCGATCCAGTTCAATCCGATTCAGTCAGTCATAGAGCCTTCGCCGTAAACGATGTTCGTGCGTCGAAAAATCAACGCGTGACACTACACAAAGTGTGTAGCGCGTCGATTTTTCGACGATGGACGCTCGGAGGGTTAAAGCTAATTATTTACGGAAGCTGTAGTCCACCTAAACAACAAAAATTAAAAATTAGAAAAGAAAATTGGGTACCGTACTTTGGTATTATTCGGAGGCCACCCTCTTACAGCGCGTTGCAGCGGTTATGTTAGAATGGGTTATCATTTAAATATGTTTGTAGGACTTTCCTTGTTTTTCTATGAATCAAACTAGTACCTTCAGGTAGGCCACAAGCTATGGACGACTGGACAAGCCAGCCTCTTTGGGTTGTACCCAAAGTGAGAGTACCCAGTGACATTCCCTCCATTCAGGGTGGTGGGGTGTTCAGCTCTGCTAGTGTTGATTAAGTTCATAGATCTTTCACTTGCCTGTAGCTTGTGGTTGTGACTGAGTTCTTCGGGCTCGTCCTACCTGTTGTGTTTGACTGACATTTTGTGAGGCATATCCTCGACTTTGGAAGTAGCCTCGTCCTGGGAGGTGAAATACCTAGCTCCCAAAGGGGAGGTAAATGCTCGGTGTTGGTATCGGCATTTTCAAGTAGGCCACAGACATGGACGACTGGGCATTGGGTCCCAGTGACATTCCTTTATCCAGGATGGAGGGGTGTTTAGCTCTAGGAGAGATGGAAGTGCATCATATTCTCTAACCTACCTGTGTCTGTGGTTCTTTGGGCTTCGGCCTGCTTGTTGTGTGCGACCAGCATTCAGTGTGGAAAATCCTCGACTTTGGAAGTAACCTTTCCTGGAGGTGAAAACGGGCAAGTACCCGTAGCTCACGGGGACACTCAAGGGCAACGTAACTTTCCGCAGTGTGAGGGCAACGGTTTGTAGGCACTTATGCAAACCAATCCCTGTCTCTGAGCACGGACGGTATGGTTATCTTGAGTGTGGGGGGTTCTTCCCGTAACCTCAATTGAGTCAAGGGTGTCGCCACCTCTGGTGGATAGGTTCATCCGGGTGGGTCCCACTTCTATACCTGCCTCCTTTTGGGAAACCCTGATGGCCTGGCAGTGATGTTGGGTCTGACGGACAAACGAAGTAGATCGGGTGCTGGGTCCGAGCCCGCCAGGGGTATCTGGGGATCTATCGCTCTGGTTATCTCTGGTTTCCCAGCAACTGGGTAAGGCCTCGATCGGGTAGTGGTGTAAATGGGAGGTTGGGGTTCGCTGACGGTCCCCTTCCTTCTGGCTATTGATGGCGGGTTTGCCTGTCAGGGATTAGATAGGTCCCGAGTGTTGCTTGCACTAAATGCGTCGGGGCGCTCCATTATGGACCTCTAGGTCCCGACCTAGTGGAACCCAGGTGGAGTGACGCTTAAACAAGCAGCCGGAATCCCTACTGGATTAGGATTGAGGGGCAACCCTCTTTCCGAAGGGTCTGCTTCGGCAGCCGGCGAGCCTGATGACCTTAAGTCATCCGCCCATGATGTGCTAAAGGTTGATGCGTAAGCTTCGGCCTACATCATGGGGCCCGGGTAAGTCTCACGACAGGTACCGGGTACGTAGTCAGGGGGCTTCGGCTCTCATGACAAATAATGTAATGTAATGTAATGTAATCAAACTAGTACCAGATGAGTCATATTTTCACCCGCCAAATCCCCTCCAAGTAGGCCAAGGTCAGATCCTTGACCGGAGCGTGCGCATCACCTGTCACCGCCCGTATCTGAAATAATGTCTTGAGTGATGACTCATGCAGTCTTGTTCGATTCATAACGAAACGAAGAAAGTCCTACACAAACATAAGTTATTTATGATAGCCCGACGTAACATAGGGCCTACGCTGTTTACCTACTTGGTGGAGTAGCCTACATGTGGCAGCTAACGGCGACGACAAATTCAACTCAATCCCCGCCTTATCGCTGCCTTCTGGGAGGCAGCACTCAAAGGCCGCTAATTGCAATCGTGTCATATTTGTACAGTAAGGCAATTAACTTAAAGTGTGTTCTTTCCAATTTCCTAGATTTAAATTCCTAGCACCCCATTTAAGTTAGGCTAGCCTACGTTAAAATTTTAAGAAGAAAAACCTTTAAAATTAGGCTAGGCCTAGGGCCTAATCTTTTAACCACACTCCATTAAGGTATCGTTTTCTCTGATTTGTCATTAGCTTACCAAAACCCTAGGCCTATGAACTAAGCAAGATTCCATAGGCCCTAAGTTATAAATAAGTTAAAAGGCGATCTTAAGTTAAATTTACTTAAATTTTATAAATCAGCAGATATACATTTTAGGCCTGAAAGCCAAAAACAAAGGCCTAGGCTAAGCCCAATGGCATCAATTTAAAAAATTACTCTTACCTTTGACGACTAAATTAGTCAAACTTAACATAGAACCCTAACAAAGATATAACGGTAGAACAGTAAGTTAACAAGACGATAAATAATTATAATAGTATATAAATCTAGCCTACTTTAAATTAGTTATTTCTAAGCTACGTGAAATGTTGAACCAGGTCTAATGTAAAGGAACAAGTCACCAATCAAGGTTCTCTCGTTCTCTGGTTTATGAACTTGGAAGTCACAAAACTATCAAAATGAGGTTAAGAAAGTCGTCGTTTAGAAAGAAACATTTGCTTATCCTAATTGCTTAATCTAAATTTAGTTGAGGGAAGTAAACTAAAAATCACATTATAGACATTAATTCGATTTACTGACAAAAGTACGGTACTAACCTATCAACTCATCTCCATTTTCCACTAGGCTAGTGCTACTGCTACTTGCAGAAAAATTATAATGGGAAGTGGGAAGGGGAAGAAGGGGACTTGTAGAGAACGGGATGACTGGTTGTTGCTGGTTCTCCTCTCCGTCTCCCGTGCCCTCCCACCCCACCATAAATTCTGCCCTGCCGTGCCCATGGTGGAAGGCGTGCCCTTAAGAAAATGTGTAAAAAACTTGCCTCTTGAACCTCTTGGTAGCCAGCCACCACCCGCCACTACACTACACAAGTAGGCCTATTGACTATACAATACACAATGTTCTATAATGAACAACAGCAGTAATTAAATATAACAGAATTTGAAACGCGAAACAAGACATTTTCTAAGAGGTAGAAGCCCTCTTTTACATTGGATTTGCCCGTCCACATGAGCCACAGAAAGCATGTGCATGGCACGTACGTATCCAGCAAGACAAGGAGTGGACACATGGGTGGACCTGGACCGGTAACTTAGGGGAGTAGTCTGGCTGGAGTACGAGAGTGAACTCTAAACAGCCTATTGTGACCCAGTGGGGCCTTGTGTGACCCCTATTGGCTTTACTGTTACTGTACATTGTACTGGTAAAAAAATACTAAACTTTGGTTTAGTAAAATCATATTCAAATAAAATAAAGACTGTCAAAGGAAGGTTCCATGATGTGCCGTTAGAGCGTGCTTAGTGTGTTATTTACTGCCGTCCGGCGTCACAAGGCCACACTAAAAAAACTAAAAAGTTTGTTTTAATGTGGCCTTGGTCGTCGGCACTGTCGGAAGTCGGCTCCTCATCATATGCTACCAGCAGACGCTGCAGCTGTGTGCGGCTACATAGCCTAGCGGTGGACGCCATAGTGGAAGGAAAATCCGTCCATGGGTGGACGCAAGAACAAATTAACCGCAGCACTGCCACGGCTACTTTTAACTCCAGACCGTGGCCTGGTATAATTTCCAACGTCGCAAGTAGTGTTGTTATTAGTGTCAGACGTCCCAAAAGATAACATGGATAACATGGCAGACATCAGGGTGACACCAGCTAATTAATTCGAAAATCATTCATTTAAATTTATAAACATTAAAAGATTGAAAATAAAACATATAGAACTAAACCAAAACAATATAAATTAAAAATCTATTTCTGTACATTTAAACAAAACAGCTGTAACAACAACACAACTTGAACCTCCCGGGGCTTACAAATGGTTCCAAACGACCCCCTCCTGAAACCCCCCCTAAACCACTAGATGCGGTCCTGTTTGTACTTGTACCCATCCATCGACAATCGTCATCGTCATTATTCTAAATTATCGGCAATGACGGCAATCTTATAATTTTTATAGTAAAAGGTATGGGTTGCATTTTTCCTTTTCATCTAATATTAATAATACGAAATGTATACAAAATGTAAATTTGTTTCACATAATGTAAGACAATAGGCATTCTAAAATGTAAATACAATAATAAAAAAATATTTCAATACAAGTTTGAATTTAGATGATTTATAAAAAGAGCATAAGCTTCTGTTTATTGATCAGACAATAAGTTTATTTAATGTATTCGCGTTAAGTGTACTTAATCAACGCGTTTGTATAGTCGTGTTGTATTTTTTGGTCTTTTTGTTGAGACAAAGACATCAAAAACTATTTGAAATAGAAAATTGAAAAAAAAACAGTAAGCATGCATGCACTAAAGCGGAAAAATATTCAGAACAGAACAGATGGTGTTTTATTAATTTGTATACCTACCTAGGCAGGAGGAAGGATTTTCGATTTCGTCTTGTCGTCTTGTCTCTGTGTAAAATAAACTGTTATGGTTGTCGAAGACTTCCTTTTATCGAGATATATGGGCCTATTTTAGATTTCATACCCACAAGTACTTTGGTCACGTGACTACATACTTTCATTTAATTAATTAATTAGCCTTAATAAGTAAGTAAGATTATGGGTCCAGTTAGAGATCAGATTTGTACGTAAGTTAAGCTGCGTGTTTGGCGATACGACCTGTAACATTTAAATAACGTTTTCAACTACCCACAGGTAAGTCTTTATCTTTGTAATGCCCTTTGTTACTATCCATTTAACAATTACCTAGCTCAGTTATGGTGTTTTGGCCTACTAACTTACACGCTATAGCCTAAACTGTCATTACCACACATTAGACTAGGCCTAGGCCTATCTGTTTTGTCCAATATACACTCTGATAAACTTCATAGGTCTAAGCCCACAAATACTAGAAAAGCCCCGGTATGGATCATAAACATAAACAAATAGCGTTTTTGGCCCGAAAGTAAACAAACCCCCTATACTACATAAACATATGGATTTCTTTACATTCGGGCCAAAAACGGTGTGGATCATAAACATAAACAAATAGCGTTTTTGGCCCGAAAGTAAACAAACCCCCTATACTACATAAACATATGGATTTCTTTACATTCGGGCCAAAAACGTCATTTGTTGATGTTAATGATCCATACCGGGTCTTTTCTAGTATTCGTGCCTAGGCCCTAAAGGCAGCACTCTACTTTACATCCTACACTCATTCGAATGAAAATATCGATCGATATATCGATTATTCGATATCGATTCATCGATATTATGATTAACTTAGGCCTAGGCCTACTCACTATTTCGATTGCGGTATTCTATACATCGATTATTGCATTGTTTTTGTTTTAAAATTTACATTTTTGTTTATTTTGATATATTCTCGTGACAATTTGTATGTCTTTTTGGTAACCAGAACACAGTGATTACGCCAAACTCGGTGATTCTCGCTTCCCTTCGCATTTTCTGTCTAACTTATCGATAGCGTATTTCCGCTTAGTAGTAAGTTGAGATAGGACCTTTTTTTTGCCTCCGTCACTAGAATGCTAGCCTGCCTACCCCTAGCCCAAAAATCTTTAGGACTATACTAGCGCTTGCTAGTAATAACTGGCATTTATTCACCTACAAAGGTTCTAGTCATTTGGTAATTTTGTCGGTCGGAGAACCCGGTCACAAGGGGGAACAATTGGGAATGTTTGTGACGATTGAAGAGTAATGCGAGTATACGGAGGAATGCGGTATTTTGTAACGTATGGAATTCGTTGAGGAAATACAATACTCTCTTATAAGGAATTGTTGCCACATTGGGATTACGTAACTGGACTCCCAAAACAAGGAGGCCGTACAACCGAGTTACGTGAACGAGAAAACTCGAGTGGCGGGGCGTGAGCGGCGACCAACGAGTCGAGCGCCGGCTGACGGGGACAAACGACGCGAATCGAGGACTTCCAAAGACTGCCACGCACGAACACGACTGCGGGCGGTCACGAAACTCTTACTGCCGTCCATGGGAACCGTGGAATAGCTTAGTTTTTAGCGAATTTCCCTATAGGGAAGTAGCTATTACCGTAGGTGGCACGATAAGACCTAGACCCGGGACCGATTTACTTTTTCATTTTGATGTCCCCAGAGGCCAAAAACACTATTCGTTCAAATTTTTATATATCTTATCTTACTAATATTATAAATCTGAAAGTTTGTGAGTTTGTGTGTATGTTTGTGTGTATGTTTGTGTGTATGTTTGTGTGTGTGTTTGTTGCTCAATCACGCATAAACTACTGGTCGGATTGGGCTGAAATTTGGCATGATGATAGCTCACATTCCCGATTAACATTAAAGCATATTCATATCTCAAAAATCCTTTCGGGCTCCGCCCCAGTGGCTCTGTAGTTCCCCATGTTAATCTTATGATTTTTCATATTTAAAAGGAATTAATGAATCTTAACAGCTGTTTCAATTAAACAAGTTGGTTCTGTTCTATGATGTGCAATAGCATAAAAGTTACACGGATTACCAACAGGGTGCAGCACTATTAATTTTTTTTTATTTATGACAACAGCTAATTTCCAACCAAAAGGTGAGTGAGCGTAGCGAATGAACTTCAACCTGGAAGCGAGTTGGCGTAGCGAACGAGCTAACCTGAAGGCAAGTGAGCGCAGCGAACGAGCTCCAACCTAAAGGTGAGTGAGCGTAGCGAACGAACTTCAACCAGGACGTGAATGAGCCATGCGAATACTTATGAAGTTAAACGGGGCGAAGCCCGCGGGTACAGCTAGTGTATATATATATAGACTTATATATATATATATATATATACGTCCGTGAACGCGATAACTTGAGTAATTTTTGTCCGATTTTGATGAAATTTGGTTTAAAGGTGTAAAGCGGGATAAACTTGAATGAGTTCGCGAACCAGCATGATCGGACCATGGGAACGGGGCTTTACGGGGGGTTTTATGGGGTAAAAATTGGTTTTTCTCACTTTTGACCCTCAAAACACAAAATTTCCCAATTTATCTTTAGACCTTTTTAAAGAGCTTAAAAAAACAAATAATTTAGTATATGAAAGTATTTTTGTTCGATTATTAGTAACGGAGAAAATTAAAAAAGTTGTAAATTTAAAATTCCCATGTTATTCTTATGGAGAATATTGTCAAATGTTGTAGTTTGCTTGTTTATGAATATATTTTGATCAAACTTGGCAAATTTATTTATTTTCTACTAAGCTATCAATATTTTACTCAAAAACACACTTTATTAGTTTCCTTGTAGCAGCAAACCTAGGTACTCGTTAAACCTAATGTTATTAAAATATATTTAACTGAAAATCAATTCAGACAAATGGAAATTCGCTTAGTCGGCAGGTTTGCTGCGGCGGGGTATTGTATAACTTAAATAAAGTCATTTTTAAAGAACTTCACCACGAATTACATCGGAAATTTAACTTAGTCAGAGTAGGGCCTATATGATGTAGGTAATCCTGAAAATTGTTTCAAATGGATGCAAGATTACTATACGTGAAACCTGAGCACAACCATGGTAACAGACCTATGGAAATTTTGGATTAGTAGCCTACATTAAATCTCAGTTAAGACCTATAACCATTTCTCAGTCAACCATAGTAGAAATTTCGTGGATCCAATTAAGTAAGTTCTGCTCATACCCAGACTGAATCTTCATGGAGATGACTCAAAAAATCATTGGGAACTGGCATAAAAGGGGAAAATTTATCGTATCATTTTGCTAAATAAGTTAAGAATCTGTTTCGTAGGAATGTTAAGATTTCTAAGGAAGACCCTTTCTTTTTCTTCGTTAAAGCTGTGAAACAATTATATCCTGGAAGATTTTAACTAAGTTTAGTATCTAGAATGAGGCTATAATTTGTAATTTGGTTTTTTATCCTATTTTAAGTTAAATCGTTAGCCTATATATTTTAATTTTGTTTATTTACAAATATAAGATAAACTAACTTAACTGATCATAATTACAGCTGATATTTAATTTAAAACGATAGGCCTATTAAAAATCGATAGAAAATAATCGATAAGTTATAGGCCTATTGATCGATATTTTCATTTGAATGAGTGTAGGACGTAAAGTGCAGCCGCTCTAAAGAACATCATACAAACAACATAAGCCTATCTAGGCCTTGGTTGCATTTGCTTATATTTTAACTTGCGCATTTGCTTAAGTTACGATATAGTATCAGATGAATACCCTAATTGATACAGGCCTAGGCTTGTATCGATTATTATCTGGTTTAATAAGTAATATTATACCGGTAGGCCTAATGACTTTTATTAATTAGGTATAACTTAAGTTAAGTTACTAACAACTTATGATGTGTAGGCTAAATCAGAGGCGTCACGTAAACCATAGATTTGGGGGGGCACATTGATATGACACCATCCGGGGGGCTGGGGGGTATGGAATACCTCCCAGTAAAAAGGGGGGGGGAGGGAAATTTGATTTTTCGTACTTAAAAATGCTGCTGTAAGCCTTAAATCCTTTAAGGCCTTAAATGTTAATTTTTATATCTTACTTTATAGTTTTTTACCTCCTGGATCCAAATACTTATACCATTATTTTTCACCGCTGATGAATATTTCTCAAGATATCACCATCAAACTATACAACATTACAATAAACAAGGTAGGATGTATAACATTACAATTGGAATGAACTGTGGGTTAACTAAGCCTGCAGCTGACTCTTTTCAAGCACACGACAAGCAACTCCACCGTCACAAGTTAAGGTTAAGTGAAGAGAGTAACATGGTTGGTGAGAAGAATAACTTCGTTGATTAAACATAACTAAAACATTTCAAGTGATTCTGTAGTCAATAATGTTTTCTATAAAAGTAATTTCGTCACATTATGGAGATATAGATGGACTAGTGGACTAATTACATGTAGTTCTTATTTAGGCATGTCAGGATGGTAGGTCGTGCTTTATGTGAATTCGTGACTGCATTAAGTGTTTTCAAGATAGGTTAGATTAGGAAGGTAAAGTTTAGGTTATAATGAATCGAGTTGTTAACTTAGTTTATGTCACCTGCAGACTGTTTTTGTAAAATTAAATTCCTGAGAAAAACACTTAAAATTACTATTTCAAAAATGCTTGCAAATAATGGTACCGGTAGGCCTATACCCTATATTTGGATTCAGGAGGTAAACAACTATAAAGTTAGACATCAAAATTAAATATTTGTTTGGAGGCACTTATACTAAATAATTACCATAACGTTGCAAAGTGCCACTGGGGTAAATAAACACCACAACATAAAAAAACCCCTTGCTTAACCTTAACATAATTGATAACCTTAACCAAATTAATATAGAAAACGCCCAGTCCAAATCCACTTAATATTTTTCCTAGGCTATGAAGTTTCTTACCTATTAATTAATTTAGATTAAATTTTCTTTCAGTTGTAGCACTGGAGCAAGGATAATTAAGTTAGGCTTACCAAATTTACTCCCCATTTATTGGTGACACATTCTAGATAGATTAATTAAACATAGGCTTAGTGTAACTTAATTAATTGCAAAAAAATAGATTTTATAGAAAAAATAGAGACCCAACCGACTTTGTAAAGAAAAAAGTCCAGGTAGTCTGTTATTTAAAGTGATTTCCCAATGTAAAATAATTATTTTGGTTTTACTTCTTGTAGGCATTAACTTGTTTGTAATAGTATTGTATTTATATTTTGTTCTAGGAATAATTCCTTATGTGCTCTCATGGCAAAAATGAAATATTCAGAGATGTCAAGGGACATCTCCTGCGACAGTCTCTCAACTCTTCGGCTCATAGAGGTGAACCACTATACAGTAGCCTCTTCCTTCCACGATATGGAGTGGTTGTGGATTTAATGCTAACCTAACCTAATATGCCCGCGAAAAACTAAATATTGACTTTGAATATAGATAGTTAATCTAAAAAAGGTTTATGTAGGCCCAATATTATACGTTACTAGTCCTGAAAGTAACTTAGGTGTTCACTGGATGAGTGTGGTTGTTCCTTTGTGAGACGAATGTGAATGTGGGATTACCATACAAATCTGGTAAACACATTTTGGACGAGCGGTACAGTTGTACTTTACGCCATACTACCTTAACAATAAAAAAAACTGTACAAATCCTTAGTATATATTCCCACCACTTATATAGTCCTTTAGACAAAGCACTAACAATCGCTACAGTAGAACCCCTCATATCCGGCCACCACGGAACAAAGCCCCCTGGCCGGATTAACCAACCTACTATTAAAGTGACAATTTCATACCTAATCATAATTTATGTAATCAATATATGCAGTTAAAAGTATCGTTCAAGTATGTTCTGCAATTATTTTTAGGATAATAAACATATTTTTAAAAATAAAAAAAAGAAATTTGTAGGTTAAAGTTGTTAAAATATTATTACAGGTAACCATAACCTTTTACATCACAATAAAGGTAAAAATTGCAATACATTTACCTTGTAGATCATTAGAACTTGAATGGTACATACAATTCTAATCAACTTTCTAATCCATTTTGTGAAATACAACATTTTAAATGTACTGTACCATAGACAAATAGAATAAATATAGACCGTCAGCTGTGCTGCGGTTAGCAGGAGTTTTGGCGTCCACCGCTAGGTTTGCCGTGTAGTTACGGCGCACACCGCTGCAGCATCTGCTGGTCGCATTCGGCTCCTGCGCTCCCCGCCTGCAGCGGTGTGCACCGTAACTACACGGCAAACCCTAGTGGTGGGCGCCGGAACCTTCCTTTGACAGTCTATATTTATTCTATTTGTCTATGACTGTACTAATGAAAACAATCAACCAACTGTTCAGAGGTTAGGCCAACTAGCTTAACTAAGTGACACAGTAAAATGTATTTACAAACAGATAAATAGTAAGAACTCTCAAGTCACAAAGACTAGTGCTTGCATCTACACGTCTGCAAGCTGTGAGAAAACTATTTATTATAGGCTTCCTAAAAGGGGTCAGATAAAGAGGAGACCGTTAAAATCAAGGCTGGATATCAGTGGCTCTACTGTACTCATAACCTCTCGAGAGGTTATGTTTTTGTTTATAACCACTCATTGCCAAATATATTCAGCTGGTGTCCGGTAAAAACTCATTACAGTATAGTTATAAGTCATGAAGCCCATTTGATTAGTTTTCTGGACGAAATCCTTGCATGGGCAGTTCGTAAAAACAGTGTAGTGTGGCGTAAAAACATTTTAAATACAGTGTTCATGTATTTTAACTTTGTTTCGAACATGTATATTTTATAAAACAAATTTGTAAACTTAATGGCAACAATTTTAAAACACATACTAAACGTAACTTAGTAGCTACTTATTGGCTGTAAACAGTGACTCATTCAGTGGTCAGTGAAGTAAACAAAGGCTATATTAAGTTATAATCTAACTGTAACATAGGCCTTCTAACTCTGAACATTTTGTGATCTGCTGAATAACCTACATTCAATTTACAATGGTAATACATAAGGTATATTTTGATTTTTTACAATAGTGTTGAATCTGCAGCGTGATTAATCCACCTGTAGAAAATTGGGAGTCTGCTGTAATCACAGCTAATGAAATTATATAGGTAACATCGTTTCAACCTAATTGGTAATAAGGCATGATCAATCAACCTTTGCAAAGAGTTTTGATATAAAAATGTAAATACTTTTTTTGTTAATATTATTGGAAAGTTTTACCATGCAGTTTTACTAAGCATACTAATATTTATTGTGGTCATGATTGTACTCTTGATTAATTAAAATTGAGTTTGTAGATCCTTGAAAAATTTAGTTTTTAGTCATTGTCTACCAGTTGTAGCCAATCTTCTGTATGTATAGTCTTGTTTAACCCAGATTTAAATGTGTTGAATCATGTGAGTTAGCCCCAAAATATTTGTAAATTATAATCCATTGGTTTTGTGTTCTTTTAGTAGTTTTTTTTGTTTTTAAAGTTAATGACGTATGCATTTCTAGTATGTTCTTGGTGAACAAAAATACAGGTTAGGCCTATTTTCTCAGGAGAAACATGAAAAAAAGACAAGAGATTGTGACATTGAGCCTGTGACACTTCCTAAAAATACTCCGAATAAGATCTCTCCAAAGAAGATCTCTCGCACTTCAACTGCGGAATCAATCAGTACAGCGTTGCCTTGTTATGACAATCTCGGGTAAATATTTCATTTCAAGATTTGTAACAAAGGCTATAATTTAACTACAAAGTCTATTCCACAATAAAGTTCGGCCAAAGTTTCTGTGCACGTGCCCAAAACTGGTCGGGTCTTGGTGAGGTGTTGGCGGGGGTACTTTTGTGAAAACATTTGTGTCTTCTTTGTCACTCAGTGTGACTGACTCACCCCTACTCCCAGCTCTGCCAATGACTGTCACCCATATGTTTTAGTTCGGCTAGTAGCGACTTGTCCGCGTGCACAGAAGTTTTGGCCAAACTGTACAGAGTGTCCAAAAACAAAAAGTCATGGGTCGGTTAAATATTTTTTGAAATATTGAAAATAGAGCTACAAAACTTTAAGATTTTCTTCTGACTCCTAGTGGGCCGTTCCCCTGAGGAAGGAGCGGATCACTGAATATGTGATAAAATAGATTTTTTTGTGCAAAGTTTTGTAGTTCTATTTTAAATATTTAGAAAAATATTTAACCTACTCGGGACTTTTTGGACACCCTGTTTATACCTACTAATTATTAACAGCTACCGAACAAGGTTTTAAATTCCAGTTACACTGTCGAATATCTTGAGAAGTTTGATGCCGTGGCAGTATGACATTTCAGCATTGTTAGCTGCTTGTAGCACTGAGCCGGCCGAGCTGAAACTGAACCGAATCATGTTTACAATCAAAGTATGGTTGGCAGATCACAGTTTTTCGCTCACTGTAAGCAAAACCAAGATTGTGATTCTGTCCAAAAAGCGGTTTTACACCATTGTGCCATTGAAGGTGGGGGACTTCGGTCCAAACTGTTCGTGCCGCCAAGTACTTTGTGTCATGTTAGACAGTAAGCTCAGCTGGCGAGACCATCTTCTGTACAAGGCCGCTAAGTTGATTTCTTCTCTTAACTGCGTAGTGGCCAGTGTCTGAGGTCCTCTGTTCAGTTGAAGAGCAGACTGTTGTGTAGTTGCCTAACACGGATGTTAACCATAGACCGGTCTATCGAGGCTACTGTAGAACCACATGCTCCCAAAAGTAGGTCCATTGGCATTATTTGTAAACTTTCTCATTACTGGTGATCTACCTGTTATAACACAAGAACTTGACTTTTTCCAGTGCCACAGGAGTCCAGTCGCAATCTAACAGCAAATCACAGAGTTTACCAGCCCAGGTGTCTCTGCGATCTATGGACCAACTTGTCTTGGAGGTCAGTATTGTTGCTAAAGCCGCTTTTGCATGAGACCAGTCGGCAGGTAGGCTACCTCAGGCAGGTTGCATCAGGTAGCTTGGAATCTACTAACTGAGTCTGGTAACCTGCCTGCCTACAGGCCTTGTGTGACACGGTTGAACAGTTTAGTCACTGTGTGGTGTCTATGGGTGGGGAAACAATGAGAAGTTGTTCACAAAGCTCAGTAGGTGTGGTGAAGTATGAACTGTAGTCATAAGTTGTCCACAAGTTTCAGTAAATTAATTACCAGTTAGTCTCTGGTATTTATTGTCGATTGTCTACTGTGTGGTTGGGAGATTGGGAAAATTCAATAACAGGAGCTTTGTTTGGAAAACTGATTGTCTAGCTGTGTATTGTCAAAAGATAATTATCTCCAAAAATGTGTAATAAATCTATATAAATACAAATGAATCCCTTTTTTTTATAGTATTCCATAACTCGAGAACGAGTGCACCGAATTGGATGATACTTTTTTTTGTGTTCCTTAGTGCCAGAGGAAGGTTTTTATGTAAGGAAATTTATAATCCATCCAACTGTTATTTAGTAATTTGATTTTAAAAATTTAAAAAAAAAATGCCTTTACATTAGCATTGGAGGAAAATGTTTTCATTAAACTGTAAGATACAATAACATGTGTTAATTTTTAACCAAAAGGTGAGTGAACGTAACGAATAAACTTCAACCAGGATGTGATTGAGTGATGCGAACGAGCTCATCTTGAAAATGAACGAGCATTTGACATAAAACCACATTAGGACAGGATGACCTGTCGGGCCAGCTAGTTTAAAATAAATATCTTGAATAGAAATTCAGTTTGTTTCTTCTTTGCAAATTTATGTGTTGAAGGTTTAAAAAATCAATTAGTTATTGGTTCCTAGAAGTCTTTACACAAATCATGTTAAGAGTTAAGTATTGGAATTTTCGCTCCTTTAAACAACTCCAAAGTCTTAATTTTTTACTTGTCAACACATCATTAAACTTCCTCTAATAGATTTCTAGGAACTATAAATCTAATTTGTACAGAATGACAACTTTGACCAAATGTATGATAAAATTGAGCAAAGCTTTATCTGAGTGCTATCAGAAAGATTTGTCATGACAAAACAACGATATTAGTAATACCACAGCTATTCATTGGTTAGGTTTATTGTTTGTTGTTCTGGGCAAAATGACAATCTGATTCACCTTCTGGTAAAATGATTTTTACTCAGCAAAATATACCACCACGGTTATTTCTGGTTTCAGTTCACAAAAATCATGTAAGTCCATTTTTAGCGAATTTCCCATATAGGGAATAAGCTATTACCGTAGTACTCATGGTAAGACCTGGACGCGGGACCGATTTTTTTTTTCGTTTTGAGGTCCCTAGAGGCCAAAAACACCATCCGTTCAAATTCATATATATATATATATATATATATGTGTCCGTCAGCACGATAACTTTTTTGACCCAAAAAACATAAAATTTAGCAATTTATTTCCAAACCAGTTTGTAGAGCTTAAAAAAAAAATAATTTAGTATATTGAAGCGTTATTATGCGCCTAATGGTTACGGAGAAAATTCCAAAAAATTGTAAATTTAAAATTCCCATGTTATTCTTATGGAGAATGAGTAAACTGTTGTAGTTTGCTTGTTTATGAACATATTTTGATCAAATTTGGAAAATGTTTTTATTTCTTACTAACTATTAACATTTAAAAAAAAACAGTTTTACCCTCCCTGATGCAGCAAACCTAAGTACTTGTTAAACTAATTCTATTTAAATCGGGAATAACTGCTATATTTTTAAGTAGACATTTCAGTGTATATCCAATCAGTCAAATGGAAATTCGCTTAGTCTGCAGGTTTGCTGCGGCGGGGGTATTTTAATTTAGAACTTTTGGACCTTATATTATTTCAGCGTACATTATATATTGGCATACACTTGACACTTTGATAAAATACAACATGCATGAATTCATTGAATTTCAGTAATTAATAAATTGCATTAAATAAATTAGTCATATTGATTTGAATACACTTCCATAGTTGATTTTTAAAATGTTCGGACTTTTAATTCAAAATCATGTTCAATAAATAGTTAAGTTGTGTCCGTCGTGGTCGTTGTGCGTATCCCACATGCATATTTATGTGCCATCATATTCATAGGTAATACCAACACACTTTCACTTTCATGTGTCTGGTAGTCAAGCTTAGAACTTAATACTAGGGGTTTACCTCGGTACAGCATTTTACTTGGTACAAATTGGGTGTTGAACCATTCAGTAGAACTCTAGTCATTCAAACCGATTGCTACCAATTAGCAGATAGTCAAAAATTTTGATAGTTGGATTTTTTTTTAAAATTAGGGTATTTTATAGAAAACAGGCCTAATTGAACCAAGCTTTTGCTATCCCAATCGCAAATTGTGTCTATAAAGATTTTGCAATTGGAAAATTCACACTTTCACCCCAATCGCAGAGGATGATGATGATTGCCGGAGACGATGATCATGTCTACAACACCATGGACGATTTTTCCGTGATCACAACTTCTGCTTCCTTTAACAACTTTTCTTATGACTTTTTTTAGGTTTAAAAAATTCTTTCTTTAAGAGATTTGGATAGGCTTAGTTTAAGTTTGAATAGCTGGAGTTCTACTGTATATCTATGAAAAATCGTTGTGGCTTGAAATGAAATGAATGAATGAAATGAAATGAAATGAATGAATGAAATGAAATGAAATGAAAAAATATCTTTATTCATATGGTATACAGTCGCATACATTGAATGGTGTCACTAGGCTTAAAACTAAATAAAACTAATCTACAATTCATCGAAACCATAAAGTGTTTTATCAGTTAAGAAATGTTTAAGTTTTTTTTTTTTAAATTTGGAAATATCAATATTCCTCACCTCAGCTGGGAGTTTGTCCAAAAACCTTTTCCCTGCACAGGTGGTTTTTTTGTTAAAGAGCTCCAAGTTATGGACACCGACAGCAATTTCGTTTCTGTTCCGGGTAAAATAATTATGACAATCACCAAGTTTAGGGACCAAATTAGCATTAGAAAGTTTTTTTGTGTGTAAAATTGTATGAAAAACATAAATACTATACACAGTCATTATTCCCAATTTTGAAAAATATTGACGAGCGGAAGTATCCCATTCTAAATTTAACATAATTCTGATTGCACTTTTTTGAAGAGTAAGAATTCTATCCAGGTTTTGCTTAGAGGTACAGCCATAAATACTTATGCCAAAAGATATTGATGAATCGATAAAAGCAAAATAAAGAATCTTTAAGGTTTCTATTGAGCAAAATTTTGACATTCTATTAATAGCATGGATACCAGAAGTAATTTTGTTGACTACCTGGTCAACATGCTTATTCCATGTAAGATTTTTGTCTACAATTAATCCTAAAAACCTTGTTGTGGTGATTTCTTCCAATTTATTATTTTGAAATTGAATTACAGGCTGCACAATTTGTTTTCTTTTTCCTGTTGTAAAAACCATAAAATTACTTTTGCTTAAATTTAACAAGAGCTGATGAGAATTTAAAAAAGTATTTAGCATATTTAAAGTATCAGAACAATGATTTTCTAAATTTGATAAAGATGAATTGCTGATTTTAAAAGTAACATCATCAGCATACAGGCAGATATTACTACTGTGTAAACTAGTTGAAAATGGAATTGACAGATCCCTAATATAAATGAGAAATAAGATCTAAGAAATAAGGCTTAATAGGTTAAAGAAAAAAAAATCCTGTAGAACTGTAATTAGATTGAGATTTTTATCCGCCACACCGATATAAAGCTAGATCTGTTCTTTTGCAGGCGTTACGAGTATCTGCGGAGGATTTTGCATCTCAACTCACTCTCCTCGACCTTCAAGTCTTCGTTCAGATCACTCCGGACGAGCTGGTGTCTTGTGCCTGGAACAAAAAGAACAAACTACTCGTTGCACCCAACGTCGTGGCGTTTACCAAACGATTCAACCATGTGAGCTTGTTTTGAATAGATAGGCTCACTCAAATGTTTGACTATAGAGAATTAGACTTATCCTTCCCCTTGTGTTAAAGGAAGAATAATGGAAATAAATGTTGTTGAATTGAGCCGTAAGTGTGCTGATATCAATTATTATTTCTGCCCTATGCACCGACTTTTTCACCAAGCCATACTGAAAGAACACCTTACCACAAAACTACAGTATCTTAATACCACATTAATTATCAAAGTATCAACAACGAAGAGAGAAAACATAATTTTGACAAGAGCTTAATTCTGTTAGTGGCTCATTCAATTTGGTTCTATTTAAATTAAAAATTAACTACAGTTATGACTACCCTTGTATCTAATAGTCACTGCTCAAATGTTTAAAATCTTAACTGAGGAATTTCTTACTATTTAAATTTTGTATGAATCTCGAATCAAAATTGAATGCATTTTACTTTGTTGAAACAAGGCCACACTAAAATAAAGAGGCCGTAATGCTCGTCAAGCATGACGTCACGAAAAAAGAGAGGGCAATGACGTAGGTATTTATTTGTTTTCCAAGGAAAGATTAAAACAAGCAGCTGATCACAAACGGCAATCATTACGTCATTGCCGTCTTCTATCCTGACATCATGCTTGACGAGTATTACGGCCTGTTTTTTTTTTAATGTGGCCTTGGTTGAAACCACAAAAAATATTGGATTGTGTAATGGTTTAGGTTAATATGATTTAGGCTACCTAGTAAAAAATTACAGTCTATGCAAGAGTTATTGGTTATTTTTGTGAAATTTTGAAATTGGATGTATTTTTGATCTTGAAATATAAAATTTATAACTTTAACTCAATTAAGTGTAGCCTACCGTATATGTAAACAAAATCTGAACACTACTAAACACAATGTTGCACTTAATGAATCAAAATGAAATGAACCGAGGGTCATAAAGGATTATGGATGATCCTCATGTACATCACAAAGCGGAACTGTTTGATAACAGTTCTGATATTATGGGCAGTAGGATATGGATCCATATAAATTCATAATCCATATATAGCTACAGTAATTTTCAGTGTGAAATTCTTAATTGAAAGCAAGATTCAGTACTCACTCAGACCATTTACCCTTTTGGACCGGATTAGATGAACAATTAAATGCCTGTGCTATGTTTGCGTCATTCATAAATAGTTATTGTTTTTGTCCAAAGCCAATGGGAATCTTGACTGAGTTTTACCATAGACAAAAATAATTAAATATAGACTGTCAGCTGTGCTGCGGTTACCATAGGTTCTGGTGCACACCGCTGGGAGCGCCATGTAGTTAAGGCCTACGCTCTAAGTAACTACACGGTGCTCCCAGCAATATGCGCCAGAACCTATAGTAACCATGGTAAACACAGCACGGCTGACAGTCTATATTTAATTCTTTTTGTCTATGGTTTTACCGACTCGACTAATGAATTTTTTTAAAAGGTTCAAGGTTATCGCACAATTTAATATTTTTTTATGATTGCAGGTCAGTTTTTGGACAGTCCAAGAAGTGTTGAGTGGAACTTCTCCAAAGCATAGAGCAGAAATACTATCACACTTCATAAAAATTGGCAAAAGGCTCTATGAACTGAACAATTTTCATTCCCTTTTTGCTGTTGTATCTGCTCTCCAAAGTGTTTCTGTTTATAGGTAAGAAAAATGTTTACAATTCACTTATTAATTTGAAAATGTTAACTGGTTAAAGTGGCTGACCAGGGTGAACTTTTTAATCACAAATACTTTAAAGACGTAATCTGTGAACATGAAAATATCACAGGATTTGTGTCCCAGTTTCAATGATATTTGCATTTGATCATTTCAGCATTTCGGCTCGTCTCGATTCTGCTTGAAAATACCCTTTCACCCATCTTTTGTTGTTAATGTTTCTTAATAAGACTAGAAGTCGTCCAGTGTTTGAAAACTCAACCAAAAATATGTAGTGTGCAGACTTCTATATTTTCACCGCACGCTGTAAATAAAACATCTAATGATTGGAATTTCTTTAATTTGTTTTGATTTTCTGTTTATAATTTGTCACCAGCATGGCAACCCATAAGGCTCATGTTATTTTTTTTTATTTAAAAATTTTTTTGTGTTTATTTTTTAGTCTATCTTAATTTATAAAGGGACTAGCAGAGTACCCGTCCTTCGAATGGGGTTGGCTTATAAGTATGCTTATTGCAGTTATACTCGTGCTTTGCGTTTGCAATGGGAGAGGACTCGTTTTAAGAAAAGTTTGTTTACTATGGTATTCATGGTAAACCATTACAGTATATAGCACATCTCCCATAGCCATAATGTTGTACCACTGCACCTAAACAATAAAAAAAAAAGTTATCACAGCTTTGTTGCTTTGTTGCTGCTTGGTTCAAATTAGCTGTTGTCATAAATGTAAAAAGAATTAATAGTGCTGCACCCTGTTGGTAAACCTTATACCCTTTTAATGCTATTGAATATCATAGAATAAACTTGTGTAGTAGGAACAGCTGGCAAAATTCCTTAATTCCCATTAAATATGAATTCTCAACAGGTTAACATGGGAAACTCTAGAGCCACTGTGGCGGATCCCGAAAAGGATTTTTGAGAAAAAAATATGTCTATATGTTAATCGGGAATGTGAGCTATCATCACACCAAATTTCAGCCCAATCCGACCAGTATTTTTCGCGTTTACTTGTCACAAACATACATACATCCATACATCCAAACTTTCTCATTTATAATATTTAATATTAGTAGGATTCTGCACACCTAGGCCTACATAAAAATATCTTTCTACTAGTATAGGTAGATTTTTCCCTGAAATGGAAGCGAGCTGAGAATAAATGTTTTCAAGAAACATGCTTGCCTATAGATAAGTCCCTAAACATACATAATACAGTATCACAATGTAATTTGTTTAATCTTACAGAAATAGAGATACTCTTAAGAAATTGTCCAAGTAAATCAGCTTCATAAGTTGTATTAAAAATGTATTGTTAATGACCTGTGAATGCATAAAACATAAAATGCTCTCATTGTTCGCTGAAACTAAATTCTGTCACTAAAACATTATTAAAAGACATGCATAATATAATTCCTTGTTAGATAGATTTATTTATGCATGTGCTTTCAGATTAACAAAAACATGGAACCTTGTATCAAAAAAGGACAAGAGTACTTTTGATAAGTTGGCTGAAGTATTCTCTGACACTGACAACTGGAGGAATCTACGAGAACACATGGAAAATTTGAAACTACCGTGTATTCCATATTTAGGTAAAGTGGAAATTGTGTATTCGTAGCTGTTTTAGTTTTGATAAAATCAGGTAAAGACAAGATGTGGCTGGAAGGTTTTGTCCATTTTAAAATGGAAGGAGGTCCTGAATATGATTATTCTTTGGCTTTCTTCCTGCCCTTGTCTAACCATAAACTCTTCTTAAAACATGTCCAAGTGAAATAAAGCCTTCATTGATGTTTTAGGATTCGGTACTTTCAATATGAGCTAGCTTAGATTCAAAACTTAGACAGTAATATTTTATTCTACGAAGACATTTATAAACTTTTATAAATCCCATCTTAAGATGGACGGGTCCCGAAATTTCGGGAAATTTTCAGGAAAAAAATATTCCCGATTTTCGGGACGGGATTACGTTTGATTCTGGAATTTTTCGGGACGGGATTTGATCCGATCGTCGGCGATTTTGCCGCTCTCGCGAAAGATGTTCACGATAGTTCCGCGAACGTAGAAGGCAAAGTCATTTCGTCGATCGGGCCAAGACCGCGAGTCATTTTGACAATCGCATCGTGAACGCGAGTCATACCGACGATCACACCATGACCGCGGAGTCGGAGTCATACCGACGATCACGCCGTGACCGTTGAGTTATACCGACGATCGTGAAGTCATAACGACGATCGTGCTGTGACCGCGGTGTCGTAACGACGATCGTGCCGTGACGCGGAGTCATACGATCGCACCGTGACCGTGTGTCATTTCGACTGCAAGTCACAAGTTTCTAAACCCGTAAGTTTTTACCCATTTTTTGGTTTTTGTAGATCAGTGCCACTTCTTCATCTGTACTCACTGTAGTAGCTGTAAATAAGGATCCATTGACTGTTTCTTGTTAAAATAAATCAAACTAGATTATGGTTGTTTGTAACCATTTTGGAATGTTGAGGGGTATTTGAGGTGAGTCAAGCATGCCATTTTTGACTTGAGCCTTATGCCATACAGCGAAACTACACCTTGTATTAAACTCTTCCTTGATGTTTTCTACCTTAAATTAGTATTGTTTGTTTCCAGCCACATCTAATATTTAACTGTTTTAAAACATTCTCTACCTTGTTCCTTGTTTAACCCTTAACTGATGTTTATCTTTTTTTTCAGGAGTGTTTCTAACGGATCTAGTCTACATAGATATGGCCCACCCTCACATGGGAGGTCTCGAGCCTGAACAAAGAAAGCTGAAGATGAACAATATTTTACGGATTGTCTCAAACCTACAACAGTCTCAGTACCCTCACCTCTTGCCTTTACCACATATCCAGAGATATTTGCATTCCGTGCGATATATCGATGAACTGCAAAAGTTTGTTGAAGATGACAATTACAAGTGAGTTTTTTACATTTGTCTGTGTTTTTTTATTGTGAAACGCTGGTGATAAGTACAATATGTAGCAATGACTGATATTAAAATGTGAGACATACAATCGTGATTGTTGTATCTGTCCGTTTCAACAAATGTGTGACGAGGCTTTATGTTTTTATAAGTCTCATGTGTGGGTAACTCCTTCGACCCCAAACAACCCTAAAAAGTAACCTACAAAGCACCAACTGAAGTACCTTGTTCAATTCTAAAAATGTTCAAAGATTCAAAATGGCAAAGTAGCTTTTTCATGGGTTGAAACTAAACTCAGCTGTTGCTGATCATTGAACTATTTGCAGATGATTACTAAGCTACCTGTACCAGCTACCTGTTATTGTTGCAGCCCTGGAACTGTTATATATCAAATATTTGGTTTTACATTACCTTTTATCAGTTCCAAAAGTATCCTTCGTCAATGTGTTAAATCTTTCGGCGAGCTGCCATTGTCATTCACTTCATTTCAGGAATATACAATAATTCTGCTTGAATAGCTTCGTTCTCATTACACGACAAACAACATTTACACACAACATATAAATAAATACTTTTAGTTTGATAGGCCTATCACAAGTATACAACATTGCCGGTACAAGAGCGGGAACAGACTGTTGGACTGTTGGTTCAAGTGAATGCTATCTTAGTGAAAATATGAAATATGTTGTAGTACAGTCTTGGCTTTCTGTTGAGAGCAACCAAGACCATGAATCAGATGACAAAGAATATTGTGATGACTTAAGCCTATGAAAGAAAAGTTTATTACATATGACACTCGTATGTTGTGTATTTTTACAAATTTTCATCCTTCAAGATTTGTTGTTTCTTGGGTCGAACTCCATTTTGTGGAACGACATAAAAACTTGTTATTTACTAATCGTGACGATGGAAAATGTCTGCAATAATCCCTTCAATATTATCTCTCGACTATTTTGGTAAAGTTAAGTTTTCTATACGTTAAGTCGCTGAATTTTACTGCCTCATAGAGTATATTTGAGGCTAAGCATAGATTGTGATTGGCTAAATTCTTTGAATAATTTGCGCAGGCTGTCACTGAGACTAGAACCACCGTCGCCAGCCCCGAGCTCGTCAAGTTCGCGAGAGTCAGTCAGTGAGTTGGCAACCGTAGCGAGTCTCAACCTGTCCCCTGCCAAACCTTCGCTGCGACTGCAACCCGTCATCAAGTTTGTCCCCGGTCACCGCAAGAGCCGTAGTCTTGGGACCAAGTGAGTACGCTTGTTATTTTTAACATTTAGGGGTTTTTAAATTAATAAAACCATTGACTATAAAACTCAGCTAGCTTACCTGAAGCTAGCTTATCAGTCCACGATAGATACATTATTAAAGTCACACAATTTATAATTCACATTTTGTGCACATCGTTTACTCTCGATAGTCTGACACGTATGGGATCTGGGGAACGCCAGATTACCAAAAGTTTTAGATTTTGTAAAATATAACTAAGTTTAGCCAGAGTTAAGAAAAGTAAACTTCTGAAGCCTTTTTATGTACTCCTCGAATACTGGGCTGGGCGTTCGAAAGACAGCGTTGTGAATTCATTTATTGCATTGAATTGCCAAGAGTGTCAGACTATCAACAGTCACATTCGCAACACACATAGATTACAAGTTAGTAGTGCAACAAATTTGTTGTTGAGAAATCTGTGACAATTCCTGGTAGTCAGCTTATTCAGTTTGCTCAATAAACTGGTTAAACCATTCCATCTTCTAAGAACTTGCTGATTCCATGTCTCTTAACTCTTTAACACAATTAATGTATACAGTCAAACCTTGACCTAACCAGAGGTCTGCCAATCTGTACCTCGCTAGTCCAAAACCCGCTAATCCAATTTTTTCTGTTGGGGGGAGAAGGTTACTCTATAGGTAAAAATAAGCTTTGTGTTCTTCCAGCCGTATTTGTCCAGCCAATCGGGAAACCAAGATTCGTGCGTGAATTTTAACGACCAGAAAAAAGACCCTGAATCATACGCGAATTTTGTATAGAACTGGTAAAATTAGAATAATTAGTAATAGTATATTTTAAAGGGTTCATTCTTTACCGCCATTCCTTAAGAACATGATTGCAGGATATGATAGTACATTACAGGCTTTGTCGCGATCGCGCAAGACAATCACTGTGTCGCGGAAATGTTATTTGTTAACAAGAGACAATCACAGTGTTGTCATGTTCAAGAGAACATGAGAGTGTTTGAGTTTTCATGATCGTGGGAACAGTGAATAGCTGTTTAAAGCCATAAAAATGCATTTTTTTTAAGGCAATTTTACTGAACTCCTGGTTAATCTGAACAATTTGGTCAGTAATCCAAAATGTCCTCATTAGTTTAGATCATCAGGACTCTGGTGTAGTCACAAATTTCTTTAAGTATTTTTTTTCTTCTCGGATTAGTTTTATTGTTTAGTGCAACAAATCTGGGGTTTTAAAAATTCTTTTTAAAGAATTTCCAAAAAAACTTAAAGGAAAAAATCTACATTTTGAATCAATTTCACAGAAAAAAAACCTCTGTTAACAAAATGAGCGTATTAGAGTTACTTTTCAAACTCCAGTACAACGAAATTAAACAAAAACAAATCTATTGATTCAACTTGTATTGTATCTTTTAAATCCGATGTTATTAGCGTTTTTAAAAGATTATTTTAGTGATACTGTAGCTTGCTTTTTGTTTCACTTAGGCCTACTGTATCCTACACTCTTCAGTGTGTTACACCTCTTTAGTAATTGTTGACATAAATATAGTTACTAATTAGGTAAGGAGATACCATCAATCACCTATGTATGGTTTAACCATTTTATACCTGCGTTGACCAACTGGTTCTAAGATCAGTTCAAGCTTTAGGTCCACTTATAAAGTACAAAAGTAACATTAAGTTTTGAATTTGATGTTACCTAGCCCCTCTTATCAATATATAATATATTCGTCCAAGAGTTGTTTGATCCTCAGAAAAAATGGCATATAAAATTCATAACTTATGTTGTACGGTATATGTTTCTTACGTTTTAACTTAAATTCCTTACAACATCTGATTTCTATTGCTTCCAACATAATTATGTTAAGCCAAAACCAACAACTATAAGTAAAAGCTTCACTTTGTTTCAATTAAATTATATCTGTTGTAAATTTGGATTTTTTTGTTAGAGTGACAACAAACAACCCAAGTTTGTTTTAAATTTGGTCATAATGAGGAATGCCCTTGTGGATCTAACAAACCTTGGACATAACGGAACAATAGTGTTAAATATTGTCAGTGAGAAATATCCTTTGATTGTAGCCTACTTCTTAAACAAATACACCCATTAATACACCCTCCTCTAATACTATTGAGGGTTTTAGATTTCGTAGTACAAGTCTTCCAAGAAATTTTCATAAGCCAGTATTTCCAGCATCTGCTGCCAATGGGTAAGTTAGGTTTGCAATGGGGCACTAAAAAAGTTGCATGCAGCATATGAGAACGTTTGCCACCTATTTCATCGATGAATGCCATATTTGTTTGTTGATCTTTTGTGTTTAAGTTGATTTATTTTAATTGTCATTGAATATTTGTGCATGTCGATGGAAAGTATTTCACAAGAACAATTGTGTAAAATAGCCTTATGTTAAAAATATGATTTCATTTTTAAATTTATGACAAGTATTTTTATTATTTTTGCTATGATACAAAAACCAATTTTGAGCATGTAAAGTTTTGGATTTGTTTAAGCCATTTTTGTAACAATCGCTGCTTTGCATTTAAAACAGGAACAATTTATATTTGCAATAAAAGTGTTTATAAAAACTGTGTTTTAATTTCTATCTTGGTTCTCATTGCAACCTAACTTTTAAAGGGATTTAACTACTTAAACTACTAAATTAACTACTTTTCAAATATTACCGAGTCACTGTTCACTATTTGCAAGAACTTAGTTGTGTTTCACACCAAGGGTCTATGGATCCCTGATATTTTTGGGTCAAATCGGGTCAACATTTGGCCTCAGGTATCGGTTTGGGTAGGTAATTATTTTTCAGCCGAGCTCTGGTTGGATAATTTAAGTTTGAGGTGTACAAGTAGCTTGATTTTCAAGGCAAGCTCTTATATATTTTTGTGATCGCAGAAAGCACCTGTGAAGATGCACAATTGAAAATTGAGGACATTGCTCCTATGTTCACGGTTTTGATGTAACCACGGAAGAGGTTCATGATTTTTCTGTGACCTTAGGCCTATATGATTCTATTAATTTCACCGTGAACATAGATGACTTTCACAATTTGGCCGTGACCTCGGAAGATGTTCTCGATTTGGCTGTGACTTTAGAAGACGTTCCTCATTTCACCATGACCGCAGAAGATATCTTAGTTTCACTATGACCGCTGAAGCTCTTTGTCTATGAAATGAGTTTCCAAACAGCTGATGATCCCAGTGTTTCAAAACAATTTGTATTTTCCCATTTTACTACTATAGTTTACAATTTTAAGTATATTTCTCCTGACCTCTCAAACTTGGAATGAACAGTTTTTAAAGTAGGATGCGTATATTCAATTATCATCAAACTCATTTTATCTTTAAACAAATTAGTGGAAAATGACAGTTTTTGTTTATATTTTTGTAGTTAAATTGATTCTTACATTTTTTTGTGTACTGTATTTGTAGAAAAATATTTGTATTTTTTATGCATGGAAATTCTGAGCTTAAATTTTAAAAGGATTTACAATGGTTGCAACAGTGTACATAATGTCCATTAATGTGCAACACCATCTAGTGTTCTGCCACAAGGATTATTATTTTTTTGTCAATCAGCCAGTTTACTATTTGTTGTAAATAAATAGATAAAAATGTCTTTATTGATCCAGCAATTCTCAGTTGTTACGTTATATTTTTCAAAACAACTAAATAAACAACAACAACAGACTTTAGTTAAATTATTTGATTTTCAAAATAAAATAATACAAAGCATATGTTTGAGGCCAGATTGTAGGTTGTTATATTGCTTTGGACTGAAGTACGAGAAGTAGAATTTTTATTTTGTGAAATCAGGTAAATCAGGACTACATTTTTAACAAAAAAACTACCTGTATAATATTCGCTTGAAACATTTTGCTAGTAGTTAGTCAGCTACATGCACACCACTGTTATTATTTTAAATCAATAAGTTATGATGTACTGTTGTAGTGGTCTACTTTGTCATTCTGTACATCTCATGCCTTGTCAGTACTCACACTTAAAATCTGTTGTCTGTTGTAGTGTTTTTGCCAAGCCTTGTCACTCAAGCCCACTCAACTTGCTGGACGACTCTGTGATAGTGGAGGGGGGTGGGGGAGGATTAGGTCCACTCAGTCATTTTGTCCATCTCATGCCTAGTCAGTGCTAACACTCTGTTGTCTGTTGTAGTGTTTTCGCCAAGCCTTGTCACTCAAGCCCACACAACTTGCTGGACGACTCTGTGATAGAGGAGGGGGGTGGGGGAGGATTAGGTCCACTCAGTCATTTTGTCCATCTCATGCCTAGTCAGTGCTAACACTCTGTTGTCTGTTGTAGTGTTTTCGCCAAGCCTTGTCACTCAAGCCCACGCAACTTGCTGGACAACTCAGTGATAGAGGAGGGGGTGGGGGAGGATTAGGTCTATTCAGGCACTCTGTACATCTCATGCCTAGTCAGTGCTAATGCTAACACTGTGTTGTCTGTTGTGGTGTTTTTTGCCAAGCCTTGTCACTCATGCCCACGCAACTTGCTGGACGACTCTGTGATAGAGGAGGGGGGTGGGGGAGGATTAGGTCTATACAGTCATTCTGTACATCTCATGCCTAGTCAGTGCTAACACTGTGTTGTCTGTTGTAGTGTTTTTGAAAAGCCTTGTCACTCAAGCCCACACAACTTGCTGGACGACTCTGTGATTTTGGGGGGGGGGGGAGGATTAGGTCTATACAGTCATTCTGTACATCTCATGCCTAGTCAGTGCTAACACTCTGTTGTCTGTTGTAGTGTTTTTGCCAAGCCTTGTCACTCAAGCCCACGCAACTTGCTGGACAACTCAGTCATTCTGTACATCTCATACCTAGTCAGTGCTAACACTCTGTTGTCTGTTGTAGTGTTTTTGCCAAGCCTTGTCACTCAAGCCCACACAACTTGCTGGACGATTCTTTTATAGAGGAGGGGGGTGGGGGAGGATTAGGTCTATACAGTCATTCTGTACATCTCATGCCTAGTCAGTGCTAACACTCTGTTGTCTGTTGTAGTGTTTTTGTAAAGCCTTGTCACTCAAGCCCACACAACTTGCTGGACGACTCTGTGATTTTTGGGGGGGGGGGGAGAATTAGGTCTATACAGTCCATTCTGTAAATCTCATGCATAGTCAGTGCTAACACTCTGTTGTCTGTTGTAGTGTTTTCGCCAAGCCTTGTCACTCAAGCCCACACAACTTGCTGGACGATTCTGTGATAGTGGAGGGGGGTGGGGGAGGATTAGGTCTACACGGTCACTCTGTACATCTCATGCCTAGTCAGTGCTAATGCTAACACTGTGTTGTCTGTTGTGGTGTTTTTTGCCAAGCCTTGTCACTCATGCCCACGCAACTTGCTGGACGACTCTGTGATAGAGGAGGGGGGTGGGGGAGGATTAGGTCTATACAGTCATTCTGTACATCTCATGCCTAGTCAGTGCTAACACTCTGTTGTCTGTTGTAGTGTTTTTGAAAAGCCTTGTCACTCAAGCCCACACAACTTGCTGGACGACTCTGTGATTTTGGGGGAGGGGGAGGATTAGGTCTATACAGTCCATTCTGTAAATCTCATGCATAGTCAGTGCTAACACTCTGTTGTCTGTTGTAGTGTTTTTGCCAAGCCTTGTCACTCAAGCCCACGCAACTTGCTGGACGACTCTGTGATAGAGGGGGGGGGGGGGGAGGATTAGGTCTATACAGTCATTCTGTACATCTCATGCCTAGTCAGTGCTAACACTCTGTTGTCTGTTGTAGTGTTTTTGCCAAGCCTTGTCACTCAAGCCCACGCAACTTGCTGGACGACTCTGTGATAGAGGGGGGGGGGGGGAGGATTAGGTCTATACAGTAATTCTGTACACCTCATGCCTAGTCAGTGCTACCTACCACTCTGTTGTCTGTTGTAGTGTTTTTGCCAAGCCTTGTCACTCAAGCCCACGCAACTTGCTGGACGACTCTGTGATAGAGGAGGGTGGTGGGGGAGGATTAGGTCTACTCAGTCATTCTGTACATCTCATGCCTAGTCTACCCGACGATACTCAGGAGTGTGTCACACTTCAGGTATAGTTTATTGATATTTTCTGTAGGATGAAAATAGAACTAGTTCTATGGGACTTTAGAATGCTGATTACACGCTTTTCCACTTTTTTGTCGTATCATTTTTAATTTTTGAGCAAAATTATTGTTAAAGAACTATATCTTTAACAATAATTTGAAATTGAATATTTTAATTGTTTTTAGATAAGGCTTGCAATTAGTGCTCAGCTCAATTAAAATGGGTTACTCATGCTAAAATGTAAAATAACAGTATAAATAAAAATATATTTTAAAGTTGAAACTCAAGTGTTGTAGATTTGTTTATGCTGCTGGACACTTTTAAATAGCTTAAATTTTGGTGACAAAGTTCTCAACACTGGCAACTTTTTGATTTTTTTATTTTCCAAATAGTTTTCATCTTTATTTAAACCTGTTTATACTATTGTATAGAGCATCTTGTTTACTTTTAAAGCTTTTGCTCTGTAATTTAGATTGAGTACTAGATGAAGAAAATGAATAAATCATTCCCAAATTTAAAAAGTGGCAAAATGTATATAACATTTAACTTTACATCTATTTGATAGTGTCTAAAAGTAACCTGTTTGATTAGTATTGTTATCGTCTAAGTTGTGATTTCTTGTAGGCCTATTGGTTTATTGAGGTGCGTAGTAAAAGTTTATTCTTCCAGAACTCGTAATTGTCCTTAATAGTAAGGAACATAATTTATAGCAATTATTCCATAAAAACGTTTTTAGAACTTTTTGGAATATATCTCTTTCTTTAACAATGTATAAATTTTATAACTTAGATAAATATTCTTCTTGTATTCTTCCTTAGATAAATATTGTTTATGCAGCAAACATAACCTAACTTAAGAATTGTGCAGGGTTGCCTGAGACGTAAGACTCTGATGAAGGAAGGGCGTAAGCCTACTGTGTCCCCTTGGCAGAGGTACTGGGTTCAGCTATGGGCGACTGCTCTTGTCTTCTACTTGCCAAAGACTTTCAAAGGGTAAGGATAACAACTACCTGAGTAATAGAATTGTAGTGATGGTAAAACACATCAAATTTAGAATTCTTTCCTATCATTCTACAAATAAAAAGAACAAGGGAACCCACAAGCTTCTTCCACTTGCATCACGACCAATAGAGTCCAATGGCTGATTAAGTGGCTTGCCACCAAAATTGCTTCCTAAGGCCCCGTCTATATATGCACCGAGAGCGGGAGCGGGGCGATAGCGGGCCCGCTCCCGCTGTGAATGGGGCTGTTTATGCACGAAGAGCGATAGCGGTAGCGGTTGGTTAAAGGAGAATGGAAGGGGGACACAGTCTTGCCAACTCAAACTCTGCCAAATAATTAACACAACTATTTGTCCTAAGTTCTCGTGCGCGTGGGTCAAGTTGGCAACCCTGGCTTCAGCCGCTCTCGCTCCCGCCGTGCATAAACAGTCCCATTTGACTCAATGTAGTTGAAACCCGCTCTATCCCAAGCAACCGCTGCGATTTCTAACTACACAGCGGGCGAATTAGAAACCGCAGCGGGAGGTCAACCGCTATCGCTATCGCTCTTGGTGCATAAACAGCCCCATTTAACTCAATGGTGTTAGAAATCGCTCCCGCTGTCGCTACCGCTCCCGCTCTTGGTGCATAAACGGGGCCTAAGTGGTGCTTCCACAGTGGCCTGGTGTGCAAAGGCCCTATTGGTAGTACAGCTGTCTATAAGACCTGCACTGCTTGGTAAACATGGAATGGAGTATAGTATCTAATGTTTGTGCTTCCGTCTTTACACTCAAACTATTGTAATATTACACTAATCGACATTCCTGGTTTGTCACAGATGTGAAAGAACTGACTTCAAGCGAGACCCTTGCAAGATGACTCCACTGACCGGGTGTCTGGTGACTCTGGGCCACAATCCGGTCCACTCCGACGTGTTCCTCATCCGGGACCCTCACAGAAGTAAGTATACTATATCTATATATATCTATATACTCATAAGTCATGTTGTTGGATGAAGAAATGCCGGGAAAAGGATGTAACATATAGGCACAATGATCAATCTTAAAATTTTTTGTTAGGAGAGAAGCTTACCTGTAAGGGGAAAAGTCAAATCTGGCTCATGAAACACTAACATTTATACTATACCACATAGAATATTTTACTGCCACCAATTTCAACCAAGGAAGGTTTGAATCCTGAACAATGGACCTAAAGACCAACTTATTATCTTCCCAACTCAAACCTTACTTAGTTTAAAATGTTTTAAAATTGGATTACATTTTTTGTGTATTAGTTATAATATTTGTGTTCTGTTTCTTGTGTGTTTGGTTATCCAAAAGTTAAACCAAATACAACCTGTAAATATTTAATTTTTAATTTTGTTTTTTGTTTTCAAAGAACATAACTATTAAAAACCACATAAAAGTGATCCAGAACATACACTTTAACTCGCGACAAAGTATTTACAGCAATTACTATTTTCTGGCTATTTATTATTTCTCATGCAAATCTCCTAGAGTGGCCTATAATATGGTTATGTATTGTTAATTTATTTCAGAAAACTGAGTATAACCCTTTACTAGGGATGGACGGGTCCCGAAATTTCGGGAATTTTTCGGGAAAAAAATATTCCCGATTATCGGGACGGAATTACATTTGACTCAGGAATTTTTCGGGACGGGATTTGGTCCGATCGTCGGCGATTTTCCCGCTTCGCGAGTGCCGATAACGCCGTTATTGCGAGCGATAGGTCCGCGAACGCAGGAGATGAAGTCATTTCGACGATTACGCCGTGACCGCGGAGTCATACCGACGATCGCGCCGTGACCACGAGTCATACCGACGACTGCGCCGTGACCGCGAGTCATACCGACGATCGCGCCGTGACCGCGAGTCATACCGACGATCGCGCCGTAACCGCGGAATCCTACCGACGATCGCGCCGTGACCGCGGAGTCCTACCGACGATCGCGCCGTGACCGCGGAGTCCTACCGACGATCGCGCCGTGACCGCGGAGTCCTACCGACGATCGCGCCGTGACCGCGGAGTCATACTGACGATCATGCCGTGATGGCGGAGTCATGCTGACGATCGAGCCGTGATCGCGAGTCATACCGACGATCGCGCCGTGACCGCAAGTCATACCGCACCGACGATTGCGCCGTGACCGCGAGTCATACCGACGATAACCCCGTGACCGCGGAGTCATACCGACGATCGCGCCGTGACCGCAAGTCATACCGACGATCGCGCCGTAACCGCGGAATCCTACCGACGATCGCGCCGTGACCACGGAGTCCTACCGACGATCGCGCCGTGACCGCGGAGTCCTACCGACGATCGCGCCGTGACCGCGGAGTCATACTGACGATCATGCCGTGATGGCGGAGTCATGCTGACGATCGAGCCGTGATCGCGAGTCATACCGACGATCGCGCCGTGACCGCAAGTCATACCGCACCGACGATTGCGCCGTGACCGCGAGTCATACCGACGATAACCCCGTGACCGCGGAGTCATACCGACGATCGCGCCGTGACCGCAAGTCATACCGCACCGACGATTGCGCCGTGACCGTGGAGTCATACCGACGATAACCCCGTGACCGCGGAGTCATACCGACGATCGCGCCGTGACCGCAAGTCATACCGCACCGACGATTGCGCCGTGACCGTGGAGTCATACCGACGATAACCCCGTGACCGCGGAGTCATACCGACGATCGCGCCGTGACCGCGAGTCATACCGACGATCGTGCCGTGAACGCGAGTCATGACGACGATCGCGCCGTGACCGTGGAGTCATACCGACGATAACCCCGTGACCGCGAAGTTATACCGACGATCGCGCCGTGACCGCAAGTCATACCGCACCGACGATTGCGCCGTGACCGTGGAGTCATACCGACGATAACCCCGTGACCGCGGAGTCATACCGACGATCGCGCCGTGACCGCAAGTCATACCGCACCGACGATTGCGCCGTGACCGCGAGTCATACCGACGATAACCCCGTGACCGCGGAGTCATACCGACGATCGCGCCGTGACCGCAAGTCATACCGACGATCGCGCCGTAACCGCGGAATCCTACCGACGATCGCGCCGTGACCGCGGAGTCCTACCGACGATCGCGCCGTGACCGCGGAGTCCTACCGACGATCGCGCCGTGACCGCGGAGTCATACTGACGATCATGCCGTGATGGCGGAGTCATGCTGACGATCGAGCCGTGATCGCGAGTCATACCGACGATCGCGCCGTGACCGCAAGTCATACCGCACCGACGATTGCGCCGTGACCGCGAGTCATACCGACGATAACCCCGTGACCGCGGAGTCATACCGACGATCGCGCCGTGACCGCAAGTCATACCGCACCGACGATTGCGCCGTGACCGCGAGTCATACCGACGATAACCCCGTGACCGCGGAGTCATACCGACGATCGCGCCGTGACCGCAAGTCATACCGCACCGACGATTGCGCCGTGACCGTGGAGTCATACCGACGATAACCCCGTGACCGCGGAGTCATACCGACGATCGCGCCGTGACCGCAAGTCATACCGCACCGACGATTGCGCCGTGACCGTGGAGTCATACCGACGATAACCCCGTGACCGCGGAGTCATACCGACGATCGCGCCGTGACCGCGAGTCATACCGACGATCGTGCCGTGAACGCGAGTCATGACGACGATCGCGCCGTGACCGTGGAGTCATACCGACGATAACCCCGTGACCGCGAAGTTATACCGACGATCGCGCCGTGACCGCAAGTCATACCGCACCGACGATTGCGCCGTGACCGTGGAGTCATACCGACGATAACCCCGTGACCGCGGAGTCATACCGACGATCGCGCCGTGACCGCGAGTCATACCGACGATCGTGCCGTGAACGCGAGTCATGACGACGATCGCGCCGTGACCGTGGAGTCATACCGACGATAACCCCGTGACCGCGGAGTCATACCGACGATCGCGCCGTGACCGCGAGTCATACCGACGATCGTGCCGTGAACGCGAGTCATGACGACGATCGCGCCGTGACCGTGGAGTCATACCGACGATAACCCCGTGACCGCGAAGTCATACAGACGATCACCCCGTCACCCGCGAGTCACAAGTTTCTATAGGTTCCTGTAAATTGTTACCCATTTTTTGGTTTTTATAGATCAGTGCCACAAATGGTAAAAATTCATTTCGTATGTCTTTTTTGGTACTTGCAATACAGTACTTTCTTTTTATGCACAGAAAAAAATCCCGTCCCGTCCCGTCCCGAAAATCGGGAAGGAAATAAAAATCCCGTCCCGTGTCCCGAACTAAAAATTCAATCCCGTCCATCCCTACCCTTTACGTTTCTTAGATAAAAAGTTTTTTGCTAATTGTGACTGAATTTTGCTTTTTCAGGCAATATGTACAAATTCAAAGCGATCAGTGAAGAAGATGCCTTAATCTGGTACAACTCATTGCAACAAATGCTCACAGAAAACAACACTACCTCTACTAATCTCATATCCTTCGATTGATTTGTACAGTTCCTATTTTAGTCCCTTAAGCTTTAGCTGTAATCTCCTTATCTTTTTATGTAGATATTTTGTTAGCTTGCCGTAAGACGATCTCACAGCAGTGTTTTTATGTTTACATTCTGGTCATACGCTTTGTGATTTATTTTTATAGTCAATTTGTTGATTTATTTCATTTATATTGGTGACTACCAAATTCAATAAAATAAGCAAAAACATTATAGTGGCGATTTTTTTATGTGCCCTACCTACCAAATCTCATGTTTTTTATAGATTTTTTTTTTTTAAAAACTATGGTTGTGGTTTTTCTCTGGGAGCTATGGGGGAAGAATTGAATTAAGGTTGGATCGTGGAAGTAGTTAAGTAGTAAATATATTTCAGCATAGTGGCTAAGGTTAGCGGAGTGACACCACAGGAGTGCTGGAGATCGAGATCAGGAACAAAAGATGAAAAGGCACGGACATACCTGACGGGAGTAATAGCTGGACCTTGGGAGACACCAACATGAAGGGGAGCAACAGAATAAGTAAACAACTGCAAATTAATTTGCTATTATGAAATTAGTTTTATACTAATTCTAAAATGTCCCACAAGTTAGAGAAGTAAAATATTATCAATTATCACTAATGTACTCAGTTCCGAATATAACTTACTAATTTCAATCAGTGTTAGTGGTTATCTCTTTGCTCCATTTCTGCCAGCCTTTGCATAAACAGTGTTGTAAACAAAAATAATGACAATGATACAAATATGTCATTTACATTAATGATCTTCCAAAAGCTATTAATAAAGAACTAATTCTTTTTGCCGATGACACTACTGCTTTGATCAAAAACAATAATACAACTGAAATGTTTTCTTCTCTGCAAAGTGTGGTAAAGTACATGGAGCAATGGTTTTTAGAAAATGGGTTAAAACTTAATGTTGAAAAAACAAATATTATTCAATTTTCTACTAGACACAAAAATATGGAAAACTGTTCCTTTAATTTAGTTGAAGCTCATAAATTCTTAGGGGTTTACGTAGATGACGCAGTTAAATGGGATTCACATTTGAATTATTTACGTAACAAAATTAGGTCGATATCATCTTTATTCATACATTTAAGGGACTGTGTTTCTATTGAGACACTTAAAGTAGTTTATCATGCTTATGTGGAGTCAGTGTTAAGATATGGCATAATTTTATGGGGCCAAGCTACTGGTATTAAAACTTTATTCAGGTTACAAAAACGTATTATTCGTATTATTACCAACTCTCATCCACGCAGTTCTTGTAAGAAACATTTTCAAAATTTAAGAATTCATACATTAACGGGGTTGTATATTCTAGAATTATTAAATTACATACATTCAGTTAAAAATTAGCTACCAGAAACAATACATTTTAATCACAGATATGAAACCCGAAATGAAAATATATTTAGACTCCCTAGACACCGTTTGACCCTATATGAAAAATCTCCATTGTACGCTGGGCTGAGATTGTACAATGTGCTTCCGCCATGCTATAAGTCATTAAGCAAAACTAAATGTAAAGATACAATAGATAATTTTCTTATTGACAAGGCTTTTTACTTAATTGAAGATTTTTACAGAACTACAATTTAGAAAATTTTTTTTTAAGTGTTTAATTTTAAGTTAAAAGTTTTAATGTTAAATATTTTATGTATGGATTTAATTTTGACAATGCACCTATTCTGTTATAACATGTATGGAATGTTTTGTGCAAATAAAGTCTATGTCTATGTCTATGTCAGCAGTTTCAAAACCAAAATGTTAAATTTCAAAAGTTATGAGATTTGTTACATCACTAATGGTACTTGATCTATTTACATTTCTACCATGCCTTAAGTGTTTCACCTATAATCTATTTTGTTATGCTAAAAAGTAAATTTAAATTTACTGTATTTGCACAGACAGTTTGGTACTTATTTTGGCTATTAAAAAAAGAGACTAAGGAGCTTAGGAATTACTTCAACAGATTAAACATAAGTTTCAATATTCACTTGTTTAAAACGTTACGAGAATGTACAATGATTGATTTAGCAAGACTCAATACCATACAGCATGCTACATCACGTGCTGATACATCACTGCCAAGCAATATATGCTTGTAGTGAAGCCACAACAAGCACCGGGCACAAACGTACGAGTTGAAACACGTTTATTGGAAAATGTTAGTGCTGTTACATTTTAAATTAAACCAATAACCTTTGTTTTGTTAACACTTTCAGTGATGAATATTTTTACACACGTGAAATAAAGACATCTAAAATTAAGACGGTATACAGGGTGGGGAAAGAGTATCAGGACAGTTAAATATTTCAAAACAAATATAAAGCAACCAAATTATGAAAAAATTTAGTGGTCATATAAAAATGTTAAAACATTCAGTAATGTTACCTCCTCAGAGAGATCAGAATAAAATCTAAAATGTAAAAAAACGTTGATATTATTAAAATTCATTGTTATTATGTTGATATTATGTCATCTAAGATAGGTAGGCCTACAACGTACAACAATTTCTAACCATACAAAGAGTATAAGGAGAGGCTAAAATAATGTGACAGTTGTTTTGTTTGAGCTTTTTCCATTAAATCTTTTGGAAATTTTGAGACGTTATATCCTGCATGGACAGATTTTTTAAAAATAGCTCTAATTTATGATTTTCAATCATAAAATTATATTTCTTGCCTTATGTCAATAGGATTGCTTTCATTTTTTGAAAAGTTGAAATGTATTTATGGGAAATGAGCATTGAGAAAATAATGAAAAAGATATACACAAAATTTAATAAAACTTAACTAAATATTTGTAAACACTCAAGCAAAAATGTACAGCAAACAAGTATTAAATGTCAACATTTAAAACCATTGTGGTATCAATCAATAACACCAATTTAAATATTTTTTTAAATTCATGAGGCTTTTTGCAGCTATGAATCATCAGACACATCACAAAACTTAATAAATAATACCCCGTCGCCTGCAGACTTACCGAATTTCCATTTGCCTGTGGATTTACACTAAAATGCCTCCTTAACACGTTCGCTGCGGCACGTCAAATAGTGGGCATATCCCCAGTGCGGCGCAGCCCTCAGCGTCAAGCAAACCCGATTGCCGCGTGTGATTGGCTTTCCAATTTTGGTCTGACGAATAGCAAATAACGTGCAGGGATGTCCTGCTTTACAACGAGAGTCGACGTATTTCGCTAAACACCCACAGATAGCAGCACTGCTTGGAACGTAGCCGGTCCCATTGGAATTGTATTGCCAAATGGAGGGAAAAAGACGGGACAAAAATAAGACTTTTGAGATTGCCAGACGGGGATACTACGGGGAAATTTACTACCAACCTACACCACATTAAAATGCAAGTCACATACTACACGCTAACGTGGTATAGGTCCGCTTTCGGCCGACGCTAGAGCAAAAACGAAGATATACAAAAGGCATTGCCGAGCGTTCCCGATGGGGTACGGGGGCCAAGCGCCGTACCCTATCGGGAACGGCCGCACTCTACGTGTTAAAAATATCACATTTGTTCCCTATTTAAACAGAATTAGTTTAACGAGTACTTAGGTTTGCTGCAACAGGGAGGGTAAAAAAGTTTTTTTTAATGTAAAATGTTAAAAGGTACTGTAGTTTAGTAAGAAACTAACATATTTTCCAAATTTTATCAAAATATGTTCATAAACAAGCAAACTACAACAGTTGACCTATTCTCCATAAGAATAACATGGGAATTTTAAAATTACAATTTTTTTGAATTTTATCCGTAACAATTAGGTGCATAATAACGCTTCAATATACTAAATTATTTGTTTTTTTAAGCTCTACAAAATGGTTTAGAAAGAAATTGTGAAATTTTGTGTTTTTAGGGTCAAAAATGGGGAAAACCTATTTTTACCCCATAAAACCCCCCATAAACCCCCGTTCCCATGGCCCGATCATGCTGGTTCGCGAACTCATTCAAGTTTATCCCTTACACCTTCAAACCAAATTTTATCAAAATCGGACAAAAATTATCGTGAAAAAAAAAATCGTGTGGATGGACACACACACACATATATATATACATAAAAAACTCTATATATAGATATATAAAAATTTGAACGAATGGTGTTTTTGGCCTCTGGGGACATCAAAATGAAAAAGTAAATCGGTCCCGGGCCTAGGTCTTACCATGAGACCTACGGTAATAGCTACTTCCCTATAGGGAAATTCGCTAATAACTTGATTAATGAAATAAAATAGTTTGTAGAGCATAAATTGTATGAAACACATCTTCCCTAACAAAAAAGATAAGGTGTATGCTAATTGGGAAAAACACTTTCCCTAACAACATTCTCTTGCTTCACTATCAGTTACTCCAAGACCTTGGTTACCTCATAAATAAACTTTCTTTCCCAACTCTTCCTCAATTGACCAAGTAGACCTAGTGTACATCAGTGATTTAAAACTCTTGCATTTGTCATCTGTTCATCAAAGTCATTAATATTATTTATTAAGATTAAAGATTTTTTATTAATACTTTATATTATGTAATCAATAATTTTGTTTTGATATTTTATTTTTTGTGATATAGTTATTTCTGTTAAAAGTATAGTGATAAATATTATTTAATTATCAAATTAGACTGGAGTGAAAACTTTGTTACACTTCAGGCATGCTTTAATTTAGAAAGAAGTCAGTAAATGTACTTGAATAGTTTAATTATTTTTATAAATAAAAATATATTGTATTCACAATCCAAGGTGGTAAGCCATTTAGGTATTGAAAGGCAAGTGGTTATAATCTAGCTTTCAAATCTGAAGTTTACTGGTTTGATCCTGAGCACCCAGAAGTTGGTTGATCAAGAAACTACTCGGCATTGGGCAATCAAATCAGAAGCTGTCTAACAAAAGGTCTAGAGAGTAATAAGACCAGGCTTAAACCATTCCCTTACGAAAACCGTAACGAAATTCCAAAAGGCAAAGAAAAACAATACAAGTACAAATACAAAAACCATTGAAAACAAAATGAAGACTGGGAGGTTAAGGGCAATGGTTGACTGTGGTTTACTCAGTGATTAAACTACATGATGGATCGTCTGTTCACAATTTCAAACTCCAGTAACTTGGTTCCATCTATCCACCTCAGTGTCAAAGTTTTTCTACCCACTACTGTATAAACACTATATGAGTCCGTTAGCACGATAACTCGAGCAAAAACCATCCGATTTAGATTAAATTTGGTACAAACGTGTAAACCTACATTCATTTGAGTTTGCGAACCAGCATGATTGAACAAGGTTTTATGTGGTAAAAATAGTTTTTTTCTTATTTTTACCATCAAAACATAATTTTGTTTGGATTTCTCACTAAACCATTTTTAAGAGCTTAAAAACAAATAATAGTGTATTGAAGTGTTTTTGTGTGGTTATTGATTGCCAAGCAAATCAAAAAAGTTTTAAATTTCAAATTCCTATGTTATTCTTAGGGAGAATAAGTTAACTGTTTGTAGTTTGCGTGATTATGGATATAAAAATTGGGTTGATCAAAATTGGCACATTTATTTATTTTGTACTAAGCTATTAATATTTTATTAAAAACACTTTACTACCCTCCCTGTAGCAGCAAACCTAGGTACAAAAAAACAATGTTAGGCTTAACAAGTTGTTGTACTTGTTAAACCTAACGTTATTTAAATAGATTTAAGTGAGAATCAAATCGGGCAAATGGAAATTCACTTAGTCTGCAGGTTTGTTTCGGTGGGAGTATTTATATTAATTTGTGTATTACCGAATTGTGTATTAATCTTAATTTTTGTAACCGAAATAGATTGAAATATGCTGTTTGTGGTATTGATTGTTAACAAAGAATGGTTAACAACAGGTATTTAAAATTTTGAATTGGTGAAATGGATGCTTTTTCACCCAATCAAATTGTTAAATACCTGCCATTTTGGCTAGGGGTGACATATCGACTTCATGTTTGCACCATTGCTTATGTCTTGTCAAATCCTCCAAAATGAGGCGTCACTCAATAGGGGTGGTTATTTGAAAAAAATAAGTCACCCCTACCCCCTACCCTGTTAAGGAGGTTTTAAAATATGTTTGATGTAAAAAATTGTGGAACCTTTGTTAATGCCACAAACAGAATATTTCCATCTTTTTCGGTTTAAAATTACAGATTTGTTTCCATATTTGTGAAATTGGTGCTTTTTCACATAAATAAAATGTTGGAATACCTGCCATTTTGGCTAGGGTCAGATATCCACCTCGGGTTTGCGTCATTGTGTTTCTTTTGACAAACCCCTCGAAATGAGGGGTCACTCAATAGGGGTTGCCATTTGAAAAAAATAAGTCACCCCCTATCCTGTTAGGGGGGTTAAAAATATTTTTTATGTAAAAAATTGTAGATCTTTTGTTACCTAACAATCAATGCCACAAACAGAATATTTCTATATATTTCGGTTTAAAAAATATGGATTTGTTTCAATAATACAGGTTACTTAATTTACACACTGTATAAGATTCCATAACCATCTGTTGGAGGCCAAGAGAATAATTGACCATGTAATGCACAAGCTATAATTACGCTAGCATATGCCAAATTAAATGTTGAATTGAATTACATTTTGGGTGGATTCTTTATCAGTATCTATCTAGTATTCCAAAATTGTAATTATTTATCGGGAATGTGTTATGGCGATCTAATCAATACCCAACACTTACTAAAATTAATAAAAGGTCAAATAGCAAAATGATAAATGTTTATACCAATTTAAATTCAAAAATTGTTAAAAAACAAGATAATCTTTTAGGCACAATTCCAAATATTTCTATAAAAAAAAGAAAAAAACTGCATTAGCCTATAAGAGTTTTCAGTCGTGTGTCAAAATAATTATTCAATTAATTTTGGCGTTTCAAGGTCGAATGAAACATCCATTGTGTTGCTTGTCAAATTGTTACTAGAGCAGCAAAGTTGAAACAGCTGGCGCTATGACGCAAATAGATAAGAGTCGGTAGTCGACATTGCGACTGTGATGTATCGATATTTTGCACCGACCGAACAATTGCATCGGTACTTCAATACAACAACAACCGACATTGTAAAGCAAATTCGTATTCTTGTAAGATGTAGATGTAATTAATTACTGTTTGATTGTTGGGTTCTAAAGAGTGCGTGATGTAACACAACATTTTTTTAAAATAAACCTTGTAGATTAAAAAGAGGCATAAGCAAATGTAGCAAAATATTTATTCTATTGCATTGGGGATAAAACATGTCTTTCAAGACTAGACCTAACAAACTTCTCAACTTCGCCACAAACGCTTTTCGCTTTAAGATCTATACAAATTTACTGACCTATGAAGCAAACCTATCTTATTTTGTGGTATAGAGAAAAGATCAATTTATTGACAAACCCACAGATTTAACAGTAATTAGGCATTAGTATACAAAGCTTTACTACTAAACAAAATTACAGTAAAGTGCATAAGTCCAAAGACATACCAAAAGACATTGAAGTTACGGTTTTGGTTGGATTTTGTTAAAATCCAATATGTACACAACTGGCTCATGAGCTTTAGTCAACGGTTCATTTTGGTTAGTCATCCCCCTTAATTTCATCTGGTTTTATGGTTTTCATTCAGTTTTTGTGTGGAAACTGCTTCTTTAGCTTTACACCTCACCTAGGAGATTTCCACAGTAATTTATTTACGACATTGACCAGACATACCGGGTTTTTGAGGCGAAGATTACATTTTTCAAACCATCATACATATAAAACCACTATATAGCCTATCCATAGAATTCTTTTAGATTTATAAATTGCACGTTTTCATGCCCAGTCACTCCATTTTTATTAGGTTGCTATTTTATGAATTAAAATTACATGTAATGAAACATAACCTCACATCGATTGGTGCGTGTAGATACATCGAAGTTCGTTCGATTCAACTATCGATTCAACCGATTCGTCAATGACAGTTGTTATCACGCATGACTATGCGCCGGCGCAACTGATACTACACCGAATCGACTACAAACAGTCAAAACTAACACTGTTGAACTGAAGCTTACCGGGAAAGGTATCGATTTTTCAAAATGGAAGTGTGACGGTACCATATGGGTAGGCCAGTCAACATAGGTAGGCCTGAAAGTATGCATTTGGTCTTGTGTTGTGTTTTGGTTTATGTTTCCGTTTTGCCGCATACTTTAGTCGGAGCTGAACATCTAGACTATCCAGGTATGTCTTACTGAAAGCCACGTATTTCTCTTTATTTCCTCAATGGGCTCATTCATGAATTCGTTACAGCTAAAGGTGTTTATTAATTAATCACTAAGATAATTGATAGTGATTTTTAAATTCAATGGTGTACCATAGGTCGTGAGTTCCCGATGTACTACAATTAACTGGGTGGGAAGGAATTGTATGTCAAGGATGAAGTTGTAAATTAGATTGATTTTGTTGGTTTGTTTTACTTGAAGTGTAGACAGCAATGTTGAGAATGATAAATAATTGTATTGACCCATTTGATGATTTATTTATTGATTTATACAGTTTTTTTTTCTTATGGAGACTATATATATCTTCAAATTTATCTACCTACCCTATTAAAAAAAATCCAATGAACTAAGAGTTACTTTTTTAGTGTATGTGAGTCAATTGAATTTGGTTTATGCTAATGGGAAATAATCTAGCTATATTATGAGCTCTTTGAGAATTCAAATGAAAATCTTCCGAATTAAGTTCAGTAGAAACGGTAAAAGTTGTATGATTGACTAGCAATTACAATATTTTATTTTTATTTAACGTATAAAAATATCAATAACTCCTCAGACCTCAGATATATTAAATGAATTAATTTATTGGCCTTGATTTTATTTTGTCACCTCATGTTCTGTCTACAATTTGATAGAAACATTCACAGATACAAGCTAGGTCTAGCATATAATATTTTTAAAAATGCATTTTAAAAAAATTAGTCACAAGGGTTATCATATGCAGCCCAGATTAAAACATTAAAAAACTAAAAGAAAATTTAAAAAATATTTGTTGAAATTAAATATGGTAAAAAAATTGTGTTTTTGAAATAGTATAGTACCTATAAAAAAAACCAACCCCAAAAAATATAAATGAAATAAATGAAAATATTAAAATAAAATTAACATAACAAACATTTAAAATCTCTAACCTAGAAAACTGTCAAATAAATTTATAATTTTCTTTTAAACTTTACAACCATTATAGTTTTGGAGTTTAGTGTACGCGGTAACTGTAATTTTGAATAGATTTTCTTAGTTACAAACATTAGGGTTACCGGTACATAAAAAACTAATTTTAAAAAGTTGTTCTTTTGTAAAGTATGTTTTTGGGGGCACTGTCATAGCAGTCTAACAAAATTAAATTACCCACCCAGTGCGTCTGGGTTACTAGCAATTTTGTGTAGCAGACTTGATTTGTATTCCAATGAAGTTTCAACAACAAAATCAAAATTAATTATTTCAAGCAAGACATAAAAATATAATCAAAAAAGTCATTCATTTGCAAAGCTATATGGAAGCACATATTTTGTAATAAAACTCACACAAAATTAAACTTTAACCCTCACTGATTATTATAATTGTGTTCCTAAAAACACACACCTATAGTTGAAATAAAATAGTTTAACTATGTACAATCACACTCAAAAATATACTTTAGAAAAGTCAGTACAGTAATATTTTTTACTTTTAATTTTCCTGTGTGAGTTTCCCATGTGATTTATATATTATGAATGTGACATGGATTGGATCGTAAGTTTCTAAATTCCTAGAATAGTGTTTCTAAAGTATTTGGAAACAGACCAAACTCTGGTCTATTGCAAGTATAATGTTTACTATCATTTATTTTTGTTTAAAATTTTAATTTCTCTTGAAGAATACCAAGAGGCAGCTATTATCCAGCGTATCCAGCGAGTTCTGAGCAAATGGCGGCAATACCAACTACGCAGAGAGGCGTCTGAGCCGGAGGTGGTTCCCGCACCACTTCCAGAGTTTACATATCGTTTCCCGGAAGATGGCGGCCGCAGTTACCAAAACGATTTATTTGCAGTTCCCCCTTCTAACCCTAGGTTCTATGATCCTGGTATGGAAACTCTACTCTGCATGCTGCATGTTGTATTTCCTCCTCAGCCAGTACATATTTTAATTTTGGTCAAGTTTTCTGTTTTTCGCTCTGTCCTCTGTGCATGTAGGTAGAGCTATAACAATTTTAAATTTCCATGTGTTATTTTGATTTATCATGTCTGAACATACTTCCCTCGTTATGTTTATTTATATTTTGGTTTCAACATTTGTCTTGTTTGTGTTGAGCTTGTAGAGCTTTTCCTTTTAAATATTGAACCTTCCATGTATATAGTATTTTGATTTGTCTTTTTATATTTCCGTAATTTTCTGCATGATTTCTGTTCATTTGAATTTGAAGTTCTTCATTCTGTGACCCTCTCGTTTGTAGTAATAAATAATAAGTAAATCTTTCTGAATCTTGATTATTTCCACTAATATTTTTGTTTCTTTTCCGTAGTTCCTTCTATCATTTAATGTCATTGGTGGCAAGAAAACACTTTCTTCTCTTAGTTCTTACTTCTATTTGTGTCTGCTACTGTACTTATTTACAATGTTTTTTGTGATTACCCTGAAACAAATGATTTTAAGAAGATGAATAAATCTAGTTAATAGTTATCTGGTATTTTTGAAGCTCACAAGGTACTTGCCCACATCCTGTGTCCCCCATGTGTGATTTAAAGCAGGTGGAGATTAATTATCGTAGTCGGGAACACCTGCCTAGTTTAACAGTTATGTTCTTCAACTATACAAGTGACCTGTGACCCCTGTGAATCATGTCACGTTACCAAGGAACGCTTGTTATCAGCATGTATTGTGAAGGCTACCTAAAATAGTTATGCCAAAATAATCAGGGGTACAGCTGGTATATTATAGGACTTTTGTCTTGAAAAGTTGGATTCATACCTGATCAATTATAAAGTTACCTATGTGTTATTATCATGAATCCGTTCCATTGGTTCGGAGTCAAGCTAAGGTATAGGTCCATCTATCTACCTAAAAAAAATACATTACTTTTAGGATTGGAGTACTTTTTTGTCTCTGAAAACCTTCTCCTTAAGAAGCCCAATAATAATTTATTAGTTTTTTTTTATAATGTGCAGTAAAATATCGCTTAAATACCGATTATTTATCCTCTGTTGGAATGTAAGCCCAATGTCCTATTGATTCTATTGTTAACTATATTCCTATGAAAACTAATTTTTTGGTTGAATATTATTGTACATATCAGTGTCCACTTTTAGGTAGCTGTTTTATTAAATACAATCATCATATTTTCTGCTGACTGATTATGCAGGATTAATCATAAATATTCTCCAAACTACTCTACAACGGTTTTTTATCATATGAAGGTTATAAATTCAATCTTAACTCATTGACTATACAGAACGTATTCAGTCAACAAATTAAATTACTATATTGTGATTGTGTTTAATATAGTTTTATAATTGTCACTCATTAATACCACTCTTTATTTCCTAGATCCAGACTTGCTTGCAAAAGAAACTAAAAGGCTAGAAAGTGAGGCGCCGCCAACTCAAGAGGAAGATGAAGCTAAGAACCCTACAACGGAGCCGGAAGAAGTAACTACCGGCTGGGAGGAGGATGAAGCTACCTTAGAAAGCAGCGAGCCTAGAGATGACGAAGTTTCATATGTTTTTAAGAAGTTTTTGGCCAAGGGGGATCAGGATGTCGTACTTGTTGGTAAGAATATCTAATTTTTTTTAAAGTGAATTTATAATTATTATTGAAGTAAAATGTATATCATGGTCACATTATTGGCTGGATAACCCATAAGTGGCTCTGTGTTACCCTACAATCGTTTTATAACAAAAAAAAGTAAAAAAATGTTAAACTTTAAAAGACGTTTTATTTAAAGTTTTTTTATTATTATGATTTAAACTTAAAAAAAAAATTTGGCCTATTTAGTATCTCCACTACCCCAAAATGTGATCCTTTCAAGACTTCCAATGACTAAGTAACGGCCAATGTAAGTTTTGAATGAAGATGAAATTTTATGATAAAATCATTTAAAGAAAACAACAACAAAACCCCGTAATGGCCGTTTATGGATAAATAAATAAATCTTTATTTTCCGTAAGGATACATAACATATGATTGACAAAGTCATTCAAGAATTTATAGTTTGACAAAAGTCTTAAACAGCAAGTGGATGACACCAAATATTAAATCTCAATGTAACTTCTTTAAAAAGATTTTCACGTAAATTTATTATAGGCATTTATCTTTTGTGTTATCTACTGGTTATGAAACACAAATTCTTAAATCCTAAGTTTTAAATGTTTTTTTATATAACCTTCTGGGTGATACATTTTCATTAAAATTCAGTAATTAAGTTAATTATCCCCAGAAAATGTTATAATCTGCATTAAAGTTATTTCTTATTTTGTTGTTAAATGTATAGGCCTAGTTGATTCCTTGTTAAATAACCCTACACCACCAGTAATTAAATGTAATATAGTTACAAGTTTGGTGGTCAAGTAAGTGTCATATTTCCTGGAGATTTCTTATCCTTGGGTCAAAGTTATCAGTGTCACCCATCTTTGCATCCTGTATGAATTTATCTTGCTCTTATTATAGGTCAATGAAACAGTTCATTGTAAAAGTTACATGTAAAAAAAGGTATGCAGTTAGTAAATAAAATATCAATTTTAAGGTGTAGACCAATTCATCTTGAAATATATAGAAAGATATTCTTCAAAATATTAAATACTCTGCTGGTAGATGAAATATGAAATATACCTAGATGATATAGTTCTTAATGTTTTAAGTTGTTTTTCATACCACAAAATGTAAAGGTTACCCAGCTATTTAAATTCTAGAAGAGTTCTTTGTTCAGTATTTACTTGTTTTTTATGAATTTGTTAAAAAAGTTACAGTACCTAAATTAATACTGTTTTTTACTTCATCAAGATTAAGATTTATCAAGAAGTTAAGAGATCTTGCTTTACAATAAGTGGTTTGCTTTATCAGAAACAAATAAAAAATATAAAAGTTTGAGTTCAAAAATATAAAAGGGATATATTAACTTTTAACAATTAATTTATGATCTAAAAAAAACATGAGAAACTATTAAATTTACAAAGTATAAAAAAATAGTTATCTTTAGAAAAAAACTTAAAGAAACAAATTAAAGGTATGTCTAAACAATTAATACAGTACTAAATGGCTGGTAGACAGATTGACACCAAAAGGACTGAATACTATATGGACTAAGTTCATACCAATCTTAAACAAATTTTGATTAAACGTTTTTCTGCCTTTTTCATACATTTTGTCATATCCTTATGTTTCACAATCTTTTTTCAATCCATATTGTATATTTTCAATATAAACATTTTTAGCTAGTTACCAAAATAAAGTGTAAGACTGGGATTGTTTAAAATGCATTTAACTTTTCTTCTGCGATAGCCAGTGTCTGATATTTTAAGTTAATGTTCAATTTCTTTCACTGCTCTCCATCTTTTAAGTTTAATAATTAGGTTGAATTAAGTCGAGGAAAAGAGTTATTGAGTGAATTATTCTGCCCTAGCTATCATCGCGGGCTGTGGGGCCGCGGCAGCGGCTGGTGTCATAGCACTTTCTATTGGCTGGTACAAGTAAGTACGATTAAACATACTCCTGTTGAACATTGGTATTTTTGAATCTGCTCTATCTACCGAACGCAAATATTATCTTGGGAAAATTCCTACAAAATATATGTATCATTTTGTTGTCCAACAAGCATTTTGCATAGAGTTCCCCCAAGTACGCTGAATTCTACCCTTAAAAAAACTTCTCAATCATGTGGCTTTAGTTTAATGCATTTGAATTTCCCGGTGAGGTCAGAGGGATTGCATGTGATCGTGAAATGCTGCGACAGTCACCGATACAGTTGGGACCCATATGTGTTATGTAAACTAATTATTGCTACTGATCTTTGCAAAGTAGTCGGTATTGATACCTATAAGTCTATCTGAACTATAGCTTTTGAACATGTTTACTCGCAAACTGTAAACATTGTTTATTGTTTTTTTTTTTTTTTACTTCTACTAAACCTACCTTTGAGTTTTAAATAAAAAAGTTATAAAAGTTTACAGAGTAATTGGCCTTTCAAAAACCTAAGAAAACAGTATGTTTTTTCTCTATTGAATATAATCATCACAAAAAATACTTGCCAAAATGATACCGCGCAAGAGATAGAGGCTAAATGAACTGTCTAAAATGCATTTAAGATGAGTGGTTCTAGTTGAAAAATAGTTGATTATTTATGCTGATATCATTTAACCTTGGAGCTTTGCCTTCATGACCTATTTTGCACAACAATTACATTTCCCATTATTTTTTTTTTAGTTGAAGAAGATTTTTAATTGTTATGTAATCATTAGTGATTGCAGTGGCGTAGCCAAGGGGGGGGGTTTTGGGGGTTAGAACCCCCCCCTTGGGTGTCCCTATATATATATATTTTACTGTTGAAGTAAATATGTTTTCGTAGTATACTTTTATGCTAACCAGTAAATAAAGAAAGTGCCAAACAATTTACCTAGTCTTAGAAATATAATAAGTGTTTTACAACATTTTTCATGTCACGGCAAAAGGCGTACACTACGACTATACTCACCAAAAGCTTTGATGAAACGGGGCTGGAAAGAAACTGAAGTTAGGCCAAAGTTAGCAAAATGAAAAGCAGGCAAAACTATTAAGAAACTATTTTAGTTACATTTTTAATATTCTTCTGTAAAACGGTAACAAATTTAAATTCATGTTTAAACACCTTAATCAAATAGGTTAAATACCTATAGTAAAAACTCAATTAAAAATCAATTTATGTTTTAAAAATTAATATGTCTAGATTGCATAAAAACGCTAGTTTACAGCTATTATTTTTCAAAATTTTTCTGGGGGAGGACCCTTGGACCCCCCTCTCGACTGGAGGGTATTCCATACCCCCCAGACCCCCTGGCATGGTCACGTTGAATAACCCCCCCCCCCCTTAACGTAATCCTGGCTACGCTACTGAGTGATTGACATCCGCACACTGTAGTTGCCCAATTCAACTACATCCATTTTGATTCTAAAACTGGTGACAACTTTAACATGGGCTAGAATGTCTAGCTCCATAGCTGAAGTGTATGATTGGTAATAATGTTTGTATTTTATGAAGCAATTAACATTTGAACCGTTGCAGATTGCACTCAAACTCCAAGGCTGCCGCAGACATTGAGTATCCTGCGTATGGAGTGACTGGTCCCAACAAGGAGATTACACCTACAGGAGACCGCAGACTAGCGCAGTCTGCGCAGATGTATCACTATCAGCACCAGAAACAACAGATCATTGCTATGGAAAGGTAATTCTGTATAAACCTCATGAAATAATTTATATGAATTGGTGTAAATACCCGCTGCGTTATAATCCTAATGTTGCTAGTGTCGCAAATAGTTTAGACTTTCTAAAAAGTCATCTTCAGGCGCCAAGGATGTCAAAACGTTATAAAGGATATAGACACACGAACACGGACAATGAAACGGTACATTTAAAACAAATATAAAACAGTAACTGCGGTATGGGGAATGAAGTTTTACAACCAGATGGATGTAGAGTCAAGACTGTCGGTCATTCCCGATACCGCAGTTACCGTTTTTTGTTAGTTAAGCAGGATAGAAGATAGGACTTGGTTCTAATTCTGCTTCGTTTATCAAACCCCAAGTAGGTAATAGTAATGAAAATAAACACTACAATTCCATATTGTTGTTTTAAATGTTTGTTTACTATTTTATTATTATACGGTAAAATACTAATTTGTTCTACCTAAAAAGAAAATGAAAACAGAATGAATGACATTTATTTTGGATTGGGGAACCCGGTTCAAGTTTCATCGTGTCCTCTGTACTTGAAAACTGTATTCAACTCTAATAAATAAAATAATTTATAAATAATAAAAAATAGGTACATTTAAAAAAGAATATGAAAAATGTTATGAATCTATTTGTTACCTGGCATTACACAACAAAAACATATCTAATGGCAAACATATCTAAACATAATATGTTTAGATATGTTAATCCATATTATGGTGACGGAGGAAAACCGGACTAATTTTGTTTTGTGGTATCAATTATAACTTTTATTACATTAAACTTACTGTAAACTCATGCCATTTAAGAAATACACTATTTAATAAACATAGTTGGCTACAATTATCAGATATTCTTTACTCTTAGATGAAATTTCAGTATATGTAGTCCACTTTCATTCATGCAGGTTTGAATCATTTACTTACATTCTTACATTATATGTCCCAACATTTCATGGCCACCAAAGATTTTCCCGCCACTTCCATGTAAAATCCATCAGAGTTCAGGGTTTATGAGTGTAGACACAAAATTTGAGATCACCTTAACAAAAAATTCACACACCCTCAAACGCTGGGCGTTTCCACAGAATATCATGGGAACGTGAAATAACCTTTTCTAGGAACACCCTCCACGGCCATTGAACCCTGAGTATTTGTCATAGATAAAACAAACTCCCTTAGTAGATTTCTCATCCTTATGGATCAACAGAAGACAATTAATTGTTAGTTCCGCCCGTGCACTGTAGGAGTTGCGTTTTGTTTACTATTTGTTTCTTGTTATTTCAGCTATTTAAAACCTCGTTAAACCAAATAAAAATTTAATCATAAACAACAACTCGTCTCCTAGTTATATAACCAAACCGTAAAGCACAAATCATGGAATTAACCCTAAAATAATAGAAACAAAATTTTGTCGACACTAGCGATTAGTGTCACCAACATGAAGTAGACACGAAAAACGAGCTTCCAAATGTGCAATGGGACGAGAAGTCTACTTGTGTTGGTTAGTCTATAGTAGTATGTTATTGTGAATCTTGTTGAAGACTAACTCATCTGTGACCAAAAAAGTGCCTAAGCACATCAACACTTACATATTTAGAGCTTACAAAACTATTACAAAATCTACAACATTCTAACAACTATTTTTTGGCCAAGAGGCTTCTTTTTTTTGATAGATCCTCTTTTCTCAAACTTCCAATCAGCTTGAGAATTGTAATTTGGCTGGAAATTATATCATAAAATGAAAGGGAAGTTTAAAAAAAGTTGCTGCGCGTCCGTGATAGGCTCGACATTTCGCACATACTCATGATAGAGAAACATACGATGTTTACTGTCCAACGCTCCATGGCTAATAAGATGGCATGAAATACAGCAGTGAATTACACCCCTCCCTACTCGCATCAATAACTGCAGGGCATCCGTTTGAAAAACGTCCAGCTCCTGTCAGTCACCCTGTACACGCAAGCTCCGCTCGAAAAAGTTTATTAAAAGTATGTCTTGAACTTTTCTCATTGTAAGACCTCAGGCTCACTTGCCTCTGCCAAAGTCTTTGTACAACGTTTGCAATACAACACACACTTTGGCATAGGATAGGAGAGATAATGTAGCTATACTAACACACCCCATTGTTTACAGTAACCGCGCCAACAACGAGCGAAGGGGGTCTGTGTCGGAGGGTGACAGTGAAGAGGAGAATGAAGAAGGAGATTACACCGTTTACGAGTGTCCGGGATTGGCTGCTGTGAGTACTAACATGGTTTGTTAATAAAAGTAATAAGTAATGAAGTATGGAAGTAAAGAGATAAGAACGACAATAATCATTGGAGAATAAAATGTTATGATTTTAACCCTTTGAACTCCGTGGGTTATTTAATAATTTAATTATACAGGGTGTTATTATATAGGGACATAATTTACTTTGTGATTCCTTGGGTCAAAATAAGCAAAATATTTTAAATAAGGTTGTTGACAAAGGTTGTTCATATAGAAAGTATGTGTCAGATTGATGATACCGTTAATTTTGATTGAGGTAAATATTGGATTTGGTCCATATAGGTGGGATGTTTACTTGATATCTGTCAATGACTGAACCGAACTTAAAAACAAGTCTGTATGTCCTATAGTATCCTATATATTTCTCATCTGTTATTTTCATATTCCAGACTGGAGAGCTGGAAGTGAAGAACCCTCTGTTTTTAGACGACCCGACTCCCGCAGCCGTTGTTACCGACGAGCTGCAATCCCCTTCTGCTGATAAAAAACAATAAATTATTTCTCTGGTTTAACCCCTAAATGAGAATCTCACCTACTCCCTTTGTATACCAACCCCTGTATTAGCAAGGTGTCTAAATCGGTCCGTCTCTATAAATCGATATATAGCGCTATAGAAATGTGGTGTAAATTACATATATGTCAAATATCAAATACAAATATTTATACACATAGATATAATTAGGGAGAGCTGGCTGGCTTCTTGACCTTTGTTGAAAAATTGTAGTTCTAGTATATGAATTTTATTTATTGTTAGGTAATATGATATATTTTTATACAGAGCTCTTCCATTATCGTTCCACGGCAAAGCCGCTAGCAATCTTGATGAGTTTTATTTTTCTACAGTTCTGCTCGGTCGAGTATGAAGGTCCTAAGGAAGATACATCGAGTTGATTTCGGTAAAAACACTTGCACAGTCGGATAACGCTGCACCAAAAATATTTTCACAGTTTTGTTAATACTCATATAATTTAATGTTTGGAACGTTTATATTTTTATAAGTACCTCGATCACGCATAGATACTTACTGTGTACCTTATCTATAAGACACCCAACAATCCATTACATATTATAGCTCTCTGCTTTCAAGTACAATATTATTCTTGTTTCTACATTGGGTCACCTTCCTTTTTAGGTTAGCTGGAAAGTAACTGTCGATAAAAATTTACCTACTTTCTTGATCTATTCACGGGTTTTCATTTAATAAATTAATTACATTCAACTTTTTGAAGTTGATGAAAAAATTTATTCACTTTAAAGATCATATAATATACTAAAATAAGTATGATAACTGTGAAACAAATCGAAAATGACTTATTAAATTTGTCTTATTAAAAGTACGTCAAGACTAATTGGTACTTATTAAAAGTACCAATTTAATATCCACAACATATCAATAGTAATAATCCCCCTATTTGAATTATTTGTCTCATAAAAATGAAATGTTTGCGTTTTATTTACTCTGATCACAAAGGATATATAGGAACAACCAAATCAAGTGTACTCATTTTTACAATCACTTAAAAACAGACTGTGATAAAAAAGGAAAACACCAACTAGTTGCAGCTTATTTACAAATAGTTTCTTGAATGTGAATCATTATTTTTTCAACGCAAATGTACTGTATACCTCTTTTATACGTAAAAACGCAGGAACATATGAATATTACTGTGTTAACTTGATTTACAAACACACACACAACATTAAAACTTACCATTAAAAGACATTCACAATTAATACAGTTACTTTCCAGTTAACCAACAATTTGAGTTAAAACTCAAAGCCAGTTTAGAAAAATCACAATTTGTTGTAAGCAACCCAATAGATCTAAAGTGTTTAGTATCCTACCCCGATATTGTGCCAACATGTAAAAGAATAGTTACCAGTAAAAACTCGTGGCTTTCAGTCTATAAATATGCCTTGTAAGGGTAATAAAAAACAAAATATATAATTATTAAGTTTGACTATTGCCTTGCAGAATGAGAGGGAAGGATAACTTTCAAGTTTAATGTCCAAGAGTGTGCAAGGGTGCATAGCAAAAGCAAAGCCATACTGATTAATTTAAAATTCTAAACCAGCTGTATCTTATAACTGTTAACATTATCATGGGAAAGTTGCAGTTATAAGAAAGGAAAAAATCTGCAATAAGCATGATTTAACATTGTTGCTTTTCAACAATTTGTAAAAATCAGTTTATTTAATATTAAAGAACATCTAATCACCTTGTATGTGTCTTCATTCAAACCTATAAGAGAAATTAGTAAGGTACCTAGTAAAATTGTTAAATGTTATCAACATCTTGTATTGTAATAGCATCAATGACCGGACCACACATAATTTTTTTTAAATTTTACTTAACACTTCTCTATATTCTTCTTCCTTAACTGTCCTCCCTGGAAAATCATATACAAAACTTGTTATGCTCAATTCTTGGTCTATAGATACCTAATGCACTTAATTATGGAATTACTCTTTCATAAAAACAAAAGTTTCAGACAAGGATAAAATAAATTTCAAACATACAAAATTGACCATTATCTTTGTCAACTAAGGTAATAATACTGTATTAAAAGAATAACTGTTATAAAAACAATAATCACTACAAAACTAAGGAAAAGTATTGAAACGTAGAACATGTCTTGCTGTAACAGCGCAGATGTGCCGCGATTGAAAACGTAAGCTCTTCTGTTTTTTGTTGGATTTTCTTCATCATTGAGTAGGAGATAAACATTGTCTTTCTCCATGATGCACCTGAAATGAAACTAGTTTTCAAATATCATTGGTGCAGCCACTAATACTTAAAGGAAACATTCAATGGCACACTTAAGTGGTGTCTAGCTCTAGTGCATGTACAACACATTCTCATGGTGGAGGAAGACCCTGTGCCCGCGACAGGAATTCCTTTCTCCTAAGCTCTTTCTTGCTTGTCACAAGTACATTTCCGGCACTATATATCGGAGATGAAAGCGCACTGTTATCACATAATTGTGCTCCTCTTTACTTCTATGCGGTACAGCAAAACTACTCCATAGAATAAGCAAATTCCCATTTGAAACTTTGCATTCTTGATCGTTCAAAACTGACCATCCATGACTGGTGAGCTGACTGTCTATGTTTAAAGAAAATTGACACTTTGTTTTGCTCTTATTAATTGTAAAATAGGTTGGATTGTACGGGATGTAATAATTTTTTAAATACAGGGTGTTTATAAAAGAATGATCAGATTTTAAAACATTTTATTGACATTAATGTTAAACAAATACAGAAAAAAAACAAATTTGGAAGTGCTCAATTAGTCCATTAGCAGTGGAGCAAGTTTCCAATCTATGCTGTAAATTGTCCCATACAACGGCTAGCATCGCAAGGTTGATTGATTCTACGGCATTGCGAATTCATCCACGAAGCTTTTGAAGCATTGCCGGTACATGAACTTTGTCTTTTACATAGCCCCATAGAAAAAAATCACATACCGTAAGATCAGGAGATCTAGGGGGCCATTTGAGAAGGGTCAAGTCATTATCGTTACATCTGCCAATCCACCTCTGAGGTAGCTTCTCATTTAAACAGTTACGAACTTCACAGTGCCAGTGACGTGGGGTCCCGTCCTTCTGGAATACAATCCCTTCTGAGTCTTCTCCCAATTGAGGAAAAAGCAAGTGTTCCAACATGTCAAGATAGGCAACTCCAGTAAGGGGTTTTCCGTCAAAGAAAAAAGGGGGCCATAAACTTTGGTTTTCGTTACCGCGCAGAAAACATTACACCTCGGAGAACACCTCTAGTGTTCTACGAAAGCATGTGGAGGCTCAGATGCCCAAATACGCACATTATGTTTGTTTACCTTTCCATTCAAATGAAAAGTAGCCTCATCACTAAATAAAAGATGGTATTACGGTCCATAAGGTTGTCACAAAGCTCTTTACGTTTAACAAAATCACATTGTTTTAACTTTTGAAGTAGTTGCAGTCTGTATGGTTTCAATGACAAGGATTTTCGTAAAACCTTCCACACTGTAGATTTGGGAAGGCCAAGTTCACGCCCTGCACTGTTTATGGATTGTTGGGGCCTTTGTTCAAAGCACTGCTGAACTAACCCTAGCCACTGTTTCTAAGGGAACTCTTGCACGACCACTGCTTTTACGTTTTAATACACTTCCAGAGTTCTTAAACTGACGGATACCACTTAAAATGCTTTGGTGTGTAGGAGGGGTCTATATAAAATGCCTCCGAAACTCACGCTGGACGGTTATTAAAGATGAACTTGACTCATAATGAAAAACACGAAATGTTTTTTCTTGAATTGTAATAATTTTGAAAATGATACAAACACGTCCAAGGAAAAAACCAAGACTGATTATTGAACAGCTGATTATAAAACTTGGAAACATGCTCTTTAAGCACATGTTTCTAATATTAATGTGGACAAGAATTGGGTGAGTACATGCCATTAAAACCTGATGATTCTTTTATAAACACCCTGTAAATCAAAATGAAGTTAGAAAGATAAATTTGATAAAGATATAGCCTACATTCATAAAAAATTAGATTATAGCAATTTACTATCCATATGGTTGAAAAGATGTGGTTGGGCAATAGAGTGATAAGAATATTCAATATCTTATTATATGTATACACTACACAGATATCTAGTTTTGATTCATCAAGCCAAATCTTGTGAAATAAGAAATATAAAAATGTATAAACTTTAAAATCAACAAACACGATTTCTGGTAATAGACACTAAGTCCTACCTAAAACAGTGTATATGCTACAAAATAAAATTGATTATGCACATTTTAAAGGCAAAAACTATTTAAAAAAGAATACTTACCCCTATGATAACAAAAAATATAATGGTATTCTGCTAAATTACATTTGTTTTACTCTACTAGATTACTCTAAGGTTCTTTTTTCTTATAACTCATTCACTCTAGATTTGTGAGACGTTGACAAAATATACTTGTAAAAACAAGAGTAAAGTCGTTAACTTACTATCTTTGTCATGACAACATACAACATGGTAGTTATAGTATTGGAATGTTCATCATAGCAAGTATTGCTCAACTTTCGTTGCTTAGAGATTAAACAAATATATAGAAAATATTTGTTGAAGCTTTTAAAAAGTTAAGTTTTTAAAAGTTTTTATAAGTTTTTAAAAAGATGTCATGAATATAGTTGATATTACAGTTAAATCTTTGACTTTGACTTCAACAACTTATCAACTCAATACAGAAATAATTATGCGTGTAGATACAAAAATAAGGCTACTAACGGTTTACATTTACTATAATGACTTTAACAGCTTAATTGAGCCTAGCCAGAGAACACAATTTAAACATTACTTCAGTATTTTGGGGCAGAGTTATTTAGACTTTTATGGTTTCATCTTTGTGATATCATATTCAAAATATTAAAAAATGCCATCAATCCAAGAACAAATTATAATAAATATAAATTCTGGTTGTTAACTAAAACTTTTGAATCTTTTGATGAATTTTTAAATGGATATTGGTAGGGTAAAATATTAAAAGTTTTCTAGAATGTTGGCAAGAAATCCCTCATTTTATGATGTAATGACATTCTGTGAAAAAAATAATAAATTTGTTACGTGTATCTTCAAAAACATTTTCTTTATTATAATATCACTTATGTTCCAATTTCAGCTAATGAAAGCAAACTTTGTTATTATTTACAAAACTACTAGGACCATTTTTTTCTTCAAAATTTTAGTTTGAATATAAACAAATTGCATTTATCATAAAAAAATACAGTATTTGTATATATATATATTTTTTTTAAATTAAAACTGATTATTGACTATATTTTTTTAAACCTGCAAGTTAGAATTTTAAACTGAGCCACTTACCAACACACAAAATCATTAACGACCGGTATATTCTTTTATGAACCTTTGACCATAACTGATTAGTATTCATCAAAACCACTCTCAATGATGAACCAGATTTGGCCCTGAGAAATGTTGAACTAGAGAAACTTCTGTTCAAGGTAAAGCTTATAGCTGAGGATTGTTTACAAACAAAAGAGCCAGTTTTGCATATACAATCGACAGATCACTAACCTAACATGAAGGCCTTACAATGGCCAACCGGTTTATTTTGTTTAAGTAAATCAATACCCAAGACTAAATAACTAAATTTATATATCATACTTTTTAAATACTGTTATTACTTAACATTATTGTTAAGTGTTTTCAAGAACAATTGGTTTATAAAATGTTGATGATAATTCTCTTACTATACCGGCTTTGATAAGTTGAAATATTAAACTTGGGGGGTAGTTGTGCCCCCCGTGGGGAATTTTTCCCTTCCTTGCGACCCCAAAAAACCTAAACCCTCTTTCGCCCCTGTGCTCGCGCACATTTAATAAAGCGGCCCTGTGTTAAGCTCCTTTACCGAATGTGTTTACTCCAGCATAAAAAAAATGTAGGTATACAGGGTGATTTGTACTCAGTGTGACAAAATTTTTTTGATGTAAGTACAAAGTAAATGAAGTTTGATGATGCATATCAGATGTTCCAAGTCTCAAAATTAGCGTCCCAAAAAATTATTTAATGTTTTTCTAAAATAACCATGCTTTTAAACTTAATACAGCGATTTCTCAATTTTAAAAACAATGGTCCATTGTATTTTTCACACCCTGTATACAAGAAAGTGTCGGAATATGTTAAAAACTGCGCCATTTTATAAGCTTTCCAACCATATGCTACACTATTGAGGTTTAGATATTTTTTTGTTTGTTGTAGTGGTTTGAATACCAGAAAACAGGGAACTTTTTACTGTTTTTACTGTTCAAGCTGAATCAAAAATACAACTTTTGCTTAATACATGCCGACTTTCTATGTTTTAAATGTTAAAGACACCATGCTTTGTAGTCTTCAAACCATTAAAGCGTACATAAGCAGACATAAACCTTAATAGTGTAGCATATCGTTGAAAAGCTTATAAAATGGCGCTGTTTTTAACATATTCCGACACTTTCTTGTATACAGGGTGTGAAAAATACAATAGACCATTGTTTTTAAAATTTTTATCAAATATCTTTATTTTTATCTTTGAATCTATTTACAATGGAGTTTTTACAACTGATCCTCCGTCATTTTCTATTATTCTTGTTCAAAATTTAATGTAGAACACAAAAATTACATTATCCACTCAAATCCATATACAGGTAATTGAGAAATCGCTGTATTAAGTTTAAAAACATGGTTATTTTTGAAAAACATAAAATAATTTTTTGGCAAGCTAATTTTTAGACTTGGAACATTTGATATGCATCATAACACTTCATTTACTTTGTACTTACACCAAAAAAATTTTGTCACAATGAGTACAAATCACCCTGTATATAAAATCAGATGAAAGATCAATCAGTAGACTAAACTAAAGATTATAGAAATGCCCTTACGGATGTGTTAATGTAGCGGGATCAGTACAGATTTATTCAAGATTTATACAATATGTAAATAAAATGCATTTAGAAATACAGAATGGCCAATACAGCTTATTACTAGTTTAAAAATAGTTGGCTATATTTAAAATAAAATAAGTAAAATAGTAAAACTTAATTACTGCAACCCATCAAATAAATTAAATGCTCTATTTATTCAAAACAAAAAGTTTTTCTAATTGTTTCTGCTTTGCATCTGGTATATAATCAAAGAATAGAGCACACATTCCCAAATAAACCTTAAAACCAGGGAGACACATTTGGTTAACAACAGCGCAATCCAACTCAACAAAACACAAAAAACAGGCTTCAGAGTTGACAACAGGACAGCAAGTCTACTTACAATATTAAAATAATAAATGTGAGACAGTTTTAATAGTAGAGGGATGATTAATACCCACAAGAATCATATTGTTGCAATCAGCTGTTTAAAAAATATATGCACAGAACAATTCAGAACTGCTTGTTCGGTACCTTATCCTTTTGTTCTAATTCAAGCCGAACTACTAAATCTAAACATTTAGTGAATACTTACTTTTTAGCTTTATCAGTCAAATTCCAACTTCTCAATGAAACCGAGTATTCCTCACAGTCGCTCTATGTGAAACATATCTTCTAACTTCATCTGGTGACCACATGCATCTTAACACTCGGAGCTCTTGATTGTTTGTGTGATTATAAGCAATCAGAGGCACTTGGATGTTAGCCAGACACTGTGGTTATATTTGGCTCCCAGATGTTGATTTACAGGGTGTCTCATAACTGAGATGGATTTCACCAAACGTTTTGTTGACAAACAAACTTTTGACAATAGACTACTTATTTAAATTTTTATAAATTATTACAAAAATCTTAAAATAATAATCTTTTTGAATTATTACTGCATGTTGTTTGTAACCTACCTGTTTGTAGGAATTTAGGCCTATAATAGAACTAGTTCACTGGTATTTATCGCAAAATACATTTTGGGTGTGTGCTAGCCTAGCGATTAGCACCTAGGACTTTGGTGTGAGAGTAACGGATTTGAACCTTCATACGAAAATTTGGGATTTGGACTGATTTTCCAAAAAAAGGTTATATTCTAAGTAGGATCTTCTGTTAAATCAAAAGTTTTGATCTACTTATAAATCTAGATTTTAATGGTTTTTTATATAATTTTGATTTATTTGTTCTCCAACTGAATATTTTTTATATTCTCTCTCAAACTTTCAAGATTTTTCTAATAAAACTCATTTGACTTGGAGGGAAAAAATTAACCGTTGGAAGATTAAAATTTTTCTCAATTTATAGCTATTGAAAAGTTTGTTATGCTACCTCAACTTCTAGATATCAAGCACAAGTTAGGCACAGATGATTTTTTCCTATAAGAGTTTATATATCTCCCATTCTTCATAATACACCACTTGCACATATGCTTATTCTTTTACACCATAATCCCATGAGTCCCTTCTAGTTCGGCCTTGTCGCCATCTTTAAAAAAATTAAAATCCAACTAGGGGTTCTCAAATACTAACCAGCATATCCAGCCGACTAGACCAGGATTCCATTACTGCGAATTTTGTCAGGAACCAGGAAATTTGGAATAACCACCAATATCCTTAGACGAAATGTCCATTCAGTAACCAGATTCCGTTGGTTCTATTTTAAGGTCATCAAATTGAAGAATACTTTAGCAGGAAAGATCACGGGTTTGTCATGATCGCAGGAGCAGTATATGGTAATTTACAAATATAAAAATTCTTTTCCCTACAGTCACCTGACAAAGTGCCTACAACAATTTAAGTAATCATAACCTATACACAAATACTACATAAAGTGCCTTCCTTGCACTGATTATAGCACAGAAAGTTGCTAATTGCTGCATCTACTTACTTTTATGAATTGGTTGAAATCAACCTGCTTCTATGTAATCCAATAGTCACAATTAATGTCAAGCATCTAGTTTCGACTTCATGAAGAAGTCATCCACTGGACGCCAGAGGATGACTTCTTCATGAAGTCGAAACTAGATGCTTGACATTAATTGCGACTATTGGATTACATAGAAGCAGGTATTTAAACCAATTTATATATTCAAACGTAATCCTGAGGCTAACATAAAAAACATACTTACTTTTGCCGCAGTTTTTTTTTTTTTGCCACACACCAGTATTCCAACCAAACAACACAAAACAGCGTGCTTTTATTAGGCACGTAATACGTGTACGCTTGAAAATAAGTTAGCAACACTTAAAGATATTACGGCTAGGATGAGCTGTTGCAGCTTTTCCCATTTCGTTCAATGTTTAGATTTAAAATAACCTAAAAACGTGTTGTACAGGATTAGAAAGACTAACTATTTGTATGCTTTATAGTAACTGTAGGAAATAGTTATTTGTGCAACTAGTGAGCAATTGCACTTTGCACTCGAGTTGCACATTATATTTTTCCTACAGTTACCATAAAATAAATAAATTGGTAAAGAAACGTGACATATTTTTACACAGAAGTGAACTTTTTATATAACATTTAATGACACAACAGTACAACAGCTGACCAGCTGATTTACAGCCAGTGCTGCCAACGTATTTCGCGCGCATACGACCTTGGCTGCATGTTACGCGCTCACTATTCCGTGCCTTCACGTTGCAAATCTGGAGTGAGTGAGACAAAACATTGTCTCACTGATGAGCGAATTGGCCACTTAGCTTTCTCAAATCAGTGAGAGAACATGTACATTGTTAGGTAACTGTAGGAAAAATATAATGTGTATCGCGAGTGCAAACTGCCTTTGCTGCACTCGAGAAACTTTCCACACTTGCCTAGGGCTCAAGGTGTGTGTGTAAACATTTCTCTTGTGTGCAGAAAAGTACCACTTTGCCCACTAGTTACACAAATGTATTCAACTTCCACACTCGCCTAGGGCTCAAGGTGTGTGTAAACATTTCTGTTGTGTGCAGAAAAGTACCACTTTGCCCACTAGTTACACAAATTTCTTTAACTATGTACTAAGTTTTACTGCATTTTTGGCTAATCTGGACAAGAACTCTGATGTACTTTGAATCTACATTCTACACATTTATGAAAATAATAGCATTGTAGTTGTTTGAAACGTTTGACATCTGCAAATCAAAGTAAAATCTCACATCAATTTCACTCTACATAAGAGAAGTCATTATTCACACCACTAAAACAGCCCAGCCAAGACACAGAGACATACACCAGCACAACACACGACATGTCGCCAATTTTTCCCTCCCACAACACCATCTGAGTCTGTACAAGAAGAAACCATCCTACAAAGGTGCTCTGTACTTTAACAACCTACCAGAGCACCTCAAGAGAGAACAACCCAATCTGCTCAAGAAGCACCTGACAACATGGCTTATGGACCGGCCGTTCTACTCTGAGGATGAATTCTTAAACAATAAGCTACCATGAAAGAAAGAAAAAAATTCTAATTGTAATTGCAAATTACTGTAATAGTTTACGTACATACTGTACATTTTATGTACCTGACGCATGAATGTTCTCTAGGAATATTTCAATAAAGATTTTGTCTATTGTCTATTGTACTGTAGATATACTATCTTTAGCTCAAGTTGAGCCCAGTTAAGATGTAATTTTTCTTTAACCCTTAGAGGTTGAATTTTTTCATTTTTCGCCGAGTGTAGGTTGCCATTCGAGCAGTCGGGAAAATGACGCTCGGCGACCTATACTCGCCATTCGACCACAAAGGATTAACAAGGAATGGATAGGTGTAGTGATTATAACTTTTGAGTTTTGAAATACAAAAATATTTAATTTTACAGTGACCACTGCAAAGACAATATGTACAACGATTAAGGTAAACATAATAACCTATAAATAAATACTACATAACCTAAAGTAGGTGAAAAATTACAGACACTAACTGGACAATATTTACAAAACTTTATATAAAAACTAACATTGGTTTGTAAAAATATGACAGTAGGTTTTAGTGTGTCGATATTCGTTATATGCTGAAATTTAATAGCATATTTTAACTTTTACATCATCTATTGAGGTATATGATGAGATGCCTTGTTAACATTTTTTCAAACATTTCGTTGGAGATGTTTTGACTCGAGGAAATACAGATGTTTTAAAAGAATGAATACTATTTGTTTTGGCTAATTTTTCTTAACTTAAAATACCCTTTAATGCACCACCACATATTATAAATATACATTTCCTTATTAAGGACATTTGAAAACTATACATGAGCTAAACCAATCAACTCATTTTAACAATTTACTTACTCAATTGACATTTAGATCCATGAATGTTATATGTAAACTGTCACTTTTGATTTTGAAGTGTTATTTATTCTATGTTTTTATATTGTAACCAAACAATAAAAATCCAAAATGGGAACTTACGTATAGAACAACTAACTTTTAATAAAATCATTTTTTAAATGAAAAATAACATTTGTTTACAGAAAACATCAAATACTAAATGGATGAATGAATATTCACAGACAATTTAATTACACTTGCAGTAGTGAATCCAAAAAAGCAATATTACATTCTTAAAATAAAATTACTGATGTAAAAATAAAACTTTGATACAGCCTAAAAAACCCTAAACAAAAATATTTTTGACTCTTTTACAAAATTCTATAACTACTGAAGACAAATTTTGTTACTTATACGGACTAATCACAAAATGCCCAGCCTAAACTTGCCTTATAGTGTACCTAACTATTTTGCTTGATAAGTGGCACCATTCTTGCCTTAACATCTCCTAAAATTTGATAAAATAAGTAAAATAAAAACATGATTATTATTTTTTTTGCAACACTACTCAGTAAGAAGCTTGTCCCTACGTAGTTTCTATAGTAGGCTCTAAATGAAGCTATACAATAAATACTAGACAGGTTTTTGACAAGTACATTGCATTTTCACAATAAATATTAGAAGTAGTGAACTGAATTTCAAATCTCAAAACCATCAAAACTTTGGAAAAGTTTCGGTTTTGAGATTTGATCACCGAGTTTCGAGATTGAAAAGTTTCGAAATTGAAGATTTATGGAAGTTTTATTTTTGAAACTGTTGACATTTTTGTGTCAATATTATTGTTTTTAATACTGTTTCCACTCAAGCTGGCAGCAATAGAGCAAACATATCACCATTATTAACAGTAATGAAACAAGTAAATTGTATTATGAACTTCAAAAGGCATCATACTATAACTGAAATGACGTACAATTCAGTTTTATATCAATATTTACTTAACACAAAGAAATATTGACCAGTAAACGTACTAATTAATCTAATATTCATGTTTGTGTTGGTGTTAGGAGTTTAATTTATTTTACCTAACCCGCCACGTTCAACTTCCCTATCCCAAGTGTGATGTATACAACTTCTTCACTTCTCGATTGATGTAAAGTTGAAAAAAAAACTCACTCGGTGAGGTAATGAAAACAATTTAAATAACATTGAGTGATTAACTTAAAAAAAATATACCTCTATGGAGCCAACGACGTTCAACGCTAGAAATCAGCTGTGCGCTTGAATTTTATTGTTATGTTTTGAAGAATTTTCCTAACCTAGCTTTTGTTTGTAAATGAACGTTACTGTTAGAAGATGAGTGAAATGGATAATGAAAAATATTGTTCGTAACCTCCTGTATATTGTCGGGTCAGGTAAAATCTTGTACGTTACACGTTACGCAAGAGCGTGTTTATATCACTTGGTAAATTGACTCGCTTCCGCTCGTTGCACAACATTCCCCTGCGTGATGTAAAAACGCTCTTACTACACTTGTAAGGTAAATAGCTATTAATGTTGGTTGTTTATAAAAAATAATGTTGTATTGGGTTTTAACATTATCAGTCCTATCATACTTAAGATTTTATTATTACCTATATTTTTTGTAACCTTCACCTTAGTAACCAGCTAAGTAAAAAAGTTTCGGTTTTGAGATTCAAGATTCGGGATTAGAAATTTCTGGTTTTGACCATCACTAATTAGAAGAATTACAAACGTTTATTTTTTTTTTTTAAAGTTGAAGATTCTGTTCAAATGTTCTTTTAAAAAGGACTGGTATATCAGTGCTGTAATTTAATTATTTTTTTGGTGTTTTACATATCCTGTATATTTTATGCTGGTAGTGTAGCAAAAGTATTGTATGTGACTCATTCAAGAAGATGTTAATAGTACTCGCATGAAATGCCGTGCTCGGTATGCCTTGAATTATCATGCACGAACTATTAACACCTACTTCTGGCCTTGTGGCATATTACAAATAGATATATTTTGAAGTCTGGTGTCAAAAATCAACTAAAATAGTTAGCTAGGTGGACATCTTGAAATTTAAATGATAAAATTTACTACAAAATAATAAAAAGTATTTTTCTACAAAATATGTTATCAGCTATATCTGAATTGTATACCATTGTTGTATAGTACTCTTATAGATACTTTAATCTGTTTATTGGTTTTCTAGTAAGAACTAAAATAAAAGAAATACAAATATTAAGCAATAATTATTAAGGAGAAAGGAAGGAAATACAAGTGAGTTACTTGTTTATCCTTCCTTTCTCCTCAATAATTATTCCAAAGCCAACATGGCTTTTTTCCCCTTTAAACAATATTAAACAATACAATTTAATAAAATCAATCAAATTTTTCTAGTAATCTCGCTAGGAGTATTATTAATTTTACTTCCTTTATGGTAGTTGTAATTATAAAAGACTTAGATTAGATCCTTATTTTAGTAGGCCTACTATTTATATTAAATAGCCTAATTTGTATAAACTAATTTATGTTTAAAATCTGTGTCTTTTGAGAACCATAATATATCTAACTGTACCCCCTTATAGCAATTTAGAAACTATAACTTTCTCATATTTTGAATACCAGTACTTTCACAAAGTATTGTTAAAATGACCAACCAGTTTAGCAACATACTAAACTTTCCACCAAATATTTAACTAGCCATGAATAAAAGAACTTTCACGTTTAATCCATTTATTTCCGGCAAAAAAAAAATGTGACACATAAAATTCTCCTTAAACGCACTAAAACCTCCATACCTTTACATTGCCATAACAAGTACGAGTTTTAAAGCGTTATTTACAGAAAATAATTTGAAACAACAAATTGATATAACTCAAAATACTCTGTCCTGATAGCCACTGTCCATCGATGAAACCGGTTTGCTGACCGTCGTGGAAGGCACGGCGCCGGGTTGGTGGTGGTGAGGTCGCATGTGACCGGGTCGCCGAGGCGGCGCCAGGTACTCAAACATACTCTGTGTGTGCTGCGCTAACATCTTACTGAGGTCGCAAGGCATGGGGTCTGTCCAAAAGAAGTCGTGGTTGAGCGCAGAGTCAGCATCCGCTCGCTTGGCAGGGTCTAGCACTAGCAGTTTGTCAAGCAGATCGCAGGCGTAAGGGTCTTTGACATAGGGTTTTAACCGTTCTTTCACCTGAAATGTTAATATTTATGTGACAGGATTTGAGTTCTTTAACAAATAACTAAATTTATAAAGTATTTGAACATGACGGAGACTATAACGGTCAACAGTCTTCCGGGATTTAAGACAGTTACAGTTAGGTTATCTATTATATTGCAGAAGTGATGGTGTTGGTGTGTTTTTACTACAAATGCAAAAACTAACAGATTCGACTTAAATTTGTTAATGTTTCATTTATAATTATGAAATTTTTACTTAATAAGGTCATGCTTTTATCATACCAAGGTTTTGCATTCTTTTCTTTTTGGCTTACTGTGAAATGTATCTTATGAGCTTTAAGTAAAGAAGCCTGACTAAAATCAAAGATTTTAAATAAAACATGGGCCTACCTATTTTATATTAAAAACAATTGATTATATTGCCCCCATAGTATTAAATAAAACTCCTTCATCTGTATTGGCTTTTAATTTACTGTAGATAGTATTCAAAATTAACTTTTAAGTAAACATATTTTGTTAAATTGGATCATATAATTGGTTGTATTGTTAGATCCTACAGGGACTAAGAAAAAAGCAATTTTAATTAACGTCTCAACTAACTTCCGAACTACAGTATACCTCAATTTTTTGAATTTAATTGGGACTGTACCACAGTTTTGGGTAAAAAAATCGGTTGGTGTGAGTTTTACTAAAATATGAAATATTTTATAGAAAATAAAATAATTAATCGAGCCAAGCTTTTACTATTGCCATTGCAGATTGCTTCTCCAAAGATTTAAGATTAGCACTTTTGCCACGGTTGCGCAGGACAATGATGATGTATCAGTGACCACAGGAGACGAAGATGATGTCCACAAGACCTTGGGATATTCAGGATTTGTAGTGATCATAGCTTCTACGTCCTTTCGTAACGCTTCTTTTTATTATAGTTTTAGGTTAAAGAAAATCTTTCTGTAAGCAATTTGAATAGTTGGAGTTTGGAGAGAAAGTTAGAGTTCTTTTGTACTAGATAAAAAAAAGAAATGTCAAAGTTGCATTCAAATAAAATTGGAATGTTATTTTCTGTTGTTTGCTTTCATACTGCTAAAAGGTGAATTTTCCTAGCTGCTGAATTTGGTTGCAGAATCATGAATGTTATGCGAGTGTTCTAGTGCCATTCTTCAGTTACCTGCAAATTTGGGTACTAGGACAATGCTCGTACCTAATCCTTGGGTGAAGAGTTTGTGCTGAAAAACGCTGCCACATTGGGCAGCTAGAATGACCTGCCTTTACATAAAAAAAAGCTTAGACAATTCTGAAAGATTAAATCTCTCTTATCTTTATAGATTTAATCCGAGAGGTGCTGTTGCAGTTGTATCATTTTCAAAAGGGTCAATTTTGAGCGTTGTGTGAAAACTTTCATTCAAATTTTGAAAACAGTGGCAATATTAAGTTGAAAATTGGTATTCTTCTTAGCGAATATAAGATGTACCAGCATAATGAATTTCTTTGGTAACTGAGTAGGTTAAGACAAAAATTATTAGGTACTGTGATAATTTGAGATGGTATAACCCCACAGTATGTACACCAAAATACTCTGTATAACCAATAATTTGGATACCGAGATGGTCAGGTAAAATGACTACGGATTTGACAAGGAGTTATTCAGTAAAGTGTTGATGAGACAAAGTTACCTTGCGTTTCTGGCCGCGGGGAAGCTCCATCTTGTTGTACAAGTCTAGAGCCTCGACACCAGGCCACACGTCGGGAGTTATTGAGCCACAAAGCTGGGAGATCAGGGTCAGCTGTTGTTGCTCAGTGTTACCTTGCATTATGGGACTCCTGCGTCACAAAAATATATTTCATTAGTTTAACATCGTTGGCATTAAGCATTTAAGAACTTTTAATACTTATGCAGGAAAGCAATCCAAACCCCTAAAAATTCTGTGGATTTACTTGCATTATCTGTCCCTCTCGCACTGAAGTCCATGAATCGTACCACTAGGCGAACAAGATAACCTCTCACAATCATTCCAAGAATAATCTATTTTGTACGGTTGGTGTTCTTTAATTGAAAAATAAATAAATAAAACTTTAACTTTATGGGAGGATTTAACAGCATACACAAAATATATTCAATTAAGGGACTTGGAGCAAAGTTGAGAGTTAAAAATACAATATTGTTGTGCCATTGACAGAGATTGTACAATGAAGTCGCAAATAAACACAATTGTGTAGACAAATATTTCCTCATACCATCTCTGTACTTAGAGGCAATATGATAATATTGAGCAGCACTATCTGTAGAAGAGGAGATATGTATGAGGACAGTACATTCCGTTTAATACAAACTAATTGGAACCGAACCCTGTTTGAATTAGCTGATTGTTCGGATTAGCCAAAATAATCAAGAATGAAGCAATTTGACAGTGTATTTGACCGTAGTGTTGTAATATTCGAACAAGCAATACACAAAAAACCGTATTAATAGTCCATTTACTCTAGAAAATAAAAAATTAAAATTAGTGGTGGGCGGATCCAAGAAAATGTCGGTACCGGATACGGATCTTGTAAAATTTGGATCCGGATCCGAAGATCCGGATCCAGATACCCACTGGCACAAGGGCGGGTTAAAAAAACGCAATTAACAAAATGCCAATTTAAATCATGCTGTTTAAAATTAAATTGGTAATGTTTAAAGGTTAATATAATTTATTGACGTCGGCAATATACAGTACTGTGACATTGCCTAACCATGGAGATTGTTGACGTCGGCAATATACAGCAAACTGTGACATTGGCTAACCATAGAGATTGTTGACTTCGGCAATATACAGTACTGTGACATTGGCTAACAATAGAGATTGTTGACGTCGGCAATATACAGCACTGTGACATTGCTTGACCATAGAGATTGTTGACGTCGGCAATATACAGTACTGTGACATTGCCTTACCATAGAGATTGTTGACGTCGGCAATATACAGTACTGTGACATTGCCTAACCATGGAGGTTATTGACGTCGTAATATACAGTACTGGGACATTGACTACCCATAGAGATTGTTGACGTCGGCAATAGACAGTACTGTGAAATTGCCTAACCATAGAGGTTATTGACGTCGTAATTTACAGTACTGTGACATTGATTAACCATAGAGATTATTGGCGTCGTAATAAACAGTACTGTGATATTGACTACCCATAGAGATTGTTGACGTCGGCAATATACAGTACTGTGATATTGACTTTTAGTACACAGACACAGATAGTCTTCTTGTACACAGTCAAAGATAGTCTTGTACATAAAGACAACTTTGTGTTAGTAAAAAAAATCGGGATAAAATCGTTTTTTGTACATAGATACAGACAGTTTTGTGTTAGTAAACAAATCTGCAAAAAATCTGTCTCGTACATGGATACAGACAGCTTTTTGTTAGTAAAAAAATTGGGAAAAATCGGATCCATCAAAACCGGATCCAGCCCAAAATCCGGAATTTTTTGGATCTGATCCGGTACCGGTTCTAGCTCGGATCCGGCGGATACGGTAGTCCGATATCCGGATCCGACCATCACTAATATAAATTAAATAAGCACATTAGCTAATTACACTCAACTTTGCATGGACTTGCGAGCGATATGAATGGGTGGGCGGACAAGTATAATGTGACGATAATGAGCACGGACTGTACGTCTGCACGCACTGCTTACCGGGACTCTACGGTATGTCTGCCCCCCGGTGGAAAAAGCACCACGGTATTCGGCAGCTATCTCCGATGAACAACTTTCTTCAGATCAGGCTGCGGCGCAGGAATACATTGCTTTATTTGATAATTTAAGAAAGGCGTGCTCCTGGGTTTAAAATGGCTAAGGACCAAGTAACTATAATGGCTTGTTCCAGTGCTGCTGTTAACCATAAGCTTTTTCTCATGATGATAGGCAAAGCTGCTAAGCCTTGAGACTTCAAACATATCAACATGAAGTCATTTCCAGTGTATTATAGGAACCAGAAGATAGGCTGAATGGATGGGAAATTGTTTAAAAATAATGGTTCCATGACCAATTCCTGCCTTCTGTTGAAAGGTTTAGCATAAAAAATGGCATACCCCATGTGCTAGATAATGCACCGTCCCACCCAGACGTTGATGAACTTAGGCTACATGTAGCGAAATAAAGGCTGCCATTTTACCACCAAATGTTACGCCTTTACTGCAGCCAATGGACCAGGTGGTTTGGCAGGCACTTAAGTTAAAGTACCGCAAGCATTTCTTAAAGTCCTTAATTGAAGATGATACAATCCCCTTGGTTCAAAAAATTAAACAAACAAACGTAAAGGATGTTGTGTATTGGGCTGCTGAATCTTGGGAAAATCTTAAAGCTGGAGCGATAAGAAAATCTTGGAAAAGCTAAGGACATCATTAGATTTTGAAGAAAACCCTACCGGGCCCTGACTGACGCTGACATCATAGCAGCTGGGACGCAAGATCATGTTCAGGGCGACCAGGGAGGGCAGTGATGACAAGCCTGGGGGCAGGGGAGGAGAGGGGAGAGTGACACACAATGAGGTAGCTGCAGCGCTTAACCTACTTTTAATATTTTTTATATCAGTGCAAATTTATTGAAAAATAATTTCTTTGGCAAGTTCGGATTAAGCAGACGTTCGGATTAACCGTGCTCGGATTAGCGGGACTCAAGTGTATTAGGAAATCTATGAAACTTTTGATGATGGTTGGTGATATACCGTTAGGTTTCATTTTTTGGACCTATAATCAAAATATGGCGAATACCAACTTCATTTTAATTTTATATCATGTTAACAGCACTACAGAAAAATTAGGAATTAAAAATACAGGAACAGAGAAGATTAATGCTGCATCAAATTTCATACTTCACTTTTCAGCTCTTCTTAAGTAAAATTCCAGTTTCACTTCTTTCGACAATACTGTACCCTCAAATGTATCACTATTGCTGTTATGAGATAAGGACACTACTGAGGCTCAAATATGAATGAAAAATGAGTTAGATGTATTGATGTCTTAGGACGCTTTGTTACTGAATAAGATCAGCTGTTTCTTTGGCCAGCTGGGTCTAGTTTCTACTTTCAAAGAATCAGAAAAACTTAATTTTCAATAGACCAGGCAATCATTTGTATTAGCTCGTCTAAATGTTATTGGGTGTTAATGGTAATTTAGAATACTTACTTTCAAAACATAATGCAGATTTTCTTGTCAGCTTAACAGGTTCCATAGGCATATGTGGACGTGCAAACATACTCCACGAGGTAAAAAGAGGTCCAAATGTCTCAACCTCAACTTTTATCAAATGTTAACATCCTCATCTCAACATTACATTACCTTGTCCACATTTCCGCCATAATACAGCCTGCGCCCCACAGGTCGACTGGCGGACCGTAGTTGCGGTCACCCAGCAGTAACTCTGGTGGTCGGTACCACAGCGTCACCACTCGGTTTGTATACCTACGGTTACGCCAGGTCGTAAAAAACATCCACTACATACAACACTATATGAGCAATCATAATTGCTATGTTAGTATACAGCTTGAGTGAATTCCTGTTTAAGTTAATGTACCTTTGTAGATGAGTCACTAGATAATTTTTAACTTGTTATTAATGCACTATCCAGTTCACTGTCAATAAATCGAAAGTAGGCCAAATGTAAATGTGTAGCTGTACACTTTCATCCACAGATTATTATTGTCTACAAAGCTTGCACTACAAAGTTGTGTGTTTATAAATCTGCGGCATCAGTAACCATGTGGCATGTTTATACTTAGGAGTATTTTTACAGTTTTCTTATCTAGGCCTATAATGAAATATTAATAGTCTTATACAGTTATTCTGAAAACCGTAACATGGCAAGTAGTCCTAAATGTTTTTGAAATAAAAAAAAATTATCCAGGTTAAATTCCAAATACAGAAAATTCTATATAAACTGTTGACTGAGGCCCATTGAAAGATATGCTCTTACCGGTTTGCCTGTCCGTTTTTGGTTGCACTAAACGCTCTTGCCAACCCAAAGTCTGCTAGTTTTAATATTCCAGTTTTGGTTATCAAAACATTAGCTGCTTTCATGTCTCTATGTAGAATCTGAAAAGGGATAAATTAGATTAGTTGAAATTCTGTATTTCTCAATTGAGAATTTTGATCAGTGCAAAGTTTTACATTATACAGTTTAACACATAAGTAGAACTACTGCAATTAATATCTGAGCCGAAATATGGATATTTTTTGGAGGATTGTTTGTTTTATAGGTGAGAATATTTTATCTAAAAACTGTGTGAGCATTTATGGTTAAATTATGCATTAGCCCATAATCATAACTCATTTAACACGTTCGCTGCAGCCTACTGCTATTAGCACAGCACTAGCACTGCATGCGGCCTTCTGCTAAATCAGTAGTGTGCTCACCTGCCAACTATTGCGTCAGTCTGAGCCCAGCACTCGGCCGGGCCTATAGCGTGTAGTGTGTGACTTGCTTTTTGTTGTGGTGTAGGTTGGTAGTAAATTTCCCCATAAAATTCCAGCTAGGCAAGCTTAAAAATCAACTTGTTGTCCCGTCATTCTCCCTCCAATTGACAATACAATCACAATGGGACCGGCTACGTTCCAAGCAGTGCTGCTATCGTGGGTGTTTTAGCTAACTACATTGACTCTCTTCGTAAAGCAGGACATCACCGCAAGTTATTTGCTATTCGTCAGACCAAAATTTGAAAGCCAAACACGGCGATCGGGTTTGTTCGACGCTGCGGGCTGCGCTGCACGGGGGATATGCCTGCCATTTGATGTGCCGCATCAAACGTGTTAAAGCATACTAAACTATAGCTTTTTACCACAAACCTTGGCAGGATCCCCATAATAAGAGTGAAATTCATGATTTATTCACGGTTTTTTACATATTTTGCATTTTTTTTGAGTCGACATTTAGGCCAGGTACAGGCGGAATCGCGACAGCACCAAAAGTTAGGAGCAGCGCAGCATTGTTTCTTTTGTTAATGTGTACAGTCGACAGATTCCAGCTAGATTAGTTTTGATTACTATTTTTGACCAAGTTAAGATACCAGCAGCTAAAACTTTGAGTGATTGAGAACCAAGTCTGAAAATCAAGGCATTCGGGCTGAGCGATGTTCCCGCAATCACAGAAAGCGCCTCCAAAGTTTGCATAGTTTCACTGAAAGTCAAAAAGAATCAAGAATTGATTTTTCTTCAAATCGTAGGTCTAAAAGTTTTGAGTAATTAGAGGATCAGAATCAGCCCATTCCTATTTTTAATGTTGGATCCCAAAATTTACGGCTTATACGTTATTCATGGTGACAAAATTCACGTCAATAACAGTTTTCAGATTTTCACAGTTGAGTGCGTACCCTGCTTTAAGACTCGAGGGTTTCCATTTTCCCTACTGATTTATGGAGAAAACCTCAAACCAGTCTTCCAATAATATCATCTGACTAAAAGTAATAAAGAATAAAGTTTAGCTATCATAATATTTTCAACCCTTTGTTATGGATTCTTCCTAAATGACCTTTCCGGTATCTTAGGCCACTCTAAGTGCCCAGAACCATTCCTGAGCAAAGTATTGGCAGTTACTGGTGAGACTGAGGACAGCTGTTCAATATGACATTATACCTGACACCAAAATGACAGTGGCAATTTTAAGTGGCCCAGCGTAAGTGTGAGTACAACAGGGTATGGACAGTGGTAAGTAGCCTACGGACCACAAAGGGTTAATATTATTGAGTAAGATATTAAACTATAACAGATTATTATTTTGCTTAGCAATACAATACTTAATTAATAAATATTACAATCCTTGACACTATTTGCGACTACATTGTCATCATAAGAAAAATAAAATGGCTCACTTACTTTATTGCTATGAATGTAATATAATCCGTTGAGTAGTTGTTGCATTACTTTTTTGATTTCTCCGAGGCTAAATTTCACATTCACATTGGATAGTAATCCCGCTAGGTCGTGTTCACAAAAGTCAAAAACTAGATAAAACGTTGATCGATATCTATTAAACTGTGTAGCTGAAACAAAAGATATTATTAGTTTTCTTTTTAGTTTGCAATATTGTGTTAACAGAGCTGTAATTGTAATTTACGTAGGTAGCAAATTGGATTCTACACATATGTCAAACAAAACTTAACTGTTGAAACGTTTAAATATAATTACAATATTATTTAATTTTTTCTTACTTAAATGCTACGTAATTAAAAAATTTTATATTATGAATCCAAACGGAATTTCAGAGACAATTGAATATTTTCTATTCCTAGTGTCTACACCAATGGCGTTTTTGAAAAAGGTATAATTTAAATTTATGGCTTGGATGTAATTAAATTTATTGCTTTTAAATGTAATTTAAATGCAATCAGTCCAAATTTATAAAATGTTTTGTGGATGAGCCGGGAATTGCCCCTCATGGAATACCAAAGTCTGAGACACTAAACACAAGGCCCTACACTAGGGATGGACAAGTCTTGAAATTTCAGTAAATTTTTGGTAAATTTTAACTCTTGTCCTACGAGAACCTACGGTTGATCTACTAGTTCTACTAGTTTGTGAACTCCTGTTAACTGGATTTAGGTTACCGAAATGGTTTCATAAAATAATACAGGGCTGTAAATTGCTTTAGTAGCTTCAGTTGTTTAGGTTAAAATATTTTCTAACCCATTGTAACTTTTTAGTAGCTGAAATAAAAATAAACACCCAATCTAATATATAGAAATTATCTTAATTTCATTTTTACTCCACACCGTGGTAATACATTGGCTATTTTTAGCATATGAAATTAAATGAAAAATTATTATTTTTTTGGACAGGCAAAAGTTAGGGCCACACGGCCCTTTCCAATTAACCTGTAACCTGTAATATAATATGATGGGTTAATAAAAAAAATTGTTAAACGAGACGGCTTTCCCCCCTTTATTTCTGTTAATCAGGGTTCAACTGTGTTTAGTAAATATTTAAAATAGATATTTGACTATTGTTTGTACCCTATAACTTACCTTTAGTTCTACAAATTTCTATTAAATTTACTACATTTTCGTGTTTTAGAAGCTGCAATATCCTGATTTCTCGGAGTGCAGTGATCGGGAACTAAAACATAAAGTAAAGAAATTATTTCTAAACAGTGTTAATTTCTTTAAATTTCTACTAAAATTATCCACCACATCCTAATAAACACAAGATTTTAGATGAGGTATAAACAGTACTGTACTGAATTAATTCAAAATCAAGATTAATAATGATTTTGCTGCTAGGCATACAGTGGTTGTGACAGACAGCAACCTCATGTAGGCCTATTCATTTCATGTAGGTACAATTTTTCAGATCTTACAATAGTGATAAAATAGTATTTAGGCCTAACTAAGTTATAGACCCTGCAACAATTTTAGATGCAAAGAAAGGAAACAAGCAACGTTTAAAACCTTAATTAATTATGGGTATCAAATAAATACAAGCTATTAAGCTACACTGCAAAATTTAAAAAAGTACACTTAATGGCTATTTCCAGAAATCTTATAAATCTATTATCAGGGCCGGTCTAAGGGGTGTGGGACAAATGCAGCTGCACACTCAAGCCTTTTGAAGGCCGGTCACCAATGGCCAGTTTGCTACTTTTTGTTAAAATAACCTTCCTCTCTATATCCCTGAGAGATGATTTTATCGTTGCATAGCACTCGAAGGATTAAATTAGATTTTAAAAATGGCTTTGGCTTACTTGTTTACGAGACGTTCATTTTGAAGATAACATACCATATTTAGGCTAACTTACATAAACTTGATGGAAATTTACCCGCTGAATGAAATTGTTCACGATTTGTTTTTGCAAAACAAACAAGAGCTCCAAATGGGACCAACAAGTTTTACAATCTACAGAATGGGTCTACCTACACCTTCTTTTTCATTGTCCATCAACACTTTCTTCATTGCTACAACCTTCTTCGGATTCTTCTTCTCTTTGGCTTTGAAAACCTCCCTGGAAAAAACATTGTTTTTGTAGGCTGGGTACTAAAGTTTAAGTTTCTTACATTTTGTTAATGAGCCAAGGTAGGCTTAAAATTAATGTAGGCTACTTACCTTTTAAAATTAGTTTTTGGTTGATCTATATTTAAAACTTAGGCCTATAATTTATTTAAAGTCGGCAAGCAGTCGGCAAGCGTTTGTTGTAACCGCTTGCCGACTTTGGAATGACCTCTCCTTAGCCATCAAATACCTTGATAACCGGATTCCCGGTTTGTGGTAGTGCTAAAAAATATGTATTTTGAACATATGGCCATAGTTGGTTTGTCCTAGGGGCTTGTACGCGTGGTTGGTCACTGACAGATGTGCTTTGGTGTGTGTGTGTGTGTATGTGTATTCTATCTGATGGTTAAAATAGATTAGGCCATAGACACCTTTTTATCATTATAATTTTTTACAAGTCTTATGACCTTAATTGTTATGGCGTACATACGTCCAACGCTAGCTAAGGAATTCATTGATAGATCCGTAAGTAATAACTTAGGTCTAAGTTAACGCTTGTAAATTATATTTAGGATACTTAAAATTTTTTAAATAAATTGTTAAAAAGGCTAGTGAAATAATAAAATATCATAATAGCCTAAAAACAATAATCATGACTTCTTTATTACCAAAATACAAAACAGAGGCCTAAGTTAAGTTTAACTTCAATCATAATATGTAGGCCTAATACAAATAAAAATAACTTATTGATTCGGAACATTCAATATAAACGTAATTTAGTTTTGAATAAACAAAACAACACAACACATTTCTAATCCACAAAATATACTCCATTAACTTAATGACTGCGCAAAACAAAACAAAGTAACATGACTAAGCTGGTCAGTTTAGTTTAAACAACAGATGTTAGGAGATCAGTGATGCCAACCCACCAATCAGAAATTTAACACGAAAAATAAACATACTGTAGGCCTATATACGGCCAAAGCTTGGGAAGGGTTTTCGTGTAACTACACACGAGTTTGTAAGCTTAAGGCTACCTACTTATCTAACATGCTCCTTGATAAACCTATCTTTGAAGAGCCAAGTGAATCCTACAATGCACAATAGACTTATAACTTAAAGCTTAAGTCTCTATGAGCACAAAACAAAAAAAAATAAAAAATTGTGTACGGCAAAATTAGGCCTAAGTTAACTTAGCCTACTCATCATAGGTTAGTAGGTAAGTGATTTAATGTAAACAAACGGGATAGAAGCTAACCTAACACAACTAAAACTATATTTAAATAAACTCAGGCCTAATAATTGAGCGGAGCGAGCGAAGCTCTTATACGTCGACTTTTATGCATTTCGTAATATGCAAACTCCTCCTAGACGGCTGAATCAATCGTTTTCAAATTTTGCATGGTGATAAAGACCATATCGGTGAGTGCCAACATCTATATGGCGTTAAAAAAGTCTCTCAGGAATCCGCCCCACTGGGTCTCAAAGTTTCAATGTAATCCTTATGGAAGCAGTATTTGACACATAAACAAAGACATATGATCAGCTGTTGACTTTTGAATGCAGTAGATAAATAAATAGCTGTTAGCATTATTCCACAGATATTAGAACATAAACGGTGGTATGGATCATAAATATAATCAAATGACGACACGAGCTTGATGTCCGTGACGTAGGAAGTGGTGAAGGAAGTAGTAAAGGTGAGCAGTCTGGAGTGTGGAAACTGTTTAAGACGATGAGATTTAGGTAGGTATCTGCATTCCTAAAATTCTATGGGAAGGGAGGAAACAGGTCCGCGACGTAGGAAGTGGTGAAGGAAGTAGTCAAGGCGAGCTGTCCGGAGTGTGGGAACTGTTTATGACAATTAGATTAAGGTATCTGCATCCTAAAATGCTATTGGAAGGGAAGGAAACAGCTCCGCGACGTAGGAAGTGGTGAAGGAAGTAGTAAAGGCGAGCTGTTCGGGGTATGGGATCTGTTTATGACCATTAGATTAAAGGTTTTGCAATCCGAAAATGCTATGGGAAGGGAGGAAAACAGGTCCGCGACGTAGGAAGTGGTAAAGGAAATAGTCAATGCGAGCTGTCTGGAGTGTGGAAACTGTTTATGACCATTAGATTATGGTATCTACAATCCTAAAATGCTATGGGATGGGAGGAAAACAGGTCCGCGATGTACGAAGTGGTGAAGGAAGTAGTCAAGGCGAGCTGTCCGGAGTGTTGGAACTGTTTATGACAATTAGATTAAGGTATCTGCAATCCTAAAATGCTATTGGAAGGGAAGGAAACAGGTCCGCGACGTAGGAAGTGGTGAAGGAAGTAGTAAAGGTGAGCTGTTCGGGGTATGGGATCTGTTTATGACCATTAGATTAAGGTATTTGCAATCCTAAAATGCTATGGGAAGGGAGGAAAACAGGTCCGCGATGTACGAAGTGGTGAAGGAAGTAGTCAAGGCGAGCTGTCCGGAGTGTGGGATCTGTTTATGACCAATAGATTAAGGTATTTGCATTCTAATAATGCTAAGGGAAGGAAGGTAAACAGGTCCGTGACGTAGGAAGTGATGAATTAAGCAGTAAAGGCGAGTTTTTCGGAGTGTGGGAACTGTTTATGACGATTAGATTAAGGTATCTTATTGGTATTTACAATCTTAAAATTCTATGGGAAGAGAGGGAAACAGGTCTGCGACGTAAGAAGAGGTGAAGGAAGTAGTAAGGTGAGGTGTTTGGGAACTGGAAACCGTTTGTAGCAGTTAGATTAATGTATCTGCAATGCTGATATGCTATGAGAAGGGATGGAAGCAAGGCCACGACATAGAAAATGGTGAAAGAAGTAGTAAAGGCTAGCAGAGCGGAATGTGGGCAATGTTTGTGGCAATTAGATTAACGTATCTAAAATACTAAAATGCTATGGAAAGTAATGAAAACAGGTCCACGATGTAGGAAGTGGCTTAGGAAGTAGTAAAGTATGAACATATTGTGAGAACCGTCTGTGGCAGTTAGATTAATGTATCTTCAATCCTAAAATGCTATGAGAAGGGAAGGAAACAGGCCCCACGACGTAGGAAGTAGTGAAGGAAGTAGTAAAAGCTGGCAGTGCAGAGTGAGGGAACCGTTTGGGCAGTTAGATAAATGTATCTAATACTTAAATGCTATGAGAAGGGATGGAAACAGGTCCACGACGTAGGGGATGGTGAAGGAAGTAGTAAAGGCGGGCAGTGTTGAGTGTGGGAATGGATTAATGTATCTGCAATGCTAAAATGCTATGGGAAGAGACTGTAGACTTTAGGTTAAAATGATTATGAAGCACGAATCGTTACATATTTCGATGGGTATTCAATAGTTTACAATAGAAATTTACAACTGAGTTTACAACAGCTGAGTTTTACTCCATAGAGGCTAAAAACGAATTTTATTCCCTAAAGAGTAAAAATGCTACTTTAGACCCGCAAAGTATGCACCAATGACGACTGTTTTTACTGCAGTATGATAAAAACAATATAATATGAACCCTTGATGACTCCGCTCAATTTTGTGGATGCCTCTGCGAACGCCACCTAGTTAAATTAGGCATAACGTACTAGACCTAAGTTAAATTACATAACTTAGGCCTACCTATGTGTAGACCTATTATAATTTTCTATAAGTTACTCAGACCACCCTTATTGATAACTTTGTAAGTTTTTGTACGTAGTCTATTTATGGCTTTTAACCTTAAGCCTATGTTAATTGAGAGCAATTAATATAGGCCTAGACCAAATTGATAAAATTGTAGGGTAGAATGACACCAAATTTCTTATACTCCAGATAGGGCCAAAGTTAACAAGTAAACACTAACTTACAAAACAATTATTTAATTAATAGGCCAAATAAAGGCCAAATAAGGATAACAGCATGTAAAACTTAGAATCCGACTCCCATAGGTCTATTCAAAAGATACAGCAATGTACAAGGCCAAAATGATGCAAGTTCAAAGCTCAACCGATTAGCCTATATGTACAGTTGTAAGACTATTGGACACCTTTAGACTTACTAAGTTGATGATTGTATAAATCCTTTTTTACCGTGAAAAATGGCATAGGCCTATCTTTCCATTCATTGCATCATAAGAAGGTAGGCCTAATGTAGAATAAGGTTGTAATCCATCAGTTAGAAATAGGATAAAAAATGCTCACCCAAATGTGCCTTGACCAATTTTTGCAATCTTCTCATACTTTGTAGCTTCATCACAGTACGGAAAGTCGAATTCTTCTATATATTTCTCTTTTTCTTTGGTATTCATAATCGTAGATGTGGTCACTGATGAAGAACTATCGCCACCACGGCTAGTGCTCGGTCCGCCTATCATTCCAGTATTACTTACTTAGTAGATTTGTCAAAGAATATCCGAAACTCCTCAGAAATTCACACACTGACATTGTTTTAAGTTTAATGTTGAGAAAACTTACAATGCAATTTCTACAATAAATACAACTCACGGACAATATGAGGTTAATCCTGCCTGCAAGTCTGGCTGAGCTGAAGCCAGGCAGAGCAGAGACAGAGCGAGAAGAAGATTAATTTCTCCTCTAACTATATAGAGTAGCAAAGCAAATTAATTGATGTAAACACAGACAGGCATGGATTATGAAACACGGTATCGAAAGACGCTCCCTTGAATTATTACAATAAATAAATAATACGGTCATTTAACTCGCCAGTGCATTGGCTTCGCTTCATCGGAAAACATAAATACCCCTACCACAGCAAACCTGCAGATTAAGTGTATTTCCATTTGCCTGATTGGATTTTCAATTAGTTAGATCTATTTAAACAACATTGGGTTTAACAAGACTGCCTAGGTTTGCTGTTACTGGGAGGGTAATAAAGTGTATTTTGGTATTATATTAATATTTCGTATTTATTTATTCTCCATTATTATTATTATTAAATTTATTCTCCATAAATACTGTTGTAACATGGGAATTTTAAATTTAATTTTTTTTTAATTTCTCCGTAACAAATAACTGTAAAAAAACACTTCAGTATACTAAATTATTTGTTTTTTAAGCTCTGCTCTCAGGCTTGAAGAAAAATTAAAATTGTTATGTTTGGTAGTCAAAAATGAGAAAACCGAATGTTTACCTCATAAAACCACCATAAACTCCCATTTCGATGGCCGATCATCAAAGCTGTTTATAATTCTGACAAATGCTTCTCTGATTATGTTGCCCATATAAGCTCTTCTGTGCCTAGTAACCCAAAAATCTTCTGGGCCTTTGTAAACAAAATGAAGCGTGATAGAGACTCGGAATGCAGTTATACATTCAATGGACAGCATACGTCTGATCCAGCTGAAACATGTAATCTATTCGCAAACTATTTTTCTTCTGTATGATAGACAACCTGCATCAGCCACGACCATCTTTTGGCAAAATTAAAAGGGTATGGCATAGTCGGAAGCCTGTTGCGATGGTTTGAATCATATCTTAAAGACCGCACCTTTAGCTGTCAAGTTTGCAGGAGCCAAGTCAATCCCTTTCCCTGCGGTTTCAGGAGTCCTCCAGGGTTCTCATCTGGGTCCATTTCTTTTCAATATATTTGTTAACGATGTTGTGGATAGTATCGACTCTCAGTGCTTGCTGTTTGCTGACGATATCAAGGGTTTCAAGTGTATAAAATCTCAGGCAGACTGTTCCACCCTTCAACAATGTTTGCACTCAATCGACAACTGGTGCCTGGATAACAGCATGGATATCAATGTTTCAAAGTCTGCAGTGGTATATTATCACCGTACCGAGCAACGTATTGACTTCTTCTACACGCCTAGTGGGTCTTCGTCTTGGATACCGCTACGCAGATGTTCCAGTGTGCGCATTGGCAGCTGTCTTGGATCTTCGTACGCTGGTGTATAGAAGGAAAGTATTCGATCTGATGTTCCTACATAGACTGGTCAACGGAGATATACTATGTCCGGAGTTGCTTGAGCGGATTAGCTTCCACGTCCCAGGAGGGGGTACCAGATCGAGGGAGCTGTTTGCTAGGTCTTACGCTCTACGAACAGCACAGTGCCATCGCCCGCATACAAGCCATGGGAAACTCTCTGCCACCTGAAATTGATTTCTTCAACTGTAACACCACATGTTTCAGGAGATTGATCAGCTCGCTTCCACTTGATTAGAGAAGATGACCTATCTCATTAATTTAATCTCTCACTAATTTGTTAAATTCTTTTTTATGTTTTGTTGTTCTCGTTGCTCTTTATTGGTATCTTAGTATTTATTGTTACATCATTGTTATTGTTTTTTTATTTCGTTGTTGTTATTATCATTATTATTATTATTGTTATCGTTATTACTATATGCACTTTTGTTGTTATTTATACATGTTTGTTAGTCATCACTCATCAATTTAATTCAATAGTTGTAACACAAATTGTATCCTGTATGAAATGGTTTGTCCGTCAAATAAATGAACAATGCCATCCTGCCACGGAAGAGTGTCATACGAGTAGCAGCAAACCTAGGTACCTGTTGAATCTAATTTTATTCAAAATAATACAATTAATAAAACATCCAATCGAATGGAAATTTGCTTAGTCTGCAGGTTTGCTGTGGCGGAGTTATTTTACTCATAAAACTAAGCTTAAATTTTAAGATTTTATAGTATTACACTATTTAACTAAATGGGATAAATTATCATAATCCTTTAAAGTAACGGTCAATTTCCATGTGTTTTACCTATTTTTGATAAATAGAAAAAACTAAATATACTTAATCACAAATAACTCAAAAGCCGTTGGATTTAGAGAAAGATGTTAAATACAAAAAATGTGTATTTTTAGATGGACTACGTTTTGTATATTTAGTTTTTTCCTGTATCTCTAATAATAACAAATAATTCTGGGACGGGTGGCGTCGTCCTGTAATCCAGCTACTTGGAGGTCACGGATTGTGGATATTTATAGGCATACACTGTGGATGGGATACTCCCTGGTGTGGATTAACGTCCGCACTAGTGAGTACTACTACTATCCGCAGTACTATCCTGATAATTAGACCAATTCGTATATACCAAGGAAAAATGTGGTTCGGATTCCACTATAAACTGTAGGTCCCTTAGTTGCCATTAGCTGTTTGGGCTATTAATTAACAGCTGTGTCTAAGGAATGTCGGCCTTAGTCACTAACAAGACTACAAGATCGCGCCACTCATCCTACACTCATCTCCATTCATACTTGGCTTAAAATACCTACATAGTATGGTCGCCATTTCATAAGAAAGTATAAAGAAAGTATAAAGTAAATAAAGTCACTATAGCGAAAAATACAGAAATATGCCGCCATTTTCCAATATGGCGGCCGTAGCACAGCTTCAATTTGAGGGGACTTTTAGTATGTTCAAAAGGAAGGTACACCCAACATTGTACCAAATTCCCCGGTTGTGCTAATTTTATGGAATTTTTCTATTATTTTTACTGCACTAAATGGAGATGAATGTAGATAAGAATTAAAATACGATCGATCGTTTCGGACTTTCTATATCAATTTTATTCGCGTTTTGTATTATAAAATCACAAAGTATTAACAATAAATTAATTGTTTTATATGTCAGCGTGTTTTTTATTTCTAAATGAGTCAATAATATTAATTATTCCTTATTGATTGGGTGTACCTGTAGGGTCTGACTTAGGGGAGGTACAAAGGAGGCATTTAGTTCAAAATTCCTCCGTGAACAGCGCTGTAGTAGAGAACACTTTGGCAATAAAGGTTTACTAATCGCAAAAATAGTTCTGTTCATAAAATAAAATTATAAATGCCTCAAATTCAATTTTACTATTTTTAATTATAAAATTAAACTATCATAACCTAACCGAACTAACCAAACTTGCTGATAAAGAAATAATATAACAAAAGTTTAGTAATCGGAAAAATAATTCTGTTTATTAAATAAAACTAGAAATTGCTCAATTAAAATTTTATAATGACTTAATAATAAAATTAAACTGTAATAACCAAACCAACCAAACTTGCTGATAATAAAAAAAATCTTGGACAAAAAGTTAATGCTACTAGCGGGATTCGAACCCGGGACCTACAGTATACCAGCCCTGCACGCTAACCATTAGACCACCGAGGCCGATGGCTACCGAACGTTTTGTTACGGTAATGGCGTTCCCTCAGCTAATAAGAAGCCCTCAGCTGTCATCGTAGCCTCTTCTATACCTCCCCTGAGTAAATACCGTACCTGTAGATGATGTGTAGATAAGTATCTTATTTGGAATGTAATTCACCTGTATATACACATCATACACATACTGTTAATATGTGATGGGTCTGATGATGATCGGAGTGTCCAATCGAAATCGATCACCACTTACCATCTTTTACTTTCTCCCCCTATACCATAGTATATGGAGAAAGTATTGTTTTCGTCAAAATTTTCGAGTTTGAGTTTTGAGTGGATATATTCGTTTTGGGTCCCCCTGGACCTAAAAAAGTGGTTTTCGAAGTGATGTCTGTGTGTGTGTGTGTGTGTGTGTGTGTGTGTGTGTGTGTGTGTGTCTGTGTGTCTGGATGTGTACAGAGCTAGAGACCACACCTGTGGTCCGATTTCGATGAAATTTGGTATGTAGGTTCTAATCCATGGTATCTCCAGGCGTTTTTTTCATTTTTTTGAAATTTTGATTTTTAATGGGAATTTTCCCATAAAAACCCATAAAAAACCGGAAAAAACAGATTTTCTCGAAAACGGCCCGAACGATTTTGATAAAAATTTAGTATGTTATAGTCCTTTATATTCTGAACAAAATGGTACAAATCACATTTCTGTAAAAATTATGGTTCAAAAGTTATTGTAAATTATGTCATTTTACCATAAAACCCCCTTAAAATAACAGAAAAATCGGATTACCTCAAAATTGGCCCGAACGATTTTGAAAAAAAATTTAGCATGTTATAATCCTTTAAATTCTGAACAAAAGTTTACAAATCTCATTTGCGTATACAGTTATCTACTCTCACCACTTACACATGATAAAGGTTTTTGACAATTTCATGATGTTTCATAAGTTTTTGACAAACTTATGGGAGAAAGTATGTGTCAGAATGCTGATACCGTTTATTTTGTATATTTACCGTCTTGTGAGTAACAGTATAAGCGTAAATATAGTGTTATAAGCCCCTTATGAACCCCCCTTAATAAACCCCACGTTTATTATATTTACTTTCCGTAGATTATAATATTAATAACATGACATGTCTTAAGCTTGATTTGCCTTATTTGTTGTGTTTGTAATGATTATCATATTTATGTATAGTTATCTCTGTTAATTACACTGACCGTTGACCAATAAACAAACAAAAAACATCACGGTTGCATTGCTCTATAACCAATGACTCATCGAACAGATTACTATGCCAGTCTGTCTGTTTCTACTTGTTTCAACTCGTTTTACTCTCACTGTGTCTGTCTACTCTACTACTACTAAAACTACTGTCTAGTGTCTAGGGCTGGCTGTCAAGTCAAGTGTAGAGTATTAATTTTCGGGACTTCTGAAGTAAAGAAGATTATTATTGTCTATTATTTTATTTGCGAGAAGTTTCGATAAGGAGTTACTTAATTTATTATTCAAACAGTCTTCAAGCGCTAAAATGACTTTGTGATGAACGAGTTTGGTTTAAGATCATTGCAATGTAAGTAGGTAGGTACCTATTTGACAGTGTTTTAGAGGCAAGCCTAAGTTACTCATAATGACACTATTATAAGAGATAGAATGGAGCTAAGCTACCTTAAAATGTAACATAGTTTTAATCATTATCTTACACATGTTACTTAGATTGAACCTATGGTCTACATTAGACTTGTAAATATACCTGATAGGCCTAGCAAGAAAGTTGAAAAATTCAAATCTTCCTTGGTAACTTATTACAGGGTCTTGTAACCTCATTAGGCTCACTTGTTTGCATTATGGTATACACTCCTCTGCTATTCTTAATCTCAATAAATGATCTTCCATCCAGTCTCAAATGTAACACATACCTTTATGCTGATGACACAACTTTGCTTACACACAGCAGAGATTTAGAATCTCTTGAGCTTGAGGCAAAAAACTCAGTTAAGGTAGCAGCAGAATGGTTCTCTGTGAATAGCTTTCTGTTAAACAATGAGAAAATCCAAACTGTTGTCTTTGGACTTCGTAAAATTCCTGAAGCACAATGTGATAAGGTCAAAGTTGTTAAGTTTTTGGGTGTTTATGTGGATCAACTCCTGTCATGGTCATATCATGTTGAACATCTCTGTACTAGACTAAGTAGATTGACATTTCTTTTCAGAAAACTCAATGATGTTGTTCCTTTTGACTATATAAAAACTGCCTATTTTGCACTTTTCCAATCAGCCCTTAATTATGGAATAATCTTTTGGGGCAGCAGCCCTTACATCACTGATGTTCTTTTAATACAAAAAAATGTGATCAGGATCATGGCAAATGCCAATCACAAGGAACACTGCAGACCAATTTTTGTAGATTTTATGATTTTGACTGTTGTTAATTTTATATAGGCCCCTAACATTTTGTTGACTAGTTTTAAGAACCTGAAATCCCACACTCTTAGGGGTGATGTACACAAGTTTAACCCTCCGAGCGTCACTTGTCGAGAAATCGACTCACGACACACTTTGTGTAGTGTCACTTGTCGATTTTTCGACACACGAACATCGTTTACGGCAAAGGCTCTATGACTGACTGAATCGGATTGAACTGGATCGAGTTAGGTATCGTTCTTTTTGTTAGATTCAGAGCTTTCTCCGGAGGTCTCTCTCTAAGTGCTATTCATTTTAGTTCCGAAAATAATGTAGCAGACAGCTGACGTGCATATTTGTAAACAGCTAGGTTAACCTTGGACCGATGACTGATGTGTTTTATTACGTTTATCATTGTTTTAGTGTTAAAAATCAAAAGTAGTGATATACATGGTGCATTATAAGAAGATTTAAGTGATTTTGAAGGGCTGGTTGATGATCCTGAAGAAGTAGGTAGTGATATTGATGTAAATTATCAGCCAGATTCCTAGCTTTGGTTAAGCTATGCATTCTTAGCTAAACGCTATGTACTGGAATCTGTTTTTTGCCCATAACTTATTTATTTGAAAATCTACTTCCTTATATTATTATATATTTGTAATCCTCATAAAATTTAGAACAAAGTGGCTATTTTCAAATATTTATAGGCCTATAATTTATACAATTTCATTGAGCGCAAACTTATTTTTTTTTGAAAATTTTCCAAAATTTATTTTTTACCTAAAAAATTTTTTTGAAACAAATGTTCCTTATGTTTTATGTATAATATTGAAGCCCGTGATTTTCCAAACAAAATGGTATATAGAACAGTAGAATTAACATTGTTTTAAGCTTCTCAGATCCGTTTTAATAAAACCTTGCAAATGTGCCAAAAATAGGCGGACATTAAGGCCTAAACTATGGACACTCGGAGGGTTAATACTAGGAATAGAGGTAAAATTGACATCCCTTATGTTAGACTTCAAAAAATGAAATCTTATTATGAAATACTGGGACTCAAATGTCTAAATAAACTCCCCAATACTGTTACTAAACAACAAAGCCTTCAAAAATAAAATTCTTCTGTGGCTGACTGTACACCCTTTTTATGGAGAAAATTGAATGCTTTGTTGCTTTGAATTGATTTGCTGGGAGAATTTTTTGAATGTTCAACCAAAGAAATCATAATCTAGTCACTGCCTTGTTCTAAGTATTTATTTTTTTCACTAAATTATATCTTGTATCTTTTTTTTCTATAAGTATACCGTAGTCTTCACTGTGCCATCTAAATGACCTTTGTATCTATTTGATTTTTTTGTTTATGCCTTATTTGTTATGTACCATACTGTAATTTATCTTTGACTTGTGTTTTTGCAGCATGTATTCAACTTTATTGACGTATCCTAATGCATGTACATGTCTAATGGAATAAAATATTGATTCTGATTCACTAACTATGGCCTACCATTAATAATTTTAGAGTCCTTAATAACTTATCGGTACGTCTAATGTGTGGCTCTGTAGAGCACTTGAATAGGCCTACCTTATCCAGTCCATGAAATACTTAGCCTCCTTGAAATACTTGATCCCTTCATCCTTTACCAACAAAAGTTGGATACGTTGCGTGATTATAGAAGACAATACAAACAAATTATTTAAGATAGGTAGATATACAATTAAACTGAACTGACGGATGTGACTTTTTGGGGAAGGCGAGTGGCTCTTCTTGAATACAAGGGCCTCTGCTAAGTAGGCTCTGCGAAGAGCGGATTTATTTTTCTTTGGGTCTAGAGCTCGGATATTTATTGGTTGCGTGTTGATTACTTTTATCGCTATTGAGAGGTATGACTGAAGTGTGTAATGAAGCCGACAACAAGGTAGGTCAAGGTCACCAGCCCTCGGGTCCCATAGTTGCTTCTGGTTGAGAAGTTAGTTAAATTGATTCTCATAAAGACTAAGATTTTGAATATATAAGTTACTGGTTGTAAACTGATAAGATGCAAAGTTCTTCAAAGATAGGCAGGAATGGTCAGTAGGGCCGGAAGATGTTACCAGTCTTAGAGTCGTCTTCTGCAGCAGCAGCACAATCTAAACTACGTGGCTATGACCCGATACCACCAAGCCATAGTTGATATGGTGGAATAATGCTTGGTATATGATGATCAGGTATGGGCGTGTGATCTCGTGCTTTAGCCTTCTTATTAGATAAATTCTGCTAAGCCTAACACACACCTTCTCAACATGTGATAATTCCAGTTTAGGGTACTTTCCTGTTAAAGGGAACATTCATTATTATGGATTATTTTTTCTCGATATATCGATATTTTTGTTTTCTGGTCCATTACAAATTGACAACTGATCTTGTTTAGGCTAAAATAGACTGTTATATGGATTAAGAAATGAAAATGTTCTAAGCTAACCTAACATAACCAACCAAACTTGTTGTACTATTTAAAAATAGTATATTTCAGTGGATTTCAGTAGTGGATTTCAGTGGATTATAATAGTGGATTTCAGAACAACGAGACTGTGGGTTTTGCGCATACAATATCAGCTGACCTAGATAGTGAGAGGAGTATGAGTGCTGGGGTTGCGGTTACCTTCCGGAATCAATTTGGCAAGCCCCTCCTTTCAAATTGCCTTAGCAGTCACTTGGCATATCAAAAGGTGAATAAAGGAGCAAGCATATTTAGTCTCATTACAAAAACTAAATATTTTTTGAAACCTACAAAATTTGACTACGACTGTGCTTTTGAACAACTGACAAATGAATTTAAAAAAAGACAGCTTAAGATACTTATATGTTCAGCAATGGGTTGCGTTAGAGATCAAATATGGCCAGATCACTTTATACAAAACTTAATAAGATTTCAAAAAAATACTGGAGCAATTGTAAATATTATCTGCTATTATCAAAACTCAAATAGGCTTTTATACAACGGTGTACCCTATAACTATTTTCTGAAACGTCTACAACAAATTATTGATGTCTATCACACCCAACAGTCTTCCCCTATCAGCGAGCTTCACTTGGAATCATCTGCATCAGTTTCCAATAGATCGACACTAGACCAAAGAACTTCACCTAAGCCGACTCACAACAGCCCAACCTCCACTAGTAACCCTGCCAGTCACCAGTGACTCACTCCTGGTGATCTTCAGTTTAGTGAAGTGGTCAAGCTTCCGGGAAGTGTTAAAAAGCAGAGCAGTGGCGCATTAGAGAGTGTAAATAGTGTAAATATTCAAGTTCCACCATGTCAAATGTCTTTAAATAATAGTAGTTTTTTATGAATACCAATTTGTCATCAAATTTGAAGGGGGTTAGCTTTAAGTATAAGAGTATATCATGTGTTAAAACTTATCCAGAGTTTCCAAAAGAATCCAATTCAATCCATACATTAACTACTAAACAAAGAGAAATTGAAGAAAATTTATCTTACCCCAGAGAAATAATTCCTTTAAATGTTGATAAAAATTCATCTTTTTTAAATGCTGATAAATCCTCTAAATCCTCTAATGTAAGCCTTTTAGACCAAGATAACTACTGTGTAAATTGCAAAGAGTGTCATTTTGATCTGTATAAAAAATGTGTTAAGTGGGAATATGGTCAAACCTTTTGTGCAAATAAGAAAAATGCATTTATCATGCACTTGAATATTCAGGGTGGTCTGGAGAAAAAACTGCATGATATACACTTATTTTTGGATGATTCAAATGTTGATGTAGTGTGTTTGAATGAGCATTGTTTACAGGATAATCAAATAAATTTGTTATCAAGTCTAAACAAATATAAGTTAGCTGCTTATTATTGTAGAAGCTCAATTGCAAGGGGAGGTTCATGCATACTTTTGAAACTTGATTATGTTTTTAAAGAAATGACAGATTTATATATATATACAATGAAGAAAGTATTTTTGAAGTTTGTAGTATTGAAATACCTATTTTGAATGTTATTATTGTTTCAATTTATAGAACTCCATATGAGAATAATTTTATAATATTTATAGATAAATTAGAATTGCTACTTTCTAAGCTACAAAAATATGTAAAAACTTATCAGATTTGTATAGCAGGAGATTTTAATATAGATATTTTAGAAACCTGTAGCTCACCCAGCCATAAAACTAGGTTTTTAAATTT